TGGCTCCTAGTATACCCTTGTGTAAAACTATATGAAATTGGCTCCCTGTATGCCCTCGTGCAAAACCACGTTATATTGGATACTAGTATGCCCTTGTGTAAAACCATGTGATATTGGCTCCTGGTATACCCTTGTGTAAAACCATGTGATATTGGCTCCTTGTGCGCCATTGTGTAAAATTATGTTTTATTGGCTCCTAGTGTACCCTTGTGGAAAACCGTGTGATATTGGCTCCTAGTATACCCTTGTGTAAAACTATGTTATTTTGGCTCCTAGTTTGCCTATGTGTAAAACTTTATCAAGAAAGTGATGGATCGTGCTAAACAACATAGGTATATATGTTATTAACATCAATGTTTATACAGTAAATTGATAGATGGACACAGAGTATATATACCTATGTTGCTTAGCACTACCCATCACTTGCTTGATAAAAGTGTTAGGATCTACACCGAAACGTCGCACTAATTGTAATAAAGAAGTTGTTCATCCATAGAACTCGTCTTACTTTATGTGATATTGGTTCCTAGTATGCCCTTGTGTAAAACTATGTGATATTGGCTCCTAGTAAACCATTGTTTAAAACTATGTGATATTGGCTCCTTGTATACCCTTGTGTAAAACTATGTGATTTTGGCTCCTAGTATAACCTTGTGTAAAACAATGTTATACTGGCTCCTAGTATACCCTTGTGTAAAACTATGTGATTTTGGCTCCTAGTATGCCCTTATGTAAAACTATGTGATATTGGCTCCCTGTATGCCCTTTATGTAAAATCATGTATCATTGGCTCCTAGTATACCCTTGTGTAAAACCATGTAATACTGGCTCCTAGTATACCCTTGTGTAAAATTATGTTACATTGGCTCCTAGTGTACCCTTGTGCAAAACTATGTGATATTTGCTCCTAGTATGCCCTTGTGTAAAACTATGTGATTTTGGCTCCTTGTGTGCCCTTGTATAAAACTATTGGATAATGGCTCCTTGTATGCCCTCGTGTAAAGTTATGTTATATTGGCACTAGTATACCCTCCTGTAAAACGATGCAATATTGGCTCCTGGTATACCCTTGTGTAAAACTATGTGATTTTGGCTCCTAGTATGCCCTTATGTAAAACAATGTGATATTGGCTCCCTGTGTGCCCTTTGAGTAAAAAAATGTATCATTGGCTCCTGGTATACCCTTGTGTAAAACCATGTGATATTGGCTCCTAGTATGCCCTTGTGTAAAACTATGTGATATTGGCTGCTTGTGTGCCCTTGTGTAAAACTATGTGATATTGGCTCCTTGTGTGCCCTTGTGTAAAATTATGTTACATTGGCTATTTGTGTGCCCTTGTGTAAAAGTATGTTATTTTGGCTCCTAGTGTACCCTTGAGTAAAACTATGTGATATTGGCTCCTTGTAAGCTTCTTGTGTAAAACTATATATGTAATATGTAATATGTTTGTGTAAAACTGTGTCAAGGTGCTTGTACACGTTCTAGCCAGTACAAGTCACATACTGTCTGCGTCAAGGTTCATGTGCACTTTCTAGCCAGTACAAGTCACATACTGTCTGCGTCAAGGTGCGAGTACACGTTCTAGCCAGTACAAGTCATGCTGTCTGCGTCAAGGTACGTGTGCACGTTCTAGCCAGTACAAGACACATACTGTCTGCGTCAAGGTATGTGTGCACGTTCTAGCCAGTACAAGTCACATACTGTCTGCGTCAAGGTATGTGTGCACGTTCTAGCCAGTACAAGTCACATACTGTCTGCGTTAAGCTGCGAGTACACGTTCTAGCCAGTACAAGTCATGCTGTCTGCGTCAAGGTACGTGTGCACGTTCTAGCCAGTACAAGACACATACTGTCTGCGTCAAGGTATGTGTGCACGTTCTAGCCAGTACAAGTCACATACTGTCTGCGTCAAGGTATGTGTGCACGTTCTAGCCAGTACAAGTCATGCTGTCTGCGTCAAGGTATGTGTGCACGTTCTAGCCAGTACAAGTCATGCTGTCTGCGTCAAGGTGCTCTTGAGGGAATCATCCTCAGCCTCGTGGTACTACACAACCCTAGGAAACTTATACATCTAGATAACTTGCGGAAAGCATCAGTCCGCCGTGATTTCTTTACCGCCCACGTGCTATTCAGGTGGAATAAAATATTATTTTCTAAATGTTTAAAGAACAATTAGCGATTGTGAGGAGCATATCGGATTCTGAAGGAGAGGCGTATGTCTGTAGACGGCTTAGGTAAACAAGCTCCGAAAATAATCTCAAGTAGTTCAATTTCTCAGTAGCAAAATATTTAACTAAAACTCCGAATTCCTTAACGATATTCAACACCATGACACAATCCATCATTTTATATAAAAGTATAAAACGAAATAATAAAGAAAATCATATATTTACAGCCATATGGAAGAAGTGTCAAGGTGATGAGTGGGTGTAAGACTGCCTGATCATGAAAAGGGCATTTAACAACTGTTCTGAGAATATATAGATAGCATAGGTTCCATATAAAGTTCCACCAACTCCATGCCAGTGTTGTATTTAGTTAGCCCATGACACGAGAGCGAACGCTCTATCCAGTCTGCACCGCCATATAAGGGCACAGGCTACCACGGTGCCATGTTGTGAGGTAGGCAAACTTTTGGGAGTTATCTCCGATCCAGCAGTATACCGAGATACTGGATCCCTGCCTATAAGATACATACACATCTCATCTCGACTCCAACCTCACGTTGCCATGGAAACCAGAACGTATTACCATTCACAAGCCGGCCTGCATCTCACAGGCTGCTGAGGCTGGTGATACTAAATCATGTGAAGGTGTGGATGAATTTACCAACGAAAAAACAACAGACGTGAAGACAGACTTACGAGCTACGGACACACTGTGTATTGTTTTAGCTTCTTGTTTAAATAATTGGCATAATGTTTTGCTGATGGAAAGTAACGTACACATGCTTAAATATATTTATCAGTTTCGGTTTAACTGGTGTCCACTGTATATTAACCAATGCTGATTGCCCAGAGATTATATTAATAGCTACGTCCACTGACTGGTATGCGTTTCTTATATGAAGCATGTTTAACTGACTAATCTAAAGCGACAAATGAGGATTTCAATTTCTATGTTTTAAATCGAATTTACATTAATGTTGAATAAAAGCAAAAGAACTATCAGTAAACGTGTTTACCCTTTAGGAGGTAGGGAGGTAATCTAAATTGACGCCTATTATGATTAATGCCGACAGACAATGTGGTAATTGGCCCAGTAATTGAATAATGGCCCCTGCCGGGTTATGCCTCACGCCCGAATGCCCAGCATCCCAGGGGGTCTGCAGTGCAGAGGTCGAGTGCTCACACACACACGCGCACACGCATCACCCCCGCTCTCTCGTCCTTATCGTTGGCGCAGCTTCTCCGCCTTGCCGAAGTGGGCAGTCATAGCAGCGCTAACACATGCCACGGATTCCCGGACTTTCCTTATACAGAAGCGGCTACGTATTAAGTTACATATTTTCTGATTGGTCGAGGAAAAGAAACTAACCAATCAGAAATGCGTTTGCATAATGTCACGTCTGAGAATCATAATGAGTGGTATAAATTGGATGGTCCCGTGTATCTCCACAGAACAGCTTTTGAACGTAAGTACACGGATTGTGATGTGTGTCTCTCTCTGTCCTATCAAACATTCATTCTTTTTTTGTTTTTGCTCTCACTATTATTACATCATCACCTTCATATCCACATTTAACAGCTTTGTTTCAAATTGTAAAAAAACTTTAAGAACTTTAATTTAAATCACAAACTTTTACTTTCTCGAATGACCCTTGACCTTCAAGTGCACTTAGAACTCCCAAAGCCTATCACCACCTACTGTAGTGTCACAAAGACGCGATTCCTATCAACGTCCTCTGTATCATAACACCCCTTGCACGAACGGCTTGATCCTAACATAACGTAAGTGGATTTTCATTTGTGTGTGTGGACCCACTGTACGAGATTTGGTGTGTGTTTCAAAACCCGGATGTGTTAAAATCCATATTGGGATCTCGGGATGCGCTATGGACCCTCTAGCATCAGCGGATGGATATACTCCTTATCCCATGGAGCGTCCGGATATCACTGGAACCTAGTGTGTGACCATTCCTAGGATTTTACTTCACATGGGATCAGTGACAACACGTCATGCATGGATGCTGACAGCCACTGTCAACATTTGTTAATAGTTAATAGGCTTGAGGATGCATATAACAAGTGTTCTTATAAATGAGCATGCTTTAATTTAATCCAATATATTATTAGTATATACTTATCATTTTTATTAGTTTCAAGTACATGTTTTTTTCTGCTTTGCATTTGGATAATGTATAGAAACAGAGTAAATGTGAGGGATTAAGATAGATAGGATTCACATATCTTATGCGCCTCTATCAATATTTAGGTGTTGCAATTATTGCAAAACGCCATACGAATATAAAAAGAGCATGTTAAACCTTACACTCTTGAAATAACATTCCTCTAACACTAGCTTGTATTGTAGATAACAATGTCCTTATTCGAAAGAGTCTTATATGAGTCATTAATAGGTTTCCATATCGCATGTTGAAGGATGTGTTTTGGCTTGGGTTGTTTAAACGCCTTACACTATAAGATGATATATACCTGCTGCTATTACTCACACCTGCATGCCATTTGAATGTGGTTTTAATCCAAAATATTGACCTGTTTACATGTCTATCACCGTTTCTTTACGTGTTGTTTACACAAGCAGTAGCATCGTCATTTATAATGTATAGTTTTAGAAATATTGGTTGTTGTTTTGCTGTTCTATTTCACAAATCTGACAGATATGGTCACTAATAATACAATCACTAAACGTTAAACCATTACATAAAATTACATGCTTGGTGTGTAATTCACCAGTCGCTGCTCGTCAATGACGTGCGGGAGTAAGAAGCAGTTATCGCCCTTCGAACCACATAACTTAACCTTGACCTTGTCCTTCAGCTGCCGGATCTTGAGCTGTTCTGCTCGTCTCCAGTAGGCTTACCGTGGTGAGGAGTTCTCATTTGTCAACGGCAGACACAAAACTTCGCACTTTCAGTGCTACCTTTCGGCAGAAGTAGGAACTTGTCGCCACCACATCTTCCAAGATGTCGTTCGATCCCCAAGATCCCGATATGTTGTACCTTGCGGTAGATCGCAAGAAGTTGATGAGAGAACAGACCCAGACCTTTGATGGTAAAAAGGCCTGCTGGATTCCTGACGAAAAGGAAGGGTTTTTGGCCTGTGAGATTGAAAGCACCAAAGGAGATGAAATCACCGTCAGGCAGAATAATAATAACGCGGTAAATATAATCTGATTGCATTTATGATACAATTTATGCTAGACAGTGGCTTATAACCTTACCTGATATTAACTACATCCCCTGTGTAAATACAGGACATATGACCGTCCATTTATTAGGAAACCAAGTGTAACATCATCTGAATTTGTTCTTGAAAAGTTCTTCCTATTTTATGCGATTTGTATAAAAGTATTGACACATCTTCGAGGAACTTTGTATGTCTGACATTAGGGATACATATGCTTCAGAGATACTGATATTTATTTGCTTTTAAGAAAACAAATGTGCATAGTTTGATGATTATGTGTTTTGTCCCTCAAAAGCAAAGAACCGTCAAGAAGGATGACATCATGCAGATGAATCCCCCCAAGTTCGAGAAGATTGACGACATGGCTAACTTGACCTACCTTAACGAGGCTGCCGTTTTGTACAACTTGAGAGCTAGATACACCGCTTCTCTGATCTACGTAAGTTATAACTCATGTCACTTGCGCAGACAGAACATTGCTTATGCTATGTAAATTCATAGCAAGTAAGGATAGGTTATATGGATGAACAACTTCTTTATAACAATTAGGAGTATCACTTGCGTGATAACACTGTTGGAACCTACACCGAAACGTCGCTCCTAATTGTCCTAAAGAAGTTGTTCATCCATATATCTTATCCTCACTGTGTACTCCAACTTCTAAATGCCTCTCAAAGAAGTTAAATCCATATGCTTTTGAAAATATTACCTCCCTCTGAAAAGGAACGTTTATGCTGTCACAAAAGAATGCCATAAACAGTTTGTGAATGACGATAATATTCAAACCAAAACTTTGAGGTGGTATTCAATTGAAAGACATTCTAACAGACTTAGGCAGTAATTCTAGTTCTGGTCCAAACCAAAATGCTTCTTGGTTAAAGGAAGTTTTAAACACGCAAGGATTTCTATTGTCTTACCACTGTGATGCTATTTCTCATCGCTTTGTGTCCAAGCATAATACTATCTGTCCTTTGTCACATTCATCGGAACATGCGCCTTTTTGCGCACAGCGATCCTTATGCTACTACTTAATTCATACTCTAAAATAGATTTATGATAGTCTTAGCCCTAAGGTCGCTCAGTGGAACCCTAGAACTCGCATTTCAAGGTACTTTAAATCAACCTTAGATCTATAAGAGCACTAGGGTTTTAGGGTTTTAGTGTTGTCGGCTGTAGGTAGTGGCCTTTAATCATACTAATCAGTTGGATCCAACTATTGACTGAACGTGGTGTTAGTACTGACACGAAAATAGTTCTTGAAAAATCTAGTGGATTCATTGGAAACGTTAATGAAACGTTTCTTAATTATTTTTGAACAAATTTCACCATGGCTCCTGCTTAAAATAACTATGCATACACATTTTAAAATTTCAAAGAATGCTACATTCGTGCTTTTCTGGTATGAATACATGTACGGTTGTAAGTTTTCGATTCACGGACCGGCTCGAAAGGCTGGGCTGAAAGACGATATTCTGGGATGCTGCTGCAGATTAGCGGAGTGTGTGGTGCTATTTTTGGCGCCATCTTCCTACGACCTTCAAAGTCCTTGAAACCTTGGCAGCTTCACTTGCCCGGAATGTCCGAACGCATTTAGATTTGTAGAATATGACTCCCCATATTGCTGTAGCCAGTGTATCAGCGGAACAAGATAGATTATACTTTGATGTTTCACTTTTTCAACACCTATATTTACATTGCAGCCCCAAGTATTAAGTATTAGTGTTATGGTCTCTCGTTTGAAAGCAGTTCTTTGTATTTGTTTGTTTGATTGTTATTGTAATATGACACATGTTTCAATAAACACACATTATTCCTAGTACTTATGTGTATGAATGCAAATGTTACTATAAATTCTAAATAATCATTGGGATAAATATGACAGTGTGCTCGGAAAGAGATAATGATAGCACTTGCTGCCTAACTATAAATGAAAGTAAGTGAACTATAGATTACGCATTATAAATTACGCAATGTTTATGTTTCTTTTTTTATGAACGGATGAAAATAATATAAGCCTAATGATCTTGCTGCCTAACTGTAAATGAAAACAAGTGAACGGCTTTATATATCTACTATCGAAAATTACGCAATGTGTATGTTGCTTTTTTATGAACGGATGAAAATAAAATAAGCCTAATGATCTTGTAATATGTACTTGTAATGTGTCCTTGTAAGGTGTACTTATTATGCGGTGGGGTATTCGTACTTGAAAAGAAAAAAAAGTTCAAATAAAATATAACCGCCAAATGAATGCAAAACTCTAAACGTACTGATGACACCAGGTGCTCGCGAAACTATTAGGCATGTAATTCCCTTTCGCATCTGTGACTACGTCAATGGGTACCTACACAATGCCATCAAATCCACGCATGTTCCAAAAGACATTTGTAAGTGCAACATATGTTCCTGCTTAATGTCATTCAACCAGTGTTCTGTCTCTCTTATACGATGTTTATTTACTGCAGACCTACTCTGGCCTGTTCTGTGTCGCCATCAACCCCTACCGCCGACTTCCCATCTACACAACAAGCGTCATTGAGAAGTTTAGGGGCAAGCGTAGGGTGGAGATGCCTCCCCACTTGTTCTCCGTAGCTGACAACGCCTACCAGTACATGTTGCAAGGTATGGCACCATTATCTGTTTCCTCGTCATTGCAATAGGAATCTTAAAGGTATATATAATAGGATTTCTAAGGGTATGTAATCGGAATATTGCCCGTAGGCAATATTATCTAAGGTGTAGGCAACGGGAATTTTAAGGGTATGTATATAATGGCAATGTTGGGTGAAGGCAATTATTATCTTAGATGTAGGCAATTGTCTTAGATGTAGGCCATGGGAATATTAAGGGTATGCAATTATTACCCTAGATGTGGGCAGTGTGAATCTAAAGGATTGGAAATGTGAATTTAAAGTTGAGGTCAACGGGAATATTGGGTTTAGGTAATTATTATCTTAGGTGCAGGCAATAGGAATCTCCGGGGTATGCAATGGAATTCTTGGGTGTAGGCTATTATTATCCTAGATGTAGGCAATGTGAATCTTGAGGATATGAAATGTGAATCTAAAGGTTAATCAATGGGAATGGTGGATGTAGGCAATGGGAATTTTGGATGTAGGAAATAGGTACATTCGAGAAGGGAGCACCCTCTCGGCACGTACGGGGTAGAACCTCGGGGTACTTACGGGATTAAAACCCCAGGGTGCATGCCATCATATCCTCAAGATTCACATTGCCTACATCCAAAATTCCCATTTCCAGCATTCCCTTTGATTAACCTTGAGACAGACAAGTTCACCTACTAAATCTATGCGTTTGTTTACAGATCGCGAGAACCAGTCCATGCTGATCACGTGAGTACCCTCGAACACGACTTCACCTTATTCCTACCCTTCTTTTATTGTGACCCAATGTGTGAACTTTAACCAACAATGTATCCTTCCTAATCATTTTCCGCACATATCAGTTCAGTTTCAATGCATGATAAACTGTAAGAACACAAAGTACAGCAATAGTTTAACAAGCACGTTCCTACCTTACGAGAGTATCTAGTGATCTGGTCAAAGATTCACCTCCTCACGTGTGAACTTTAACACGTGTGTTTTTGAACTACTTTAAACCTCTTGTTAGATAGAAACCTTCTCCTGTGCACTGAATACATCCTCCTTCCGTAGTATTAGTATAACACCCAGCTCAAGGAAAGACATCGTAGGATCCTGTTGTGCTTCATCCTCGATTATCCAGTGTATTATATCTCCATTCTATTATGATAAATGCCATGGAACCATTCGCCACCATGTCTTGATTTTGAGTTCGGCTCGTATGACAGGACGGCTTAACATCCACGACTGAAACAAGCGTCGAAATCATCAGTTCTTGACTCGACTTTTGCCTGCCGTCTAAAATACAGCCGGAAGGCCTTGTAGCATCAGAACTTCCCTCACCGTCTTACCACTCGGGAAAAAGTCTTTTCCAGAAAAAGAAAACGTTCATTTATGACCGTCTTCAGATTCAACAAAATATATCGATGGCTCGCTCAGACGAGGTCGCTATTTTGAATGTATATCTATTGAGAACTCGTTCTGAAGATGCATTTTGTTTGGTTGTTGATTTCAAGGTCATGGACGAGGGAAATTATATGCTATGTTAGTAATAAGAGAGGTAAGATGGTGACATCACCTCGGAAACGAAGTAATGGTGGCGAATGGGGCTAAGGTATTCATCGTTATAGAATAGAGATTTAATATTTTGATATTTCAATAATCGAAGATGAAGTAACGACATCGTAGTTTCCTGTTGTGCTGTGTTTTATTTACATTTGATAATTCTTTTGGCTAGAGGCGAATCAGGAGCCGGAAAAACCGAAAGTACGAAGAAAGTGATAATGTATTTTGCTCGAGTGGCAGCTAATGTGTACCGCGAAGGTGGTAAAGTCACCAAGCAACAAGATGACCTCTATGTAAGTCTTTACGGTAAATTGCTACAAATGTTTATATGTTTTGTGTAATCCTGCATAACGGTACCGTTGACCTCAAGGAAGCAGAGAACCGAGAACTCTTTATCCAGTGAGAAGTGATACTTGGTTTAAGGATTCCTTTAAATAAATCGTTGCCAGGAATCGAAATAAAAGAAGATGATAAGAACCATAATTTTGTTTAATTGATATAAAATTGTTTGTCCAGTCAAAGACAGAAACAAATCAACCAGATAAAGATTTTTATTCAGTCAGATGAAGTCAGTGATTACTTCCCTTCCCATTTTGACCTATGTTGATCTTATATTATCAAACATAAGTAAAAGATAATGTTCTCAAGATAAGTTGTCAAATAATGTGTCAAATGGATACCTGAACCAAGAATCCTTTTCTGACATAAAGTATAAATTGGAATACCTGTGGTCTAACATCGGTGCCATTATATGGGATTATACTCATTAGCAACATGCTATCTGCATCTCCCAAACTCCATGAAAGGGGCATCTAGCACTGCAACGTTTTGGCCGCAAATGGTTGGAGGTTATTCCTGTTTTGGGTACATCAATTTACTATGGAGGAAGATGGAGGGAGATGCCGTTGGCATGTTGTTAGTGTATGCCATGCTGATTGTAACAAGTCAACAAGGCACATTTTGACTCTCTTAGGATCGAGAGTGGGATACGAAATTAGTGATATATATATACAGAAGATTGTGCTCCTGTTCTACACAGTGGCGAATCTGGAGCTGGTAAGACTGAGAACACCAAGAAGGTTATCCAATATTTGGCTATGGTTGCCGGAGGGACAAAGGATAAAGACAAGGATAAGGAAAAAGACGAATCAGACAAGAAGGTAGCAAAGGAAATCCCGTGTGCGCATGCTCCCGATGACGTCATAGAACTCCACCTCTTACTCTAACTATCTTCCAGCTACATCTAATATGTTTGGTTTCTTCAAGATTCTACTTTATACAGAAAGCTGTAAAAACGTACAACACTGACGGTTATATAAGTGAATGCTTGCTCTATCAAATTGTACCAGCATCTACCGTTGTTAATGAGTAATAAGTGATCTACAAGTCTATCAAGTAAAGATTGCATGGCGTGTGAGTTTCACACGCGACTTTTAGTTACCAGACTACAACACACCCTCTCCCTGTAGCACCTCACTCGAGTGGACTGCCGTAGCTATGTTTCTATAAGCACCAGTAACCGTGAAAATGTCATCAGTTAAATATTCACCACATAAACGCTGAACAAAGGTAATTCCTTTCCTTTGACAAGGAATTTTATACTTACGAATCACTGAACAATATCTCCTGTAGAGTAGAGTTGTGAAATTCTACATCATTTGGCTATCTTTTTTCACGACTTTGTTCAGCATTTTTAATTCTCTTATTTTCAGCAAGCTCAGTCAATGTATTTTGATACTGGAAATCAGTGGTGATGGTGATAGAATATAATATCAAAATGCGTTGACTGGTCTACAAAGTATCGATAATTGATGTTTTATCAAGTATAAGTTATGATCATTCGCAACTCCACTTTAAGCTTTGATTTCAATACCGTTCTTGTATACTTCATGCAAATGTATATTATATATGACATTCATGGTCTTATAAAATGTTTTTGTTCTATGCAATTTGTGAACACATGACATATATTACACAGTTCATACTTCTTCTTTTACCCTGCCCTTTCAATGATCCCCCAAACTTAACCCGTCCAATTAATAAAACACCCGAAACGTTCTTACCTACCTCTATGGCCCATTACCAAAATACAACCCCAAACACAACCAACCCCAATACCCGTCCAAATCTCTACCCCTATATAAAAAAAACCCACCCTATCCCCACCTCCAAAAACAAAACCCCAACCCTAACACACCCCCCCCCCCCCCCCCCCAAAAAAAAAAACCCCTAAAAAAACAATACCCGACTTAACTTCTACCCCCCTATACCAACAAAACAAAATACCCAAACAAAACCAACTACCCGCCCTGTACCTTAATCCCATGATTCCAACATAACCTAATCTCACATATGACCTGCCCGTTCCAAAACAATCTCCCCCAAAATAGGGTACCCTCGAGGATCAGATCGTGCAGGCTAATCCCGTTCTTGAAGCCTACGGTAACGCCAAGACAACCCGTAACAACAACTCCTCCAGATTCGTAAGTAAAAAGTGAGACCAGCCAACTCATGGTCCACTCAGGTAACCCCCAACTGAACCCCCCCCTTGAGTCATTTCTCCAGTTCTAACACACTTCACCCTAAACTGATGTTTTCCCCTCAGCCCATACTGAACCACACCCTGCCCTGTTGGCCCTTAAAATGTCAGCCCCTACTCCCCAGAACCAGAATGTCCTTCGCCAACCTACGGTACATATTGCCTCTAACATTTAGCGAATCTCCATGATACCATCAACCACCCCTTTCACCTCAATGAATAGTTCATTACTTATTTTTTCCACCCTTCCTTTTTTTTACCCTTCCGTTGTCGTATTGTGTCGGGTGTCAGGGATCACTGGAGGACCAAATTATCCAGGCCAACCCAGTACTCGAGGCGTACGGTAACGCCAAGACCACCCGTAATAACAACTCCTCCCGATTCGTGAGTACCTTACCCCCTCTAGTTGGAAGTCCGGAGAGGTCTTCGTGATGTGTGTTTTACCCTTTCTCAGAAGAACCCCCTCAACTATCTCCTAATGAAGGAATCGTAGCATTAGAACCTTAACCTATGATGACAGTGTCATCACAACCCCACCAATTAAAACTCTGAAACTCAAACCTCCTCCTTCTTCACGTGTACTAATGGTTTAGTAGTTCTGTTGATGTACGTTCGAAGGCAGCCTAATAGTAGAACCTCTCACCTAGGATGAAAGTGCCATCACAACCTCTCCAGTTGAAACTGTCACACTCCACCCTTCCCCTTCTCTTTCCAACTGTTTCTGATTTTGCTGTGCCGTGTCTGTACGTTCGAAGGAATCTTTGAAATAACACCTCTCACCCAGGAAGAAAGTACCATAACAACCCAATGAATTTCTAACTCCGCCACCTTCATATTCCAACGAACTAATGATTCTTGAGTGCTGTTCAAGAAGAAATAGTTGTGTGACTACTCTTTTACAAATTACTCACCAAAGGCCAGACAACCCCCACACACCTCTCACCTTCCAAATGTACTAATGCATATTGAACACCTCCCTGAACGAATCACCAAAATACCCTAGAACTATATCCTCTAACCTCTGGTAAAAGGCCTCCACAACCCTCTAGTAAACCCAAACAACCTCGCACACCCAGCTCTCGATCAGCTCTTGGATTGTCTAATCAAATAGATTCGGACAATCACAAGGGCTCTCTGGTCTTCTTCCTTTCCCGTCTGAGTCCTTCTTTCCATCAGCTCCTTCTAAGGTCGTTACTCCTGGCGCCTTATTTACCACCTTACCTTTTCCCGCATGTACCTGAAGATTGGATCACTCGAGGATCAAATTATTCAGGCCAACCCGGTCTTGGAAGCGTACGGTAATGCAAAGACCACCCGTAATAACAACTCCTCCCGATTCGTGAGTACCCAGTACATATTCCCATGCTCGGCATCTCACGGAGCACATATAACATAGATAGCCTAATAACGTAGTGGCCCTAGATGACCTCCAAAACATAGGACCCACGAACCTCGTGGATACCCATGTGCCTTGCCATGGAGCCCTGGTTTTAAGGTCTATTGTTTGAATATAGGTCAGTAGTTACCTGTGTCCTTTGTCGACTAACAACCTGTTTGAATGCACCCCTAAACATGTGTGCAGTCGGTACGGACGGACTCTTTCCCCTGATCCTTTGATCAGTATCTACACAATAACCGGTCGTTCAACTCAACATGGCGTGCAAAGTAATCTTTCCTTTTCCCGACCTTCACATTGCGTTTGATCTTTCTTTCTGTCTAAATCTGTGTTCTGATTCTTCCTTTTCCCTTTCTTACCGTGTCTTTTTTTCATGACCACCAAGTCAAACATTCCGAGTTATGTCCCTTTGATTGTGCGCGTGCCCTTCACCTTCTTTCCCAACAATCATATACCACATCGTCAGTGTTTCAGATTTATTTAAATCTGTATTGATCAAGTGTCACATTATGACGAGCCTCGTTTCAGAAATATAGTCACGAGGGACCATATTACTAAATAAAATGAAGGGTTATAGATTTGAAGGGGTGAGTGACCCGGTGTCCCTATAAATCTGAAGCACTGCACCAGACACCATAATTTCATCTGACAAACCTCATGTGAAGTAGTCTTGTGTTTTTCCTCACAACCGCACACCAACCACCTTGTCGAGGTAGATACTGATACTAACATCAGATGCCTTTTGGGTATGTAGACAGTATGCACAGAACACTAATCCTTCATCTTGCCTCCTTCCCGTGTGTGCTTGGCGCCGACAGGTTGGCAACCTTGAGGACCAAATCATCGAAGCTAACCCAGTTTTGGAAGCTTTTGGTAATGCCAAGACGGTTCGAAATAACAACTCCTCTAGATTTGTAAGTATCATCGGAATAGTATGATAAACCATGACACATAGGAAGCATTCAGTTTCAGATCTTTGAACCTTTTTGGACTAAGGCGTTCTGATTGTTTGCTGGGGGTGGTTGTTCCCTCGCTGTCTCAGAGTGTTAAGTGTTTGTTAACTTCTGCATCAAAAGTCAAAACTATTACAAAAATATAAACTTTTCCTATTGTCGTCTCCGGTATGAGGCGCCGAACGTTCGGATATACGAAGTTATTTGTCGAACGTCTTCCGTTAATATAAATAGGCCCTATTGGGTGTGATGCAAAATTCCAAAAACATTTTAGTTGTTCATTTTAAACGTTTAAAACACTTTTCTTGAGGCTTGATGTATTACACTTTGTAACCCTTCTGCAGGACATAATTGTGTCAGATCTCTCGACTTGAAGTGGTAGTGTGTTAAACCATACTGTGTTATGGTGGCGCTAAGCACTTCATGTTGCCCAGCACGGCTGTTCGCAAGGAATGAAGATCACTTCCCGTGTTATAAGAACCGCTCAAAGTGACCCTTGTGTCTAGATGTCAAGGGTGTACATACGAACACGTATGCGCGTTACCACTTGCGATCGAGATAGATAGTTTCATTGTAAGCGAATTTTCGTGTGTCTTTTTCAAAACCGGCTCCTTTGTGAACAACCTGCATGTTGTGCCTAAACAATCCCCTCCTAACCATTGATATCAACGTCCCAACCTTGATCATTGATCATTATTATCGTGACGCCATGGTCGTGCAGGTAAGTACGCTGTAGCGTAGCGTCCCCTTGGGGTAGACTGGTTCCCAGTGCCCCAAGTTTGTCGTTTGAGACGACTACTGAGATTCAGATGGTCAAAGCGTGTGACCTTGGTGATTGCATGGCACCGTGCCCTGGCGGCGTGAATCGCTGCTCGTGCTATTAACCGATGGTTTGCGTGGCCCAGAATCTTCTACGTCCAGGCTGCGGTGATAGAGCTGGAATATTGCTTACAGCGGCTTCTTACTCACTGAATAGACTAACATTAAGTCTATGAAATCTTATATTACACAATACTCCTCTCAACTCTAAAATTAAACAAATAATTTTCACGATGCTGATTTCATGCTGGCTAGACTGGCTTTAGTATACATATCTAGATTGTGTTTTTCATAAAATAAATATATTCCACAGTCGTGGTGCAGGACTACTCACTGAAGTGAACCATCCCATTCAGAATTGCTCCATAGTTGAATAACATTGATTTATTATACAAAATTATCAGGTATACGAATGGCAATCACATTTTCGTACGTAGCAATTTTCAATGCTATAAGTAAATTTAAATATTCAGGACAATTTCATTGATATAAATTTCAAAACGTAAATGAATGGTGAAATGTTCAATATAATAATAAATATGCATTTTATGGGGATAATTTAACTTACCTTATTGTTATGCTTTATCAGTTGGATATGTGAATATTTTTTCTACATTTCAAGGGTAAGTTCATCCGTATCCATTTCGGTACCCAAGGAAAGATTGCCGGTGCTGATATTGAAACATGTAAGTTGAGATTAAGTTTGATGATCGAAATTTCAGTTTTTTGGGTGAACGTGGTTTCTTTTCACCGCCTTAAACGCGAAATGTACTGGTATCAATATATGTTTAGAATAAAAATACCATTACAAATTCGAAATATGTTAGTAAACTGTTGACGAGTGAATAGGTATAATCTTAAAACAGAAATAAAAAAACACGAAAAACAGTTTACGATTACTTTGAAGGGCTCTTCACAAACTCATTATCAGGTTACACCCATACAATGATAAAATTTTATAGATATGACAATGGTGTATTTTAATTAATCCTTTGAGTACAACTGTATATATTCCCTGTGGCCTTGAATCTATTTTTATGTTAATTGAACAGACCTACTGGAGAAATCTCGTGTCACCTTTCAACAGCCCGCTGAGAGGAACTACCACATCTTCTACCAGCTCCTGTCTGATGGCGTCCCCAAGCTCGCCGGTAACTAGGAGAAATAATAAATTGAATAAAAAATATTTTTTTTAAAAACTATGAGAAATACATTGCTGGGAATGACTCAAATGTCATCACCCTTCGCAGTATAGTTTGTAACAACAGTCACACTGTATTGATTTTTCTCATTGTAAAGCCAGCCTTTTTTATTCCTTATATTACGTTTCAAAACACTGAGGAATTTTATAACTAAAAGAAAGATAACATGGTAAGTTTATTCTTGTCTTGAATTGTCCATTATGCATGTGTGTAAACCCGTGTAATTGTCTTCATGCCGATTTGATTCAGAGAAGTGTTACCGGTTCCCTGTTTGCATAAAACAGCTGAAAAATAGAGAAGTCAAAGACAAAATATAAAAGAAATACTGAATTCTCGAATTTGATGATAGATGGATTCGTAAAAGATGTAATACATTTTCTATGTAAGGTATCAGTATATTTCAGTGCCGAGAGAATATTGGTCTTCGTTGTTTTAGTAATGAAATCATGCAATCGACACCATCACCATATGATTTCAGAAAAGCTGTTGACGTCCTGCGACCCCGCCCTGTTCTACTTCATCAACCAGGGCGCCCTCACCGTCGACGGCATTGACGACGTTGAGGAAATGAAAATGACAGACGTAAGTATTCAAATAAGAAAAACATAAACGTACATAAAATAGATTTCGCAATAATATTATATTGATTAAGGACGACTTATAATAGTTGATGGGGTAGCCGCATATTCTTGGGCGGGGGCATGGATAGTTTGTGGTCAAAGACGCCGCGAATTGCTGTTTGTCAGCATTCACGCCATGCGCGTTGGTTTTATTAAGTCGTAAACGTATACGACCCGTGTAACGTGGAATAGTCTCCCTTATTACGCTGGACGGCTGTGATGTAGCTGAACACCAAATGCAAGCCCTCCATCGTCGGCCGTTGGGAAAGTCTGCGAACTTGTGGACACTATGATTGACAAAATAGACTGATGTGACTGACGCGTCAAATATTGTCTATATAAACCTTGAGGGCCATGTATCTGTGTAGGTCGCCTTCGATGTGTTGGGCTTCACGCTTGAAGAGAAGACCAGTATGTACAAGGGTACGGGAGCCATCATGCACTTCGGCGAGATGAAGTTCAAGCAGAGAGGCGAGCAGGCCGAGGCTGATGGAACTGCTGGTGAGTGTCCAGAGCAAAAGTCGGGATTCTTGAGAAAACTCTCCATTGCCATATCTAATTATTGAAAAAGCAGTAAAGTAAAGTATTCTTCACGGTGACGTGACATTAACGAGTTATTTACAGCAATGCAAAGTGACCTGAGTGCCAAATAAGCTTCTGCTAGAAGCGTTCGTTAAATCTCCATCATCAGTCAGATGTATTTTACTATAGCTTTTCAGGTATATTTATTTTAAGTTAAATCTCCTCACGCCTTCATCTCATGCTGTTTCGCGAATAAATAAAATCAATAAATATGCAAATGATAATGAAACATTTAGTAAGACATTGATAATATTATCTTTGTATGGCCGAAGATTTGACGTTTGGTATTAGCATTTTCATGAGTGGTGTTTCTATGTGATATTGTGATTTCAGTGCACTATGTGTGTTGTGATAGAACATCCTCTATGTCATAGGTCAAGACATTGATGTGTTTACGCTTTGAACATGCATGTTTACATATATATATCAATGTCATGCTTATTTCAGCTTTGAAACATTTGTGGTCATCCTTCCACAACTTCAACTGAGTATTTTTCACCCCACTCTCATCCCTGCACCGTCCCTCTCTGCCGTGTGAATATTGTTTTACAGGTCGATGAGCTCTTGAACCTCCTCCACCTTACACCACGGCGATATACACATATGTTCACCAACTAACGCTCACCTACACACTGATGATATATTACGTTATGTTTCCTCCCTCTCTCTATCCTAATACTTTTTTACGACAAACCTTTTTACACATTTTAATTCAAACTCTAACTCTAATTCAGACATCTAACCAATCTTATGTCATGGTTGAAAGAGCCATGGCCGTGTGGTTCTACCTGAACATAACACAAACAACAGCCAATCAACAACTAACGTTTGGTGAAGCAGACTGTCAGTGTATATGATTGTATTATCTTTACCAGCAGAGAGGGTGAAAATGCATAGACCTACTTCAGACTACGGCACAGAACATACGAGGTGTACCATCAAAGACAGTGGTTCTCGGAACAGGTGTTATTCCTATGGCCTGGTTTTTCCCTCGTTGATCACTATGCACGTACCTTCCACGTTTGACCCCCCACCCCACCACACGCCCATTCATTCCCCTGACAGGTCCTTTTTCTCTCATCTCAAATACCTTTCACGAAAAGCATCTTTTTGCTTTTCCTGAACCATACACTAACGTTGTGGACACTCAAATAACATCCGACGTGATACCCTCTGCCATGATCCCGATTCAGCATTGCTGAAGTCTAATGGTTTCCGTCTACTGATACGACAATTAAAATCTAATTTCGAATTTAACAACTCCACTTTTATACTAATTTGTTACAAAGGTTTCATTAAAACATAACACTTTGATATTGATGGGTTAGACTTAAAGCGTATGTCCATATATAGTTTAAGACTATCCCCACCATATATTTGTGTTGACAGTTCAGTAGATACGATTATCCCCCTATATGAAAGTCCAGAGATTGCTGCTGCGACATATCTATAATCTGCAAGAACACATGCTATATTATATATCATTGTTTGTCATGATGCATTGGGTAAATCCGTAATTGCACATAGATTGTGGTTGCTAGCATTAGCGGTATAGGTTTAGTCATTTTAGTTAGTATGTGTTAGATTAGTTAGTTGTCGTAGGTTAAGTTGCGAAAATAAGGACGTCTCTGAAATTGAGTTTTCTCCCTTTGCAGAGGTTGAGAAAGTCGCCTTCTTGCTCGGGGTCAATGCTGGTGACCTTGTCAAAGGTCTCCTGAAACCAAAGATCAAGGTCGGCAACGAATATGTCACCCAAGGTCGTACCAAGGATCAGGTAACCACGGCATTGCAACACTTGTATAATTGTATATGACATACAGTAAACTACGGTTATAACGAACACGCTTATAACGAACTGACGTATATAACGAACTTACCTTTTTGGTCCCGACTATTTGCTGTAGTTTTACTGTATATATGCTTATAACGAACTACGGTTATAACGAACTAAAATTAGTAGTCCCTTTGAGTTCGTTATAACCGTACTTTACTGTATATTAAAAGTAAACAGTACAATCCCTGATATCATTAATACAACATAGTCGAGACCATACACAGGAATATCAACTCCAATCAAGGATTCGTTACCTCGGAAATTTGTCTGGACAATTCCACTGGTGACAGTTGTGTACGCATATTACGTCGAACTTATCACACACAAGCATGTTTTGAGGTTGTGACATTATTACTACGCGTACCCCGGTAAGCCGATCGCCAAAGTCGTAAACGTTTACAACGTGTTCGCCAAGCTATCGCATTATACAGTTTCTAGCCCTAATACACTGCCGGGCTAAAGAACATATGAACTTAAATATGAAAAATTGGATTTGACCAAAAACTTACAAACGTTGTTGAAACGTAACAGTCCCCGCTACTTAAGGTCCAAATCACAATACCCGTATCAAATACATCATCATCGAATAACCATTTCTTGTTTATTTAATTTTTAGCCACCATCAAACATGGGTGCATATTTTCTTTTTCTGGCACTGAATTAATTGACGATTACGCAGAAAAGACCCTTCCCATAATCATTAGAGGGGCTGTCGGGTAGCCTAGTGGTCAAAGCGTTCGCTCGTCACGCCGAAGACCCGGGTTCGATTCCCGACATGGATACAATGTGTGAAGTCTATTTCTGGTGTTCTCTGCCCTGATATTGCTGGAATATTGCTAAAAGCGGCGTAAAACCATACTCACTCACTCATAATCATTAGAAATATCTGCTAAATGAGATATAAATTCGAAGTTAATTTGATATTACCGTATTCCAAGCAATAAATTTTTTTTTTTGAAATCCATAAAACCCTTCCTGTAATGATAGGAAAAGTGCTAAAAGCGGAGTCCAATTTACGATTCCGGCTATAACATGAGCATGAATCACTATCACATCGCGATGATACCAGGTGCTTTCCCCACCTGGGACAAGCGTCACAAACACATGCAAGGGCAAGTGCAAAGGATAATGCAAGGAACATATTTATTTTTTTTTAAAAACTCACTGATTATCACATTCGCCTTTTATTTATCATAGTGACATTACGTAACTAATATTGTTTGATTAAAGGTGGTTTACTCCGTGGCTGCCCTGGCTAAGTCCCTATACGATCGTATGTTCGGCTGGCTGGTAAAGAGAGTCAACAAAACACTGGACACCAAGAAACCAAGGCAGTTCTTCATCGGTGTACTGGATATTGCTGGCTTTGAGATCTTCGACGTAAGTGTCATTGCCTGCCGTGACTTTGATAGCATAGCACCACATAGGCCCTTAGGAACAAACACCCGTGATTTTCCGGGTAAGAATTGGTCAGACTCGATGACTTTGTTGATGCATATCTTCGTATCACAACTGCGTCGATCGAAGCTCATGATTTCAGTCACTAGGCTGTCTGGTCCAGACTTCCTGATTTCCAACCGACGCCATAGCAGGTATATTGCTGAGTGCGGCGTTAAACGAACAGCAAACAGCAAACAAAAAAGGAACAGACTTGCTTGTACCTCATAAACGTGTGAGAGCCGACAACAATGTGGATCAACATGCGTGTCATCGTACCCCGACGTCGTGGGGCGTTTCTAATAATATTAATCACAGGTTTGTCTGGTGTCGATAATATATAGACTGCCGTCATACATAGGATACCTCCATTTCCCTTCGTTATGATCCAACTGTTTGCTCTCCCCGCTATGGTATGGGGACTTATTTGTTCCCGCCACCTTAAAGGTTCTCTCACCCTTCTGGGTGTGTCTCATGGGCAAAATAAATGACATGTCTTTACCTCTTTAGTTCAACAGCTTCGAGCAGCTGTGCATCAACTACACCAACGAGCGTCTGCAGCAGTTCTTCAACCACCACATGTTCATCCTGGAACAGGAAGAATACAAGAGGGAAAACATCCAGTGGGAGTTCATTGACTTCGGTATGGACTTGCAAGCCTGCATCGATCTCATTGAAAAGGTAAGAAAGCGTGCACATTTGAAAGACGTCGCTCCTTTCCAGGATGAATACAGAAATTGTGATTTTCAGATAACCACACATTGATGTATTGAGTAAATGTGCTTCCTTTTACAGCCTATGGGTCTGTTGTCCATCCTGGAAGAGGAGTGCATGTTCCCCAAGGCGTCTGACAAGACGTTCAAGGACAAGCTGTTTACCAACCACATGGGCAAGTCACCTAACTTTGGCAAACCTCAGAAGGGACAGAAGGGTGCAACACATGCCCACTTCGCCCTGAAGCACTACGCTGGCACAGTAAGTAACTCCAACAGAACATTGTTACCAAAAAGTACGATAATTCTAACATTAGATTAGACAGAATTAAGACTGTGGGTTCAAATCCTGTTCAGCCTAATTATATAGGTTTGGTTTGCCATCACTGAATGCGTGCTTATGGGTTTTGGTTAATGAGCAAGACCTCTACCACTTCGGACTTTCCTCCCACATCAAGCTGACTGGCCGTGATACAACTGGAATGCTGTTGAAAGCGGTTGAACCAACCTCACTCCTTGTCATCCATATGAAAGTGACCGCCTCTGTGGTCTAGTGGTAGAGCGTCCACCCAGAGAGCGGAAGATCCGGGGTTCGATTCCCGGCCGCGTTATACCAAAAGACGTTAAAAGATGGTACTTGTTGTTACCCTGTCTGGCGCTCGGCATTAAGGGGCTCGGAGTCAGCATTCTGTGTCTGAGTGGGGTTTTCATGTTAAACTGCGGCATGGTATCTCAGTGAGCTAGCACTATAAATCGGCATAAGTCCGGACTAGTACAAGCAGCCACACAAACACACACACGTACATGCGTGTCGCTATATAAGTGCAATAGTCTTGGACGCGACGTTAAACCCCATTTCACCTCACCTCACCATATGAAGGTGTATTGGTCTCGATGCTGAGACCTTGGTTCGATGCCCCACATTGAAACAATATGTGAACTTGCGTGTCTCAGCGGTACACATCACGTTAGTCTTAGGTTCGAATCTGTGATTCAAATGAATTATTCTTATTTGCCAGCATCTGTGCCCGTGAAATTTTACCATCTACGTCGTCACTACATGCTTATCTAGTCATGATGCATCTGTAAGAGTCACCGACGTGTCGGTAAACCCAACTCACTTATTCATCTGCCAACACATCTTCTATGACAGGTGCCCTACAACATCAACGGATGGCTTGAGAAGAACAAGGATCCCCTTAACGAGACTGTCGTGGAGTTGCTGTCTCACTCCAAGGAAGCCATGGTTCAGACTTTGTTTGCGATTCCCGAGGCGCCAGGTAAGAGACCACAAGAAACCAACAACGTATATGTGGAAGTGTAAAGCAAAATCACATAAAAATAAAATGTCAACTCCACAGAATGACCAGTTTCGATTATCTTCCATTGGGCGTAAAAGTCAAAATAGCTGTGGAAATTATATAAAATGTATACAATTTGTATTAAAAAAATAGTGTTTGTATGTTGCATGACACCGCACAGTACAATCGACTCTTGTCATACATTCCAGTGTCATGTCAACAAAGCTGTATAAGTTTACATTTTTCCTTTTCGAAATCGACCCGTGAAGATTCCGGGGTAGAATAGGTCTTCAGCAACCCATGCTTGCCGTAAAAGGTGACTATGCTTGTCGTAAAAGGTGACTATGCTTCTCGTAAAAGGCGACCAACGGGATCGGTTGGTCAGGCTCGCTGACTTGGTTGATGCATGTCATCGATCCCAATTGCGTGGATCGATGCTCATGATATTAATCACTGGATTGTCTGGTCCAGACTCGATTATTTACAGACCGCCGTCATATAGCTGGAATATTGCTGAGCGCGGCGTTAAACAACAAACCAACCAACAACCTTCTCGAAATCAATATTTTCTATACAGTTAGAAGAATTCAATATGTCATTCAGAAGTGATAGATGACTACCAAAGTGTAAAGAAGGACAGTACATACTGATGTGCTTTTCGCGAGTACCTGCTTTTATCATTGAATTTCAGTGATTCATTCGTATGATTTTCACCGATAGTTTGCCTGTTACACCCAAGGAAATGTGTTCAGGTGGATAATTGAGACTGGTTATGCCCTGTCGTTGACGTTATATATTTTGGAATCCATAAATTTTGTAACCCTTGGAATTCTGACTGAGAATTTGTCTCTGGTGCCTAATGCTTGTGGGTAGCCAACTTTAATTGTAATTGGTTTCGCTTATTGTATGTCATCGGACCGGCAGCATGGGATGTTGATCGTGATATCGATTGCCTGGCCCAGATTAATTACAGGCCACCGTGATGTAGATTCATTGTTGTTGACTGCGACGTAAAATTGCAAAACAACTGTAAATAATCAAGAGAAGAATGAATTCTATGAATAGATATTTTAAACGAGTTATCAACATAAACATAATCGTTTAAACTTAATATAGGCAGATGGAAACAATCGTCATCTCCCATAAATGGTCTTATTCTTATTCGTTTATAAAAAAAATATATATATGTAAGAAGTACCAAAAACATCTATTCTCGCAAAGAAAGTGCTAACAACCGTCATGGAGGTCTATATTGCTCATTAAGTTCCAGTAACACAAGCTGCTGTGTGCTTTCGTTGGTTTTTAAGCTGAAGCTCCAAAGCACAGAAAGAAGGGTTCGAGTTTCATGACGGTGTCCTACATGCACAGGGTAGGACTCTCACCAACATACGAAGTCCATAACTTTCAAAACACGTATTTCTTCCAGACCTACAAAACCGAAAATTCGTTTTGAAAAAATATGGACCTCGTAATGTATCATTGGTCTCAAACATATAATCATAATCGTGATATATTTTGGGACCAATAAATGTATATTCCTTTGTACAATCATTAACAACACTGTAATGTGCTCACTTTGACGTTCAGAGGCCGGCGGCAAGAAAAAGAAGAGCTCAGCTTTCCAGACAATCAGTGCTACACACAGGGTATAATTCAGTGACATGGTTGCTATAGGTAGAAGCGTGGTGATCCCCGACCCCAGTCAGGACTTCACACCCCAGTCTGCATGCCACCCCTTTAGAAACAGTTGCCCTTTCACGCAGAACCTAAAAAAACAATAACACTTCTTTCTTAACCCCCAATCATCCTTACCACTGGTTCCTGGACTTCACCTGAACTATAGATAGCTACAGGTACGTTAGAGCACATGTAGCTTCACAAGCTCCTCCTTCACATAGACCAAGTCTCTGACACTGCTGATGACTCCTTCCTTGTGTGACATTTGTGTTAACGATGTGAGATGCGTGAGTTTCCTTTTAATAACAAAGTGTGAAAACTTCACCGTTGACGCCAGTACTTCACGACCACCACTTTCTCTGCATGCCTTTCTCTTTCCTCAACAACACGGAGCACCACTGGTGTTTTCCGGTTCTTCCAGATTGTATCTCTTTAACACTGTTTGATCATGGAACGTTACGGTAGCTCAGTGGTTAAAGCGTTCGTCACGATGGAGACCTGGAATCGATTTCCCACATGGATGTGCTTTGTGAAGCCGAATGGCCTCCACACTGCTGAAGTTATGATACAAGCGTAGGAAAAACTGTACATTTACCTACCCACAATTCTGTTCCTAGTTAGGTTCCAGTCTTCTGCATCTCATGCTCTTTCTTCATCTTTTCTGATGCATCGACCTTTCTCTTTGAAATTGTCCTCTTTCCTGTCTGCCTTGAAAAAAATAATTATAATTTAATTTCACCATAAACAACTATTTGAACTGACAATTTGATCATATATTGATACTCATATGATTTTCGATCATGTCATCGCTTATGACCTACAATAATGAAATATAATCTCCCATTGTCAAGTGTATGATATTATACATGCATAGTATGCATGCAGTTTCCTGCCGTTTCCTTGGTATAAAGCCCGTGTTGTTCTGTAACAGGAGTCTCTGAACAAACTGATGAAGAACTTGTACAGCACTCACCCCCACTTCGTGCGTTGCATCATCCCCAACGAGTTCAAGACGCCAGGTGAGCTAAATCTAGCAGGGCCAATGCTTACATGGGGTTGTTCCTCTGTTGAATAGGACTCATCTCACCAGTCGTTCCTATTACCTAAGGCATTCCAAAATAACCTGCGGACTTGTTGATCGTAGGTTCGAATCGTTTATCCACCCTGATTACGAGTCTTGGTCAGTTAGTTGCGCCATTTGGACACACTGATCTGCCTTGATATAACCGAAAACTGTTTAAACTCACATACATAAGAAAATAAATAGATGTAATCTCACTCTCTAAGATTCACTGCCAATGTATATTCATACTCCATACTTTAGGATACACGGACACTGTCCTATTCTTGATTTAAATGAATATCTCTGGCATATATGATCCCATCAAGGAAACAGATTTGACAATATTAAGCAAACCTCTTAGGACGCGTGGAGGTTTTATTTGATCGCATAAACGTCCTGTACAAGAGGACATCTGTTTACATGGATTTCTTGTTCAAAACAGGTCTGATTGACGCTCATCTCGTGCTCCACCAGCTGCAATGTAACGGTGTACTTGAGGGTATTCGTATCTGTCGTAAGGGTTTCCCCAACAGAGTCATCTATTCCGAGTTCAAGCAGAGGTAAGATAGGCCCAGTCTCCTGATTCAGCGCGGAATACGATTAGATGTCAATAGATCCCTAAACAAGCCACGAAAACATAAAGGTGTCTGTTATATTTGTTAGCGCAACATACTCTCGGGTATGCATGAATAAATTTACCTGTACTATAATTTACCACAATACGAAATATTAAATCAGATATCAGCAATAATTCTGATTTGTTTATACGATGAATAATTTGGTAAATCAATGATTGCCTATGAGCGAAAATATATATAATCGTGAAAGAGAAACTTACTCTCATCAGACTTCGTTGGGAACTTTGGCACTATTTCAAGCCCATGCTTCTTCCTAAATATTAAGTATAGGAGAACGACAGAGTATGAACACAGGTTCTAGATCCATTCGTGTTTGTTGCCGCACAGATACTCCATCTTGGCCCCTAATGCCATTCCCCAAGGCTTTGCTGACGGCAAAGTTTGCACCGCGAAGATTCTTGAAGCTCTTCAGATGGACACAAATGAATACCGTTGTGGTCTTACCAAAGTATTCTTCAAAGCTGGTGTGCTGGGTTACCTAGAGGATCTCCGTGACGAGCGTCTGTCCGCCATCATCTCCATGTTCCAAGCCCACATCCGTGGATATCTGATGCGTAAGGCTTACAAGAAACTCCAGGACCAGAGGTGAATACATTGTAAAGACGATGATTATCTGTGTGTAACACATAGGGCCATCGGTCAAACGAACATTATCCTCACGCATATGAAAAGGGTGATCCCGTGGATCCGAGTCCTTTGTGGTCATAACTATACACCTGACAATGCATTTATTAACTTGAAAAATGCACTTTTAGAAATGTGGACTTTGTTATGTCGTGATATTAAATATGCATATCAAATGGACAATTGTTTCTTTTTCCAGAATTGGCCTCTCCGTGATTCAGAGGAACATCCGTAAGTGGCTGTCCATGAGGAACTGGCTCTGGTGGAAACTGTACACCAAGGTCAAGCCCCTCCTCAACATTGCCCGTGCTGAGGACGACATGAAGAAGAAGGAAGAAGAACTTGAAAAGACCAAGGAAGAGTTGTCTAGGGTTAGCCAGAGAGGAAAGGAACTTGAGGAGCAGAACGTCACCCTTCTTCAACAGAAGAACGACCTGTTCCTTCAACTGCAGACTGAGCAGGACAGTTTGGCTGATGCAGAGGAGAAAATCGAGAAGTTGATTGGTCAGAAGGGAGACTTTGAACAACAGTTGAAGGATCTCGAGGAACGACTCTTGGACGAAGAAGATGCAAATGCTGATGCGTCCGAGAGGAGAAAGAAGATGGAAGGAGAAATCGACGATCTCAAGAAAGACTGTGAAGAACTTGAAGGCAATCTAGCAAAGGTAAACGATAAGTTTCCAATGTCAGAATCTATTACCGTAAATACGTGTCAAACCCATTTATTCGCTGTACTCCAAACTAACTGGTAAAATAATGATAGCTGTGATCAAGTCGTATCATGTTCACCGCCATTTTGTCTTTTACACACAAAGGAATCTATTTCATTGGATAGTCGAGACTGGTTATTCTCTGGCGTTGACGTTTCTATATTTCCGCACTGGGTGTTTCCTGTTAGGCTGAACAAGATAAACAGACCAAAGACAACCAGATCAAGACACTCCAGGATGAGATGGCAGCTCAGGATGAACAAATCGCAAAGCTGTCCAAAGGCAAGAAGGATCTCGAGGAGCTCCAGAAAAAGACAATGGCAGATCTTCAGGCTGAGGAAGACAAGGTCAACCATCTCAACAAACTCAAGCAGAAACTCGAATCAACACTTGACGAGGTGAGTATGGTTGGGGTGTCCCTTTCTGTTGCCTCTGGTAACCCAGGTATCTTTTCTGAAGGGGCTGATCGGAACAATATACATGATGTTGTTCTCTTTAGTATTGTGATGATTGATGGATTTAATCAACTTTGTCCAGGGTCCAGTGCTAATGTTGGGTTTTCTGCTGTAGCTTGAGGATAATCTGGAACGCGAGAAGAAGGTGAGAGGTGATGTAGAGAAGGCCAAGAGGAAGGTGGAACAGGATCTGAAAATGACACAAGAAACAGTAGAGGACCTGGAACGTGTCAAGCGGGAGCTTGAGGAGAATGTTAGAAGGTAGGGCCATGTGCTAGTCTGTCTCTAAACCATATTATTTACCTTCCTGTCGGCCTGTACTATAAACACTGTAAGTGAAGCAGATCTAGTTTCCACAGGTTCCGAATACTCCATCTCACTGGGTCTCCTTTTCAATTAAATGAAGCTGCTTGTTGGTGTCAAAATTATATATTTGTAGAGACTAAGCGTTAGTCTAGACGAACAGACGAATACCATAGCATTCCAAATGTAGGACGTAGGATCACGTGACATAAGCAGACGACAAACAAAGTATTGTCAGTGTAGCAGTCGTTTGCTACAGCAATGTACGACCAATAAATAGTAGTACTAGCCTGACTGGTGTATGACAAGGTTCTGAATAAGCTGATGAGAGGTTCCTTGTGTGGCTTCTTTGTTCTTGTATTCATCCTATAACACCCGGGTTCTGTTCCCCACATTATCTGGCCTCAATTATTTTGAATTTTACAAAACGCTGATTTATTCATTCTAGGAAAGACATGGAAATCAGTGGTCTCAATTCTAAGCTGGAAGACGAACAGTCTCTGGTTGCTCAACTCCAGAGGAAGATTAAAGAACTACAGGTATAAACACAGGAATACATACCCCTTACCATTTCAAACCCTATCTTCACCCTAAAATAACATCTCTCATCACCATCACATATATCCACATACACATTCCTCACTACATGCTCTAGGGTAAGTATGTACTCGTTACTTCTAGCAGTTTTTGCCCGGGATATTTGAATTGTATATGTGGCCTATGGATGGCGATGGATACATCGGTGCTGCCTGGCTGGGATCACAGGTGAGTCCAAGATATATATGAATAAAGTTTGCTGTGCTACCTGCGTGTTCCTTCTTTCTTACCTCTCTATATATATGATTTAATATGAGTTTCCCACCCTCGGGTATAGACCCTCACCGTGATCCATAGTCCCCTCGAGTAGCCCTTACTAAACTACATGAGAGTATCGCCATGCCTGGGTTGACCTTATAACATGTCACACTGACCATTGCCATGGTTGCCTACCCTTTGACGTCAGCCTTTCAACACGTGTTCAACACGTGTTCAACAGGGACCAGGGTTGGTTCGTTGCTTCCATACAAGGGTCCGGGAGCATATATTTTATGACAACCTGACTGCGTAATGGATCGATTATCGATTTAATCTTTAGGACCAGATGCATGATATGACTAGGTGGTTTCGAAACATGTATTTGTTTCTTTTTCCTGAGGCGGGGCACGGGTGGCCCAGTCGTCTACGGCGCCGCGATTCGCTGTGCAGAGTTGCGTCTCTTGGGCACGCCAGAAACCTATGATTGTGGGTTCCAATCCCGGTTCGCCCCGATTATGTTTCTGGGTTTGACAAGCACCATACCCGTGCTCGTGGGTTTCACCGAAGTGGTAAACGTCTGCGACCTGCATCACTTCGGGCTTTCCTCCGACATTAGGCTAACACGCCGCGATATAACTGTATTTGTGTTAAAAGCGGCGTTAAACCCAACTCACTCACACTCACTTTTCCTGAGGCCACGAGTCTTATGGTATGTTCGGATGGTATGTGCGTTTCGGAAATATATTCATATGTGTATGTTATAACCGTTTTGCATCGTGCAATAGTCTTCTAGGGTCTTAAATATGTCATCTCTCAGATTTATTTCCGTCTATGCCTGACACCTTGGTGAAGTATTATCTTCTATGTCACATGTCTACCATCAACAGGTGTACTGTCGTTATTCACTCTTTAACACAAATCTACCGCCCAAAGGTGTACTGTCATTATTCACTCTTTAACACAAATCTACCGCCAACAGGTGTACTCTCACAATTAACTATACATCATACATCTACCACCAACAGGTGTACTGTCGTTATTCACTATACATCACACATCTACCGCCAAAAGGTGAACTCTCACAATTAACTTTATATCACACATCTACCACCAACAGGTGTACTCCCATTACCGATACACCCTAACAAGGTGCGTGTGTTCATTTTGATCTGGACGTCTATTGTTTGTGCAACCCTTCCCATCCATCTACGTGTAGTCCATGTAGTACCATATATAGCAGTTTGAATAAGAACTATATTGAAATGTTTATGTTACAATTGGCATCTTTGTTAATCTAATATAAGCAAAAAATCACTTGTGTTTAACATAAAATTACGCAATTATAATCCCTACCCCCCTCTTTGATATGCAATTAAATTAAATAAAAAAATAATTAAAATTATTATTAAATGAATACTTCGCATTACGCAGATATCGCACCAACAAATTAAAACGGGATTTAGATGGTTGCGCGGTAAATATATGTTGATAGGCCAAATGAGACGTGAACTGTTTGATTAGATAGAATACATTTCGTGCAATCAACGGCAGATTTTGGGGTACAGAGAAAAGGTAAGTGCAAGATTTGTTTTCTTTTAAGATTGAACAGCCAGGAGGCACGTTTCAGAAATATTCCGCGTTTTTACAAATACCTAAAAAATACGCTCTGCCTTCATAGAATCACTGGAAAAACCTGTGAGGTAACTTAGGACAACTTAAGCTCGAGGGGGTGACGTTGAAATGCGATGTGGCTGGGTAGAAGTTGCCGTTGTCTACTTCTACTCTTTAAATAATCAATTAATTAAACATCCACTAATATCTTCACGAATGCTTACATAACGATCTAAATTTGAATATGAGTTTAAACTTCCAATAAGCCCACACACGGTGTATAATCTAAGCTTATAATCAGTGTATATTAACTTGGTATGAAACATTTGGTATGCACATCCTGGTCATGACAAATATATAAACTTAGTAAATGTAGAACTATTTTAGTATAAACTCTTGGTATGGATGTAGGTATGCGCATCTGGTAAACCTATTCAGACGTTTTTTTACATTATTGACACGGATCCATGTGATAAACGTATCAATATTTGTAATCAGGCCGTCGGTGTTTTCTTGTGTGTACTCTCACGTCAGACAAGCTAATAAGTCAGGTTTGACGTGGAAAGTCACTATCAACAGATCTGACTGACGGAATGTTGGAAAATGTGCTCACGAAGCATTTCCTGCCGTGTGCTTCATTTTCAACAGTTGTTTGGCAAACTGCACCTACACGTAAATAGACTTCTTCGATGTTACCATAGCAACCGTTCAAGGTATTTGACAAGAATCCTCCCATACGTTTGCTCATCTACGACCCCAGAAAATTCCTCGATGAAGACGCGTTTATAGAACGTAGGTTAAGCTTTTCTTAATCAATTATGATTGATGACTTTTTGAAGAGGTTTTATCGGTAATCAAATAATTATGAATTTCATAAAAAATCTATCAGAAGAGCATTAACTGCCATTTAATACATGCAAACCGAAAATGATCAAATAGTTTTGTTCCGACCGTGAAATGTGTGGTAAAACCGTTAATCTTCTCATGCCATCCTTTTTTAAATGCACACACGTGTTCAATGACGTCATATTGGAATTCAACACTCCTTTTGCGATAATACAATTTGAGAGTAGGAAGATCTTCCCAACGCAGCAAGTTTGCAGAGAATCAACGTTCTTCATTACATTGCGTGATTCACCGTTTGCTGTAATTCGTTTTCTGTTAATGGCTAGGCAGCAGACAAAGGCATACCGGTAAATAAATACCGGTACATAAATACCGGTATGTGAAACGATGAAGACGAGAAATAATTATCTCAAAATACCGCTATAGCAACTCAAACGGTGATACCTGGTTAGGTTAAAGGGAATTTAGTGTTCAAATTCAGTAATTATAAATTCCGCAAATAAATCGGCTTCTAATGTGGCAGAATCAGTAAGAAGATGTCTGCCTCTATGTACGAACGTCCTACTAAATACTGACGTGTAAGCACTGAAAGAGGAAGTGAGGCTACAAAGACGGAAACAATGCCTGCCATATATATGTTTCGCTTGGAATGTAACTGATACTGAAAAACAAGTTATATTTACATCCCAGATGCGAGACATACTGCTTCATTGTACCAAAACAACTGCATGTGCAGTGTTACTCATGAGATGCAGGGCAAGACGTGCTACAATGCAGATATGATGCAAGGTCGGTTAAAAGTCAATATTCTCCCCCAGGTATCTCACCTGTGGCGCATCACGATCGCGATTAATCATCCTGAAATATTTTCTCGCCAGAACAAAATGCCATATGAAGAATTTGCTTCTTCGGGATGTAGTTGTATGGAGTAGCGAAACGTATAGGTAATATAAAAAAATACTAATACATGTATAAATGCTAGGTTCAGAGAAACGATGGGCGTTATGGTTGGGATTTGACGTTTTTGGCAAGCCTATTTGATCGGAACTACTCATGTATACAATGTAGACTCGCTGTTCATGTCACGCTGTCAGTTTCAGAGGAATTCATAAGCTGGAGAATCCGACACATTCGCCACCGATGTTGTGAAATCCTATCCCCGCCTCGCTAGCTAAATAAGGAAGAGCCCGGCATGGGGGCTTTGCTTATCTTGGTGTAACCTGATATCTGCCTCGCTCTCCCCCCAGACTGATAGTAAAATCTGTTAAGAAAGCTCCTCACAGCGCCTCCCCCTTTGTGTTTCCAATATTGTGCTTCCGTCTCGAAACAAATTCCCTTGTTTCGCTGTGTTTGCGTGTGCATATATCTCTTCCTGTAACCATCCTCGATCCTAGCTAGTTCCAGACATGTAATCCGAATCTTCTTATCGCTGGCTGGCGGCCAAACTCAGTGTTTTTACATTTTGTTTGAGCGCCTAAATAAGTTCAGCTCGGAATTATGCGTAGTCGGTACAATTACCAGGAAGCATCACATGACCTTGGGAAGGGCAAGAGGTCAACTCGTTGTCAGGAGTGATGACCTCATCCTATTAACATATTCCATGAAGCCGGACCTTTAAAGGCAGGTAAGTGTTATGCGGTGTTCTAGAACTGACAGTTCCCGACTCCACACAGCTCGCGCCGGTACTGCTCATGGTGTTCGTTCTTGGTGATTCACAACAATGGCTGCCAGTGTATAAAGTGAGAAGCCGGCTGACTCCCCCCAGTTACCCATTACCTTCCTGTGGTGCCTACCTCCCAGCCTGGACCCTGTCTTCTACCATATAGCGTAGAGACCGGGACACCAGCCTTCGTTACAACTGATAATACTTTTGATATTCAAGGGTATTAATCATACATATCGGTCACCATGGCAACTAATGGAGACGCTGTTTCGGTGCCTGCTCCTGCACGGGAGCCTGACCCACCGGTCATTTCGGCCCCTGCCCCACAGGAAGATGTTGTCACTACAGTTAAGGAACAGGTGACAGTGAAGAAGTCAGCTCCTAAGCCTGTACCTGCACCTGCCCCGGAGCCCGAGACTAGACCACGACAGTCCAAAGGTTCTAAAACATCAACAAAGACTAGCACTACGAAATCGTCTTCAACTGTGAAAGGTTCTAGAATTAAATCATCATCTGGATACCCGTCTTATTATAGTGATCTTCAAAAGGAATTCCATGGGGTAACGCCATCAGTGCTGGACAATATCGGGAGTCACCCACTGCTGTTCTCGCGTGCTTACGAGCCATCAAGATACCCAGGTCTTAGCGCAAGAAGCAGGAAATTTATTCGAGAGGCAGCCGATCTGGCCTGTGTGTCCCCGGGATTAAAAAACCTGCTAGAAGTAATGTACTGTTTTAAATGCTTTTACACAACCTTTTCATCTTTTTTCATCACGCACATCTTCTACATGCATGATTTTTATCATTTTATACAATGCTTTGTTTTTAATTTCTGTTCTATATAATTCATTCTTGTTCAGTTGAAATCGTTTTCTAACGTCAATGTCCATCCCCTCCCCTAAACTCCCAGCTGTTTAGGGCCACCGTGCACTGGCAGCAGGCTTATGATGGTGATGGCTGGACGAGTGTAAACACATGCAAGCGGCCATCAGTAATTCCCAGTGATCTGTCAAAGTCTGATAAGAACCAGCTCTTGATGATAACGCTGCAAGCTGGGTTCTCCCAGTTTGATATCATAAAGCGTAAAATTGTGATTCTATTATCGTCAGTGTGATTTAAAGTGTATCCAACTTTTGAATATCAGCATGACTTTGCAAATCAGCAGTATTGTGCCTTGAAAGCAGAATGCTTAGAAGATAATTCCAAAGATAGTTGAGTTAAAAAAAATCAAGTTCTCAAATTTCTCGTAGGCGCATCACCTACGTACGACCTGACTCACTGTTCAAGTATGTGGCTTATTCACTTGAAGTGTAGTGATACGTCGTGTGAAGACCGGCCTCCAGGAGAACCAGGCCTACCCTCACACTAGGACCCTCGGACCCCTCCTCTCCCACATACCCTACCCCTGTTCGTATAGTTCTTCAATACTTTTTGAAAATGACAAATCGTTCTTTGCAGGCCCGTATTGAAGAACTTGAGGAGGAACTCGAGGCCGAAAGACAAGCAAGAGCCAAGGTAAGCATAGAGCTGGAACTTATTCCTATTCACGCCTCTATTACTTACTGAAACACTGATATCTTAAACCAAGAAGAATTCTTTGGTTCAAGGGATGGTACGAGATAATATTAATTACTACCAAAGCCTACATCACCAAATAAGCTTCTAGGAACTTTTAATGAAGAATTTGGCTTTCGTTCAAATGTTTGGGGCCTCTCAGCTTTCGGAATTCTGTCAATTTCAGTTTGTTTTACCAAGCGTACTGACATTCGTAACAGTCGCTTCTAAAAATACACATGGAGAGAGTTTTGCTACATTTAAGCAGAATCCTGCACACTCAGACAAACTACGTGGGCCCAACTTATCTCTGGCTATATATAGTTGTACCGTTCCAGCACTCCTCAGTGCTAGAGGTTTTTATGTATGTTTACCGTGCGATTCCTTGTCAGTTAGGAATTATTATATCAACAAAAAACGTGGAACAAAGAACATCTGGAACATTACATTGTTGTTAGGAAGCTATAACCAAGTATGGTTTATCATCGCCGTTCTTTGTTTTTTACATAAGTCACATATATTCCCAATGAAGCACTACATAAATAAAAACGTATTATTCATGATTCGTTAATTGGAATTCTTTAAGAAACTTAATGAAGGTTTCAGAGGACTTTTGCAGGAATCAAACGAGAGCCTTTAATAAGCTGTTGCTCCAAATTACCATCCTCAGGTCGAGAAACAGAGAACTGAACTATCTCGGGAATTGGAAGACCTCGGCGAGCGCCTGGATGAGGCCGGCGGCGCCACCGCTGCTCAGGTAAGATTAATTACAGGTGTGAAATTCCGAGCAAGCAGATTTGAGTAAAAGCACTTTACTGAGAATAATATGAAGGTATATTTTTCTATTTTATTGTCTTGGCGCAGAATCAATATGACTTGCTCAGATATGTGACAAACTTAGCGTGTACATCTTTGATGAGATATGCAGGTTGAAGGGCTTGGACGAGTCCAAATTTACTACCCGGGTACCTAACGCCCCATTACCCGACCCTACCCGGGTACCCACTATAGGTCTCAGGAGATGCCTCAAAATGTCCGATTGGAAACATTTTTAGCATAGCCCTGGCAAAACTTATTTAGATACATGTATTAAACAATCTGGTCATTCATACACTGAAGTTGAATTAAGTTTTATTTTTATTCAACCATATGAAAAATCAGAAGGAATGCACACATTAGTGACTTGTAGTGTAAGCATAGAGTTCTAGATAATTTTTGCCATTAAACAATATATCACGTGACTGACCACTGGTTTGGGCAGTCCTGTTGGTACCCGGGTCCTACTCAGTACCCACCCGACCCGGATACCCGAGTTACGCGTCCCAGCGCTAGTAGATTGGCATAATTTCGTATCACATAGTAATTTTGCGTTCCAAATTTCCCAACTTACTAAACCGTGGACTTCGGGACACTCGTAGCGCTGAGGTCGCTTTGTGAATCAGTACTGAGGCCGTTGTACTTCTGATATGGCTAACGATGACGCATTGATTACGTTGTCAACACTAACATACACACAACTACTTCCAGGTCGAGTTGAACAAGAAGCGTGAGCAGGAACTCCTGAAGCTGCGTCGTGATCTCGAGGAATCCACTCTTCAGCATGAGTCTCAGGTCGCATCTCTCCGCAAGAAACAACAGGAAGCTTCCAATGAGCTCAGTGACCAGGTTGACCAGCTCCAGAAGGTCAAGAGCAGGTACGTGATTAGTACAGAAAAAGGACCTCCCACAACCCTGACAACTATCCTTCCGAGAAGACTTCACACATATGTTCCTTTGTCCCACACGAAAAATAGTTCCTAAACGACATGGTTATGTGAGTGCCGCTATATAGCTCAAATATTGCCGATGCGAAATGCAATTTTAACTCTTCACCACTACATAGCTTAATAATTGTTGACGTGGCATGCAGTTTTAACTCTTTACCCAATACAATTGAAAAATAGCTGATGCGACATAAAATTTTAACTCTTCACTGATGTGTAGCTGAAACATTGCTGATGCGATATACAAATTTAACTCATAAACTCTTTATGTGAACATCTGCACTTTGTCAACCCCACTGCAACAAATACAAAATTCCACGTTGTCCTAGTAAATATTGATGTATTGGTTGGTTGGTTGGTTTGTTGCTTAAGGCCGCACTCAGCAATATTCCAGCTATATGACGGCGGTCTGTAAATAATCGAGTCTGGACCAGACAATCCAGTGATTGATATTACGAGCATTGATCCACGCAATTGGGATCGATGACATGCATCAACCAAGTCAGCGAGCCTGACCACCCGATCCCGTTAGTCGCCTTTTACGACAAGCATAGTCACCTTTTACGGCAAGCATGGGTTGCTGAAGACCTATTCTACCCCGGAATCTTCACGGGTCTGATGTATTGGTGTCTGTCTGTGTTTCAGGCTGGAGAAGGAGAAGAACCAGATGAAGAGCGAGATGGATGATCTGCATGCCCAGGTCGAACACGTGTCCAAGAACAGGGTAGGTCATTATGGACCTTTATAATCGCCATGTTAGCTATCCTACCGCTCGTCATCCCGTAAACATTTATCAGTTACAATATGTACTATTTTGCAAACTGACACATATAACAGGTTTAACAAAACGAAAAATAAAATACAGACAGACAGACAAATTTATTCGGTACTTCAGTCCACCGGCCCATAATACAATGGAAATATTCTGTATATATATCTGCATGCTGAGTAGATTTAATACTGATTTACCGTTCAACACTGTGTTTCCGTTCGAATGTTCATGACTTGGAAGAGAAATATACCTAAGCTTTTTATAATTTGTTCGTTTTCAGCTGACATAAGTCTTATAAAATTCTCAATAGAGGGAGGGGTAACGAGTCGCTTGGGAAAAGAGTTTCTTCTTGCTCTAGAATACTGGTCACAAATCATAAGATAAAATATTTGTTCTGTAACTCATTCTCTCGTGTACGTAATATTTTCCAGGGAACATCCGACAAGCTTTCGAAACAGATGGAGAACCAGCTAGCCGAACTCAACAGCAGGATTGACGATGGACAGCGCCAAGTCAGCGACCTCAGCTCCCAGAAGAACCGCCTTCAGGCTGAGAGTGCAGACCTCACCCGTCAATTGGAAGATGCTGAACACCGCGTGGGCTCTCTCTCCAAGGAGAAGAACTCACTCGCTAGCCAGTTGGAGGAGGCTAAGAGATCACTTGAGGATGAGACCAGAGTACGGGCTGTTTTCTAAATATCGACTATTGGATTTCCAGTAAAACCCCTTCATTGATAAACGAGTTGTCAGCATCACAGCAGAACCAACGTGGAATGTTTGCAAATGTTTGACATACACGGGACCGTGTGGTTGCGTAGTCGTAAAACCCTTGTCTCATAATCAGAAGATGGGGTTCCAATGTGTTTAATATGTAAATGCGGCGTAAAGCAATACTCGTCAAAAAGAAGGAGAAACAATAGGATATAAATGTTTTTAAACAAACATGAAGCTGCAACATTTTTGTTTTTTTAATCGTAGACCCGCCAAAAGCTCCAGAGCGAAGTAAGAAATCTGAGCTCCGACCTGGACGGTATCCGCGAACAACTGGAAGAGGAACAAGAAGGTCGCAGTGATCTTCAGAGGCAGCTGTCCAAGGCGAATGCCGAGGTGCAGCAATGGAGATCGAAGTTCGAAAGCGAGGGAACAGCCCGCACAGAGGAACTCGAGGATGCTAAGTAAGTCCATCAAAACAGCTGTAATATTGTGTTGTAGTCGTGCATACAGTGAGGGTCAGGTGACGACGAATGTGTCCTGATCCACGGTCATTCAACCTCTTCATTAGCAATGGGCGCTCTGCGACAGTTGAAGAGAACGTACAGAACATAAGCAAGTGGGCAGGGTTCGCCACGAACCGACTTTAGTTGCGACTGTAGTAACTCCCCCTTCTTTAACATAACGTGCGACCGCTTTGGCGCTCAGGTCACTTCATGTAGGGGTGCACGGGTGGCCCAGTCGTCTAAGGCGCCGCGATTCGCTGTGCAGAGTTGCGTCCCTTGGGCACGCCAGAAACCTATGATTGTGGGTTCGAATCCCGGTTCGCCCCGATTATGTTTCTAGGTTTGTCAGCACCATACCTGTGCTCGTGAAATTTAACCGAAGTGGTAAACGTCTGAGACCTGCATCACTTCGGGCTTTCCTCCCACATTAAGCTGACACGCCGTGATATAACTGGAATAATGTTAAAAGCGGCGTAAAACCCAACTCGATCACTCACTCACTTTGTGTAGCGGGGCCCAGGACAGGAAGATAACCACCAGGACCCACTTACACAAAGAGATCTTAGCGCTAAGATGATCGTAACTCCCATACTTTAACGCAGGCTTACAAAAGTCGTAGCGGTGAGATCGCTTTGTGCAAGTGGGCACAGATCTAAAGATGGTTTGTATTTGATACTGGGAATGAAAATACTTTAGAAAATGTATACAAGTTACTTTAGTGAACATTGATTCTATTATGCATTAGAGCTTCCATTGTATTGTAACGTCTTCTTCAAGGCGCCGCCTTCAGTCAAAACTCAACGATGCTGAACAGAACATGGAAGCTGCCCAGGCCAAGGTCAACGCCCTTGAGAAGTCCAAGTCACGCCTTCAGGGTGAACTGGAAGATCTGATGGTCGACGTCGAGAGGGTGAGTGGTTAGATATGAGGACCCCTTACAACAGACGGGTACCGTTCTGCACACAAATACGCATTATTTCTGATAGACAACACATAGTGAACACATAGCATTTATGAGAAATATTAATAACTGTTGTGTTCTAGATAGATATTTTTTTAACAAAATAAATTTAAATATGAAAAATTGTAGTTTGTTCGTGCCATAATGCCTCAAATAATCTCCACAAATCCCCGAAATGCATACAGAATTTCCCATTGCCTTAAGTACAATGTTTTCCAATCATGCGAGTTAACGGTGACAACATCAGACCTTTACATGCACTTAATTTTTTTCCTAATTACTATTTACCTTGAAATAGCATCAGGTTCTAAGCCAGGCTGGGGTCTCATACGGCAAAGGAGTGTATCCTTTAGTTAGACTTAAACCTCTTTGTGATTTCTCTTACAGTCCAACGCTAACGCCAACTCACTAGAGAAGAAGCAGCGTGCCTTTGACAAGACCCTTTCTGAGTGGCAATCCAAGGTGAAGGACCTTCAGTCCGAGCTTGAGAACGCTCAGAAGGAGTCCCGCGGTTACTCTGCTGAACTCTTCCGTACCAAGGGCCAACTGGAGGAGTCTCAGGACCAGATCGAGTCTGTCAGGAGGGAGAACAAGAACTTAGCTGGTGCGTACGACAGGCTAGAGAAACAATTCCATAAAATGACTTACCTTTTTCACCAGTTTTGGGTTCTGAAAGGATTTTTTATTTATATATCGACACATTGTGTGTGATTTGAATTCAATGAAATTGTCATTGTCATATTGTGAACTTCAGATGAGATCCACGACCTCACTGATCAGCTTACCGATGGCGGTCGCAGCACGCACGAGACCCAGAAGATGTGCAAACGTCTCCAGATGGAGAAGGAGGAACTGCAGGCTGCCCTGGAGGAGGCCGAGGCTGCCCTGGAACAGGAAGAGGCCAAGGTCATGCGTGCTCAGCTCGAGATGTCGCAGGTCCGTTCTGAGATTGACAGACGCATCCACGAGAAGGAAGAGGAATTCGAAAACACACGGTAAAGAAACTACTAGTCATCGGATATCCATATACTTTGTTTAATCTTCGAGATGTTTTATGTTAACGTGAGGCTGATGCTATGACAGAATTTCGTTCATAGTAGTATGAAGTAGAATGGGGTCAAAACTAGCAAAATTTCTACATTGTAAAAAACAAATCGAGAACATTGGTTGTGAAAAAATGATGATATAAAAAAGTTAATTGAATTTACTTGAAATTTTCAGCCGCAACCACCAGCGTGCTCTTGACTCCATGAACGCAAGTCTGGAGGCTGAAACCAAGGGCAAGGCTGAGGCCATGAGGATCAAGAAGAAGCTGGAATCTGACATCAACGAGCTGGAGATTGCCCTGGACGGCGCCAACCGTGGCCGGGCTGAGGCCGAGAAGAACATCAAGAGATACCAGCAACAAGTCAGGGTAGGTAGTCACGCTGATTCCTTCTCAACCAGCAACAAGTCAGGGTTGGTAGTCACGCTGATTATATCTCAACCAGCAACAAGTCAGGGTTGGTAGTCACGCTGATTATATCTCAACCATCAGCAGGTCAGTGTAGCAAGTCATACAGATTCTAGCTCATCATCTCAGCAGCAGAGCCGTGAAGTTCTAGGTCTTCAGCAACCCATGCTTGTCTTAAGAGGCGACGACTCTATTCGGGTGGTCAGGCTCGCTGACTTGGTTGGTGCCTGTCAATAGCCAAATAGCGTAGATCAATGCTAATAATGTCGACCACTGTATTGTCTGGGCCAGGCTCGACTATTAAAGGACCGCCGTCATTTAGCTGGAACATTGCTGAATGCGGTGTTAAACAACTAACAACCAACAGCAAGTCAGTGTAAGTAGTCAAACAGATTCCATCTCAAACAGCAACAAGTCAGAATGGGGTGTCAAACGCGAACGTTGCCTTATTCTCTTACATTTTTCAAAGGTAATTGCTTTGCTAATATTTATTTATTGAGTTGAATCATTTTGATGTTTGTTTTATCAGGAACTCTCAGCATGCGTTGAAGAAGAGCAGCGCAACCGTGATGAGGTCCGCGAGAACCTCAACATGACTGAACGTCGTTGCAACATCCTCACCGGGGAGTGCGAGGAGCTCCGTACAGCTCTCGAGTCCGCCGAGCGTGCCCGTAAGGGAGCTGAAAACGAGCTGACTGATGCCAACGACCGTGTCAACGAACTCGCCGCCCAGGTGTCATCTGTATCCAGCCAGAAGAGGAAATTGGAGGGAGATGTTACCGCCATGCAGGTGCGCCATTGAGAACCGTGCAAGCACTATTCAATGTATTACGTTGTTACCATGTAATCACGAATCTGTGGGTTATCATATTCACTCTAGTAAATGTTTGGTCGTAACAATATCCAAAAACGGGATGGGGTAGCAAAGTAGCTAAAGGGGCGTCAGTCATTTGATGACCCAGGCTCGATTCCACTGCGTTAAGTCCTTTTACGGTTTCCAAGTTGTGATATGGCTGGAGTAATGATTAACAGAGGATAAGACCGTACCTGCTACCTCGTTATTATGCAACTAGTATTTTAAGTCAGACTACAACAGGGTTTTCACATACTGTAATATTCGTTGGTATATTCTAGGCTGACCTGGATGAGATGAACTCTGAACTCCGTGGCTTTGAGGATAGCGCCAAGCGCGCTATTGCCGATGCCGCCCGTCTGGCTGACGAGCTCCGACAGGAGCAGGACCACGGACTCCAGGTGGAGAAGCTCCGCAAGGGGTTGGAGAGTCAGGTGAAGGAATTGCAGTCCCGTTTGGATGAAGCTGAGGCACAGACACTCAAGGGAGGCAAGAAGATCATTCAGAAACTCGAACAGAGAGTAAGTACCTCCAATACATCATTCAAAATGTTTATACAACTGACCAGTAGTCTTAAAAGGATTTGGATGTAGTTTTCAATCACGCATACATCTGGGCCAAACAATTGTCCCTGTACTCATACTTATGTCTTTCAATCACAAAAATGAAAAAAAACATTGCCATACGTTGATTAATCTCATATCAAAAGGATGCTGTCCTGGGTCACATAACTATCAATTCTGGCGTTGTATAATCTCTGAAATGACTCTTCTGTAATGATGACATGAGAAACAATCTGACGTCTGGTGATAATTCCAGGTCCGTGAACTCGAGTCTGAGCTTGACAACGAACAGCGCCGCCACGCGGAGACCCAGAAGAACATGCGCAAGGCTGACAGACGTCTTAAGGAGATCGCGTTCCAGTCTGACGAGGACAGAAAGAACCAGGAGAGACTCCAGGACACCATCGACAAACTCAACGGCAAGATCAAGACATACAAGCGCCAAGTGGAGGAAGCTGTGAGTGTTCTTTCCAGCATCCTCGAGAAACATGTCTTCAATTAATTGTCAAAATACGTGTCAGGGTGTCTGAAGTGGGGTCACGATAAACAATGTTGATAATGCAAACCCACAGACCAGACAACAATGCAAAATGTGTTTAATATATAAACATCCGATCCAGCAATCTTTGACTAAATCATCATCTATCTGTACGAGTAGGTCCAAGACGCCATTGGTTAACCCTGTATTTAAACATGTTTATTCACAAGAAGTGAACGATATTGGGGGACAAGTTCTTCCAACTTAGATTGCCCTCTCCCTGGTATTTACAAAATTGTACAATCCTGTTGTTTGCTGTGTGCAGGAGGAAATCGCTGCTGTCAATCTGGCCAAGTTCCGCAAGGTTCAGCACGAGCTGGAGGATGCTGAGGAGAGAGCCGACTCAGCCGAAAGCACCCTTCAGAAGCTCCGCGCCAAGAACCGTAGCTCCGTGTCCCAACAACGCACCAGTGCCAGCCCCGCGGTGAGTTTACGACCGTCACCAGTGTCCTGAAACACATTAATAATGCTTCGAATCAAACAAACACGTAACGAGTAATTATTACGTTGGCGTCGATTACGAAATGGTTCTGTTCTGATTAGTCGGTATCTGCTCAAATGAAGATAATATCGAACGTGGTTTTAATTCCAACTGACGGATTGAATTTCAGGGAGGTAGGGCAAGAAGCAGCGATCGCAGCCTTAGAGCTGGTTCGCTCGCTTAAATAGGTAAAGATTGAGAGTGTTGGTGAAACAATACCACCGAGTGGAGTGATCTAGTAGTAGGGTGTGATGTATCCCTTACAGATCGCCATAGGGTGTGATGTGATGTGTCCCTTACAGACCTCCATAGGGTGTGATGTGATGTGTCCCTTACAGACCTCCATAGGGTGTGATGTGTCCCTTACAGGCCTCCATAGGGTGTGATGTGATGTGTCCCTTACAGACCTCCATAGGGTGTGATGTGTCCCTTACAGATCTCCATAGGGTGTGATTTTCCGTACAGGCACTTATAGGGTGTGCTTTGCCTCGGACAGAGGTCATTGCTGCATGATTCCGTTAGTAGCTGCAGCTCTTGAAAGAGAGTAGTTGTCCTTTGAAACTTATTCGGGGAATTGAAATTATTGTCTGTGACTTGTGATTGTACAGAAACTATTAGAAATTTATCAATGTTCATTTATCATGCCATGAAACTAAGAAAATGTATGAATTTGTAACGCCCCACACAATGTACTATAGGCATTTGGCCTCATAAGTACCATGAATAAAGATTGATAGATTGAAATCATTGTCTGACGCTAAACTATTTTGATCGAAAGTTTAAAATGGTTTGGATTTTAAGGGTCAATATGAAAAATATGAAAAGTTTGCCCAAAACAGCAAATAGCAAAATTGATATGAGTTGGTGTGAACATTCAAATGGTTTTATAAATTAATTCATCATGTTATTTTTTAATAAGGTATCGTAGTCAAAGGCAGCATTCAGACAGGTATTTGGCAAGGGGATGTGGGAAAGGTGTTTATAAAACGAATCTGGACATTTGATGCAGTACTTGTGTGTGAGATTTACCCATTTTGTCTACCCAGTACATATTCCCTCCTTTTAGACGCAACCCACAGCTCCCATATATTTCATGCGTATCTTTATTTCCCCAACCAGCCTATCACCAGAGCGAGAGCGCCTTCTTCTGAGTAAAGAGTAAGTGGATGTTGGCGTTGGTCAGCACCGATGTTGTTACTGTCGTCGAATGATATGTTTTGCAAACCCATTTGTAGCTAGAAATCCTTACCTCTTTTTCAGGTGCACACGAGTGTGGGTTCATGCCAATGTAGATAGTTGTCACTCTATCACAATAGTTCTCATGTTCTTTCTCCATGTTCAGGGCCCGTTGTCCCGACAACGAAAACCAATTTCATCTCATTCGCACTGTATGACTTCAAATGAGCACAGATACTAGTTGAATGTGTATGAGAAGTGTATATGCACACTATTAACCCTAGTTTTCCAATGGTGTGATATATTAACAATGTCAGTACCTTGTATTAACATACTACTTTCCAACAACTAAGAAATATGCACATTTTTCTTTCAAGGTGGAGTGATAAGATACAGGTGTAAGTTGAGCAGTTGTGAAGTTATCGTTCCTTTTGAACGCTTCACGTTTGTAAAATAACAGTGGCCGCATTAATACTCCAGAGTGATATATAAAACGGTTCAGTTTTCTTTCGCAAATAAGAATAATGCCTACTAAAAACAGTTAAGAAAAATCGTTTTTGAAACTTGATTGTATTTATCGTTCATGTTCTGTTATAACACGGTGTGAAGTGACGTTAAGTGCTATGTTTTCGTTCACATCATGATTCGTGTTTTAGAACGACATTGTAATTAAAAACAAGGTTTCATTCAGGCTTAGTTGCAAAACATTTTCTGCTGTTATTCTGACGAGTTCAACCATGTCCACCATCAGCCCCTGTGATTGTCGCCTTTCCACAGCACTCGTTATAAGTTGTCTGCATGCTTGTCCCCCTGGAACTGTTTCTACTAAGTGGATATTAGTATAGTCCATTTGGATTTACGTATGTCGCTGAATGAATGATTCTACATTCAATTCACAAATTAAACATGTAGCAGGGATACCTAATTGTTGTGTTTTTATTTTAATTCCTATTATAACTGAATGTTTGAATTCCATATATTTGCTTAACTAATGGTAGTTTTATAATTCCGTCTCCATTGTATTTGGCGTCAGTGGGCAGGGAACTCTAAATTGGACCACAGTCGTCCATTATCATTATGTCATAAGTACATCAGTTCTTAATATGATTCTGGTGTCCCCCGCCGTGATATTGCTGGAATATTGCTCAAAGCGGCGTAAAACCATACTCACTCACTCTTAATATGAATACAATGAATACAACGGCTCTATTTGAGAGAGAGAAAGAGAGATAGAGGATATGGACTTAAGGGCCATAGTCATGTTGACATTGATTTCATATTGTATTATTGTCTGTTTTTCAGACACCAAACCAGCGTTTGACTTTGACTGTGTCTGGAGGAATGAATTCTTCTTACCGCCGTACCCACGATCCGTCCAATGAGGGTGAAGATACTCCTTATTAATAATACATAGCAGGGGCCTCCCGGTTTTTCCCCGAGGGCCCATGTACATACATACCGCTATCAAGTCTTGCATTTTAAGGGAACCAAACGTATCGTCACTGCTTTGCTCTGTGGGTGTATTTTATGCCATTTAAGCACGCGACCTTAAAAGCTCGAGAAAAATACAAACGTGCTTATTGGAGTGATTTTCTCCTGCATAATGGGCGGTACCCCCAAATGACATTCTCTCTAGTTCCCATAGGATTTTTCTTCTTTTCTTGTTATGTATGTTTATGTATTTATAGGTGATTATGATATATACGATGTGATAATTTTCTTGTATTTATGATAATTTATTCATTGCCTAAGCTGGGGTCGTGTACAGATTCGGCTGATGTTTGAGCACGTGCAAAACATGCCCCCCTCATTGGACGCCACAAAGGAAACAGAATAATGCAATTATTTGAAACGTTTTGTTGTTTCCTTTGTGTTTCATAAAAATCTTTTAGAGTGATGTAAACTTAAGGCAGTAATAAAACTTCTGTCATAATAATTCCTTTTGTTCTATTTGCTTGTTTGTGTGTTTGTTTGTTGTTTAACGCCACACTCAGCAATATTCCAGCTATAATGACGGCGGTCTGTAAATAAGCGATCTGGACCTGATAATCCAGTGATTGACATCATGAGCATCGATCCACGCAATTGGGATACGATGACATGCATCAACCAAGTCAGCGAGCCTGACCACCCGATCCCGTTAGTCGCCTCTAACGACAAGCATAGTCGCCTTTTACGGCAAGCATGGGTTGCTGAAGACCTATTCTACCCCGGATCTTCACGGGTCTCTATTTGCGTGCGAGGCATGACGTTGAGTAATGGAATTCAAACTAGACACGTCCGCCTCCGTGGTCTTGTGAATACAGCGTCTGCCCGGAGAGCGGAAGGTTGGTGGTTCGATCCTCTGGCCGCGTCATGCCAAAAACGTTAAAATGGTGTACTTCTTGTTTCCCTGCCTGCATTCGGCATTAAGGGAATAAAACAAGTACTGGTTGGCTCGGAGTCAGTATACTGTGTCCAAGTGGCGTGTCCATGTTAAACTGCGGCATAGTATCTCAGTTGGCTAGAACTATTAACCCGACGTTAGTCCGGACTAGTACAAGCAGCCACACACGTCATGCACATCGATATACTAGTATAAGTGCAACAGTCTCGAACCTCGGAAACCCCATTTCACCTCACATCCAACTACAGATCTAATGTGCCTGGTTTGCTTTCGGTGTTAGGCGCATTCCCGGTGTCTTCCGCCGTGATATTGCTGGAATATTGCTAAAAGCGGCGTAAAATCAAACTCACTCACTTTGTGGTTTGGGACAGTTGGGTAGCCTGGTGGTTAAAGTGTTCGCTCGTCACGCCGAAGGTCTGGGTCCGGTACTCCACATGGGTAGAATGTGTGAAGCCCATGTCTGGCGTCCCCTGTCGTGATATTGCTGGAATATTGCATAAAGCGGCCTAAAACCACACTCACTCACACCTGGTGTTTGGTTGGGCCTCTGGTACGTACTACCTCCCCAACTGCGTTTGGACCGGGTTACAACAATGAGTACTCCGCGGTGACTTGGCTAAACATCAAAACAATAATCTCGTCTTTCCGTGAAATGTTTACTGCCATTCGGATATATTAAAAATTGATAGGAATGGTTTCCTAAAACCTAAAATCTAACTCGGGCAAATCTCACGAATTAACATTAACGTAAACTGCACATACACATCAATGTGGCAAAGAACTCATTTTTTCATTTTTTCTTTTAAGTTTTATTGCCTTCTGGTACTGTGGTCCTTGTAAAGCCGACTATAATGGCCGAACGACCGTCCTCGTCACTTGAAATAGAATAAAGAAATATCGCGATGCTTAATTAACAAAGATAGCTGCATGTGAGTGAGTGAGTTGGGTTTAACGCCGCTTTTAACAGTATTACAGTTATATCACGGCGTGTCAGCTTAATGTGGGAGGAGATCCCGAAGTGATGCAGGTCTAAGACGTTTACCACTTCGGTAAAACCCACGAGCACAGGAATGGTGCTGACAAACCTAGAAACATAATCGGGGCGAACCGGGATTGGAACCCACAATCATAGGTTTCTGGCGTGCCCAAGGGACGCAACTCTGCACAGCGAATCGCGGCGCCTAAGACGACTGGGCCACCCGTGCCCCCGATAGCTGCATGTGTGCTAATACTTTTAAAGTGAAAACAAGCCATTCCGCTGATAAGGAATATCACTTACATTAATGACAAAAATTGCAAAGTGCGCTTTTCACTAAATATCCATTTTGCTTGCGATAAACATCATCATTGAGTTACAACCACGTTGTTACAATCCGGGAAAGAATCGGCATTCAGCGGTTATATTCAACATTGAACCTGGTCTCAAGCTATTTAAATACTACATCTGCACGTGTTTTTCTTTCAGTTCGTGCTGGTAGCAATTTCAATAAAATCAGATCTTAGCTCTCGCAACACACACACACACACACACACACACACACACATACACACACATACAGAGCAAATATTAAAATGATCCGGTACACGTACAGATATAAAACTTTAAAACCCTAAGGTCAATTTATAATAGTCTATTTCAGGGTTTAAAACCATTTCAAAATACAACCAATCAAATTACAGTTGACCTACTTTAAAAAAACAAAGCCAAATTTGGTCCAATTCAGTTTGTATTTATAGGATTAAAGAGCCAGTTCACATTCGGCCAATCAAATTAAATCATACACTCGATACAAAAGAGCTCTTGCATCGTTTTGGAAAAGCGTCGGGTTGTCGCATTGTCGCGCTTGTAATGATTACTGCATATTTTAATATTTTAACAAGACGCGACAAAGCGACATTTCATAAAAATGTTGCGTTGTCGCATTGTCGCGCTTTTAGTAGTTGCTGCTTATTTTGAAAATATTAACAAAACCTGATCTATGGTTATAGATGAATGTGGACGAACTCGGTCACAGCAGTTACAAATGTCCTTCACCTCCGTGAAGGAGCTTAGTCTGTGAGTTAAAAGGTCGTCGGATCACTAAATTTTGATGCATTAACTCCGATTAAGTATATAGGACTCAAATATACACATCGCAAATACATTATTGTGAAATTCGTTAGTGAGTATTGTTTAACGCCGCTCTGAACAGTATTTCAGTTATGGCATGTAAGCTAGATGTGGGAGGAAAGTCTAAAGTCATGGAGGTCCAAAACAAAACAAAAACAAAATCAGGACGAATCGGGAATTCGAACAGGCTCATAGGGTTCTGGCACGCCTAGGGGGCGCCACTCTGCACAGCAAATTCACGATTTGAGAGTGAGCGAGTTTATATTAATAATAATGATAATAAATAAATAACCCATTTGTATGGCGCTTTTTTTTCATTGCTGAATATCATGTCCAAAGCGCATTATTACCCCGGTCATTCTCAACTCCATGGGGAGTAAGTATGTATACGACCTTAGCTGCCTGTGATGTGCTAGAAGGCTAACAGCCACATTGCCATATCATCTTACCGGGTACCCATTCACTGCTGGTAGAAAAATGGCATATTTCGAACAAAGTCACTTGCCCAATGAGACACCACATGCGTTACCTGTGCTTCAGTGTGGGACAGGACCGAGGCGCTTGAAACTGTCAGGAGCCAAGCAGCCTAACACCCTCACCCATCCCCGTGACCTGTGGTTACACGCCGCTTTGAACAAAATTTCAGTTATTTCACAGCGTGTCAGCTTGATAAGGGAGGAAATCCCTAAGTGATGTATGTGTATCGTGCTGGGATTCGAACACGCGGTCATAGTTTTCTGGTACGTCTAGGAGACGCACAGCGAACTGCGCCGTCTAAAACGACAGAGCCAACCGTATGTCATTTGAAAAGAGTTGTCGGAGACCGGAATCAAATTCAATAGAAATGCAAAGTGTTTGATTCTTGAAAATACGTTTGGTTTATGGAAACCAACACAGACAATAACGATATATGAACTAATTTCTAAAGCAACGATGAACGATTTGTTTTCATTTTGAGAAAAGCAAACCACATTGCCTTTGCTACTTTGGTTTTAGAACCATTGGAGCTAACAAAACACCACTCGAGTTTGAAAAGGAGTATAACGAGATCTTGATTATCCATCAGATCGTCTTCACTATGGAACACTAGAAGGAACCCCCCCCCCCCCCACCCCCCCCAAACCCACCCGCCTCTTCTCCACCTATCTGCCTTCGACTGTCCACTCAACTCTTCTCACACACACACACCCTCCTTGTACTTCATTTTCTTTAAATTTTAATCAACCACTTAACGGACTTAACCACTTACCCGTTCCTGTAATGCAATGTCGTATGGCGTACTTATCAGCGTGTACGCGGCACAGCGCCGGTGTACCCGTGTGATCTGGTGAAGGAATATCGCACGTTCCCTGACATATCACTTTCAAAACACAAACTTGTTGTTCCGATTTCAAAACTTTAATGTTTTGGCTGCCGATAATTTCCTCATGCAGCAACTGATGCGTGGAATTTACTGCCTGTTGATTTCAAGGCCGCCTCTATCCATCAAACTTTTACGTGCCAAACTGGTGGCACAGCATCGGCTTTAATCAACCAAGGTCGGTTACCAATAACATAAAGTATCATAAAGTAAATTTACACGAGGGATAGGCTCTCAGTATCACTGCTTAAAGGATCAGTAAAGGAAAAAAACTATTGCGATTGTTTTACGAATATCAATTTACCTGAATAGAAAAATTCATAATATTCGTAGAAAGTATATAAATGTCCAAGTGATTATAGAAAGAATATGTACCCAGTGCCTCCTGCTGGTCTTCCCCTGGTGATTATAGACAAAAAAAGGAACCCATTGCTTCATGCTTGTCTTCCCTTGGTGATTATAGACAGAATATGTCCCTGTTGCCTAATGCTTGTCTCCCCCTGGTGATTATAGACAGAATATGTACCCAGTGCTTCCTGCTGGCCTTCCCCTGGTGATTATAGACAGAACATGTACCTATTGCTTCATGCTTGTCTTCCCTTGGTGATTATAGACAGAACATGTACCCAGTGCTTCCTGCTTGTCTCCCCCTGGTGATTACAGACAGAATATGTACCCAGTGCTTCCTGCTTGTCGCCCCCTGGTGATTACAGACAGAATATGTACCCATTGCTTCATGCTTGTCTCCCCCTGGTGATTATAGACAGAATATGTACCCAGTGCTTCCTGCTTGTCTCCCCCTGGTGATTATAGACAGAATATGTACCCAGTGCTTCCTGCTTGTCGCCCCCTGGTGATTATAGACAGAATATGTACCCATTGCTTCATGCTTGTCTCCCCCTGGTGATTATAGACAGAATATGTACCCATTGCTTCATGCTTGTCTCCCGATGGTGATTATAGACAAAATATGTACCCAGTGCCTCATGCTTCATGGCTGCTCGATAGATCGGACTATTTCACGGCTACGTGTGTGAGCTGGCTGCTCGGTAGATCGGGCTACGTAACGGCTATGCGTGGGACCTGGCTTCTAGGTAGATCGCACTATTTAACGGCTACGCGTGTGAGGTGGCCGAGCTGTGACTATCCTACCCCAATAGCGGGGTTCAGTGAGTGAGTTGGATTGGTTGAGGTTTTGCACAGTATTCAGTTCTTGTGCCCACTCTCTCGCCAGTGTTTCAGTAGGCAGTGGTAAAGAAAACAAACACAATGTTGATCAGATATTTTTGTACGTTATAGTTTTATACACTGCGGTACTGTAGCAAAACCATGTACAGATCATAGGCACACAAGTATGTACAGTCAGATATAAATATAGATGGCACATGCTGTAATAGTATGTACATATTTACAAGTATGAAAATAATCAGTATTAAATACCGATACGGCTGACACGTAAACCGGTGTTCCAGTACAATCATGCGTCCCCTCCAGCCCAACACAATACTGATAACATTTACACTCCAGTGCTGGGGTTAGTTTACATTTGGCAAATTGTGTTCCTCCCTGAAAACAAAAATGTTATTTATACATCTTAGTATGTGGTTTTGATAGGATGGCTAAAACGTAGTTTTGTGCCTTAAAGATGTTTTTTTCTGTGGTATTCTTTATACACTTAATAACAGGGAAACAAGTTGGCATGAATATGACAGGTAGCGTCATATGTCCCTCAGCCCTTAGCCCTCATTGTTATCAGCACGTACCCTAATGGACTGGTCAGAAAAAATATTCAACACCTAGCATTTAAATAAACCGTGGGACATAATCTGGTGAACATGTTATCATGAGACAACGCTTGTGCTACGATTTAACAGTAGCACAAGTCACGAAGGCAGTGTTGATGTTAGCACTAGCCATAGTAGCAGTGTTGATACTAAGACTAGCCATAGAAGCAGTGTTGATACTAACACTAGCCACAGTGGAAGTCAGTGTCGATACTAACACTAGCGATAGTAGCAGTCAGTGTTGATACTAACACTAGCCACAGTAGCAGTCAGTGCTGATACCAACACTAACCACAGTGGAAGTCAGTGTCGATACTAACACTAGCGATAGTAGCAGTCAGTGTTGATACTAACACTAGCCATAGTAGCAGTCAGTGTTGATACTAACACTAGCCACAGTGGAAGTCAGTGTTGATACTAACACTAGCCATAGTAGCAGTCAGTGTTGATACTAACACTAGCCACAGTAGCAGTCAGTGTTGATACTAACACTAGCCATAGTAGCAGTCAGTGTCGATACTAACACTAGCCACAGTGGAAGTCAGTGTTGATACTAACACTAGCCATAGTAGCAGTCAGTGTTGATACTAACACTAGCCACAGTGGAAGTCAGTGTCGATACTAACACTAGCCATAGTAGCAGTCAGTGTTGATACTAACACTAGCCATAGTAGCAGTCAGTGTCGATACTAACATTAGCCACAGTGGAAGTCAGTGTTGATACTAACACTAGCCAAAGTAGCAGTCAGTGTTGATACTAACACTAGCCACAGTGGAAGTCAGTGTTGATACTAACACTAGCCATAGTAGCAGTCAGTGTTGATACTAACACTAGACATAGTAGCAGTCAGTGTTGATACTAACACTAGCCACAGTGGAAGTCAGTGTCGATACTAACACTAGCCATAGTAGCAGTCAGTGTTGATACTAACACTAGCCATAGTAGCAGTCAGTGTTGATACTAACACTAGCTACAGTAGCAGTCAGTGTTGATACTAACACTAGCCATAGTAGCAGTCAGTGTCGATACTAACACTAGCCACAGTGGAAGTCAGTGTTGATACTAACACTAGCCAAAGTAGCAGTCAGTGTTGATACTAACACTAGCCACAGTGGAAGTCAGTGTTGATACTAACACTAGCCATAGTAGCAGTCAGTGTTGATACTTACACTAGACATAGTAGCAGTCAGTGTTGATACTAACACTAGCCACAGTGGAAGTCAGTGTCGATACTAACACTAGCCATAGTAGCAGTCAGTGTTGATACTAACACTAGCCATAGTAGCAGTCAGTGTGGATACTAACACTAGCCACAGTAGCAGTCCGTGTTGATACTAACACTAGCCATAGTAGCAGTCAGTGTTGATACTAACACTAGCCACAGTAGCAGTCAGTGTTGATACCAACATTAGCCACAGTAGCAGTGTTGATACTAACACTAGCCACAGTAGCAGTGTTGATACTAACACTAGCCACAGTAGCAGTCAGTGTTGATACCAACACTAGCCACAGTAGCAGTGTTGATACTAACACTAGCCATAGTAGCAGTCAGTGTTGATACTAACACTAGCCACAGTAGCAGTGTGGATACTAACACTAGCCACAGTAGCAGTCAGTGCTGATACCAACACTAGCCACAGTAGCAGTGTTGATACTAACACTAGCCACAGTAGCAGTGTTGATACTAACACTAGCCACAGTGGCAGTCAGTGTGGATACTAACACTAGTAATTGAGTGGATATCATTGGACAGCTGACTTTCAAAAGCCATAGAATAAATAAGTTTACTCCACAACTGATACTGATGTTTAACATTTACAAATAGTCAAACTATGTGATGTCAAACTGTTTGAAGCTACCAACACCTTGTTGTTCTCGACTGTCTCAAACATGTGCCACTATTCCTTTCTTCAGCTGTGCTGTCATACCTAACAAAACCGCTTTGTTTTCATCAATGAGCTTTGTCAGAAGCAGGCTTTGGTCCTCAGTCCAGTTAGGTTTTCTTTCTGCATACAGGCCCAGCTCACTTTACTGTTTGGCACACATCAAAATTGGATTTATTTTGTTCTATTTCATTTTATCCTCAACTTGCATTTAGAACCTATTGGATCAAAAGAGACAGGGTCGACTGTTGTCTTCATTACTTGTAAGTCTTGTTTGACACCAAGGCAGTGAGTGAGTTGGATTTACCATCATGTCGAACAGTACAGGAAACGATGTTTTTAACAAACATGCTTATAACAAACTGTTTTATGTCCCGGACATTTGCTGTATTTATGCTTAAAACGAACTTTGGTTATAACACACTAAAATTAGCAGACCCTTCTGAGTTTGCTATAACCGGAGTATACTGTATTTTAGTGATTTCACGGTGTGTCAGCTTAATGTAGGAGGAAGGTCTTAGATGTTTACTACTTTGATGAAAACCACAAGAACGTGTATGTGCCAAGAAACCAAGAAATATAATCAGGATGAATCTGTGATTCAAACCCACAAGCATAGGTTCCTGGTATGTCAAAGGGAGACAACTGTACATTGCCTTATGAACTGGGCCATCTCTACCCCCACAAACACAGTGAACGTATTTATACCACGATATTATTATGATCATTCATCTAAGATGTGATGATCTCGTTCAGCATCAGCTCCAGCAGGTTGACATAAAGTTTGAGTGCTGTTCAGGTAAGCAGGCCTCCTGTAGAACTGCCGCCTGACTGAGTGCATATGACTGGACGCGTGGGAAGGGTGTTAGTTAAGGAGATAATCTCCGTGGTATTAGCTGCATAGCTGGCCAACCTCTGAATACTCACACAATACTACCATGCCTACTTTCTGCAGATGGTGGGTTCTCCAACCACTAACACTATCTGTGATGGGATGACACATGTTGTTATAATGTTAGGGCTGAGATGATACTGTGATAATAACACATAATGCCATACTCTGGTCAAGATACAATACGTATCACACATACATAACTAACAGTAAAAGTGGGAACACATATATTTCTAATGTTCTAATTAACAGAGGAAAACAAATCTGTTCGATATTATCGTTTCAATTTTTGTGTCAAATGTCAGACTCATATATACCACTGCGCTTTTGATAGGGATATATTTATCTTTCCATTATACACATAATTCTTTTAATATGTAAAGTGGATACTTCAATAGAATGAAATATCTGATTATCCTATCAAACGTTGAGTAGTATACATACCGTAATCCACATAATAAGCGCCCAGGGCGCTCTCAAAATTAGAAATAGGGGGCTATTATTAGATTAAAATTTTGGTGAAAAAAATAGTTAAAAGATCGTAAATTTCGTGGTTTATGCTGACAGCCTGAAATGATACAAAAGAAAGTCTGTGTGTATTAGACACGACAGATATATATTTCCAGAATTTAATTGCCCATGATATGGGGTGCATACAACACACGATCGCGTATTATACACAAATAAATAAGTCTTGTGTACATTGATCATTTGGAAGAGGTGCTAATTGGGATTGTTCACTGGCCAATATATTAGCAAATATCGCTGTGGGCGCTTATTAGAGCGGGGTGCTTATTACGTCGAATACGATAACCCAAATGTTACCTGGCACCAATTTGAAACAATCTGATCTCTGGTACATAAACAACATACAAAACACTACAGAATAAAGAAGATCCTGGATCACATTGACTAAAATAAATACCAAGGTGCACACATGCATCAATGAATTATTTCAGTTCTGCAAGATACATGGTTGGATACATCTCTCAATAGTTAGATTACGACACACCATATGATACACACACCATATGATACACACACCATATGATACACGAGACATGCATGACATACAGGACGAGAGCACACTTTGTGGTAAAAGGCTGTGGTCCATCAATGGAAGATCAAACCCAAACTCAGGGCACAGCCACCTTTGTTTCTTCTTTCACAAACCTTCTTGGACAATATGCAAAGATGGAGGGCTTATATCTAGTATATTTTCTTAAACCACCTCTTCACAAACAGGAAGTGGTACGTTTCACTTTCGCATCATGTCCTAATATACCAGTACACATACATCTTGGACTGCACAATGGGATTTTGTCTGGTGGCAGTATCGAGTACACCCCAGTACCTCAGTGTATCACTTTCAGCAACAACATCATCAATCTTATTACAATCAGATCCTAGTTCTTGCTACAGCTAAACAAAGATGTGTGGACATCCCATTTGGGGTCACATCAGAACGAGCTTTTATGTGACCAATCAAAGCGTCGCTTATCAGATCAGGAAAGTGACTGTTGGAAAGTGTTTCCGTTTAACCTCGAAAGACATTACACAGGGTATTCCGAAGACAGATGTGGGCTTTACGACTGAATTTGTACAATCTAGGCCATCTATTGGCCATTCCAGAATGTCCTTTTGTTCAGTTATTAAAATATCAGTCGAGCATTTGTAAAAAATGTTTCGAAGCGTCTCCAGTTTGAAACTAGCATTGTAAAACACGAGAAAGCTGACTTCTGATTGGCTAATGTCGACGTCTTGTCAGGAATTCCATTGTGGGTCAATGTCCACGAAAGGTCGGTCTGACGTGACCCGTAATCAGACGTCCTCAGATCTTTGTTTAGCAGTGGCAAGACCTCAGATCTGATTTTAATGAGATTGCAAGGATTCATCAACAGTGAACAACACATGACAATAACAAGGAGGGTGGGACTATGTAAATACACACCATAGATGCTACGCCACTGTGACACACATGAACAGTTTACAGAGAAAACCATGTACACTTCCACACCTTTAGCTTTTTCAGTGTTGTTTATGGGACAGTGACTGAACATGTTACATATCAATAGGCAATTATGAAAGTCATAAAGCATCACATTTGGCACTTTGATTTTGATGGCACTTAGCAAGAGCAAACATGTAAACATGGTAAAGCACTTTCAACAAGGAATGGATGATAATGCCCTACAAACATGTAACACAGGGCCTCTTGCACAAAACAAGTTTCAGCGCTATGCTGTTCTTAATCACTTGTTTTATGATCTGCCTATCTCAAAATATCACACGAAATAATATATATATTTTCCTTCTAGATTGGTTCATTAACAAATTTAACCCCTTTGACAAATTAACAAAATAACGGCCTCTATGACACGGAGTAATGTAATCCCTCAACTACAACAGTAAATCCTGTTAACTCACTTGCTGACATCAAATAATAGTGTGATAAGTTCCTGTATCAGAACGTTCAATCAATCGTTGTTCATATACTGTGAAACCTCCCTAATCTGGACCCTGTTGAATCAGAGGACATCAACCGGGTTGCTGCACACTTACACATACATAAAGTACATTACACGGGATTCACTTAGCCAGACATTTGTAATTCTGAATGATTTCAGCAGGAACACCATTGTCTGGATTAACAGGATTAACAGGAGTAACTTTTCAACTGAGTTATTGTTTCACTGTGGTAACACAATTAGTTCAGCAAAAGTTTGTGTTTCTTTGTAATTCAGCAATATTCCAGCTATATGACGGCAGTCTGTAAATAATCGAGTCTGGACCAGACAATCCACTGGTTGATATCATGAGCATCGATCTACGCAATAGGGATACGATGACATGCATCAAACAAGTCAGTAAACCTGACCACCCGATCCCTTTAGTTGCCTTTTACGGCAAGCATGGGTTGATGAAGACCTATTCTACCCCAGATCTTCACGGGTCTTCATTGTAAGTACCATACTTGAAATATATGCTCTTGCAGTTCTTTTCGTAGTTTGATTTAAACTCTTTGATTTTGAAAAGTCAATCTGTAAACCAGGCATAAAGAATGCTGTAGTGTAGGGTTTGGGACAGTTCACAACATAAGCAGCTCATAGTTAACTCCCTGTGGCATAAATAACAGTATTAACATCATAAGAATGCTGATAGGCAACCAGTCTGTTTGAGCATGTTTCTTTGCAAGGTTGAGGGAGTTGTTGTGAAACACAATGCCCCATCACAAATCATGGATAAAGTATTCGCTCGTCATGCCGAAGACCCGGAATCGATTCCCGACATGGGTACAATGTGTGAAGCCCATTTCTGATGTCCCCTGCCATGACATTGCTGGAATATTGCTAAAAGCAGCGTAAAACCATACTCACTCACTCGCTCTGAAGACACTTTATTACTTATGAGTTGGGTGGTCGGGTAGCCCATTCGCTTGTCATGCCAAAGACCCGGAATCGATTCCCCTCATGGGTACAATGTGTGAAGCCCATTTCTGGTGTCCCCTGCCATGACATTGCTGGAATATTGCTAAAGCGGCGTCAAACTATACTCACTCACTCACTCATGGATGAGTCATGGACACTGTACATATGGTCTACATGAGTGATATCATGTACAAGATACCTGCATCCCGTATAGACTCGCTGTAGACCGTGTTGGAATAAGCCATGAAGACTATACACCGAACCGTCTCTCGACACAAATCACTTCCACAAAGTGATCTAACCACTCTCACAAACATAAATCCGATACTTCTAGTTTATCACAGACTTGCAATAGTCGCACCTCTCACATTGCTTTGTGCACGTGGGCCCAGGAAACTACACTAAGCCCTGGCTTCATGAACTAAACCAGTGTGGGTTATCCTATTGTCATCTGTCAATCAAACACAACATGACTGACCAATCACAGAGGTCTGATGTGACACATATGTGTCATATTATAGGACATACTGGTATTCCAACCTGTCACACTTCTATCAAGGCCATTGATGGAATTCTGGTCAACTCACAGGAAATTACTTTTTGTCCAAATACAGAAACTGTTTTTTTTCCAAATATCTTTTTGTACAAGGCAATTGCCAATCATATATGGATCAAAGCAGTTCAAGCGATTAAAAAACATGAAAGATTAATGGCTTATTTCTTAAAATGTATCAAGAACTATAAGAACATGAAATGATTGATGAAATATGTCCGACTAGGTCACTAACTGTCGTGGCATGGAAAACATGAATATTTGAGGAAATGCAACACGTTATGGGAAACTGCAACAAACTGTTATATCATGTACATCAGGTACGTGTGGATTGCTTATCACCCCCTGATTCTGAGGGAAATAAATGGGACTTTCTTGAGCGAATGGTTGGACCATTAGGGTACAGCCTCAAGCTTCAGGCGATCCAGGTAACATGGATATAACATTTGAAACAAAACAAGTCCTGATGATACAAGCATTGGGTGTAAGTTCAACAGTGTATCATGGCGAGTCAGCTGGACATGTGAGGAAACCTGATGTACGTACCACTTATGTGAAAGGTCACAAGCACAGGCATGGTTAACAGGTAAAGGTTTTCATCAGGACAAAGTGTGTAAGTGAATCATAGCATGGGGAATACCTGCCACATCTTCCCGAGTATAGGGAGTTAACTGACTGCAATAGTCCAGTTCCCAAGGCAAGGGAGTTAACTGACTGCAAATGTCCAGTTACCACCCTTGGCCTGAACTGGGCTGGAATTTCTGGGCTCAATCATAGCCATACGAGTTAGGTTCCTTCTATGTGCCTCCTATTGACCAATCAGATTCCACCTCTCATATCACTTGCATTCGCTTGGAACAAAATGGCATTGCCCATTGAAGACGATATGAGTCATAATCAAGATCTATATTGTAATAAAACGAGTCTTACCTCACGAAGTGCATCAAATCACGTGAGCAGCTTCATTAAAAACATGAAAAGATGTGGAAAATATCTGTTGACACTAAGATGCTTTCCAAATTCTGCAAACGCCTGAAATCTGCACGGCAGTTCACGAACTGGATGTCGATTTTGTTACGCGATATTGATTGGACTATGCATAGACTCAGCACTCCAGCCAAAATATAACTCCATATTTCAATCTTAGTTTGGCAAGGGTGGAAACTGGACTTTTTTAGTCAGTTAACTCCCTTGCCTCGGGGAGATGTACCTGCCCATGATGTAGGAATACATCTAAAGAGAATATAAACTCATCATGTTCATTTTACAAGATGGTCTCATCTAACAGTACAACAGAATCACACATGACAGACACTCAGAAACACCTCTCACATCTCAGCTGGGACTACCACATACAGCCGTCTCTTTGATTGTCGCTGCCATCTTGCCTTGCTCATCTGACACATCACCACAGCACTGTCAGTCAGTGCCACAGACATTGTATCCACACACATTCCACAATAATATACAATATGGACAGTAATATCTACACCTGTACAGTCCGCAAGGGTCTAGCCCTGTCAGATGGGTATATATATATACACTCCCGTTCACATTGTCCCCACCATACACACTTGGAGGTAACAGTCACACTGCACATATCAAATCCTTCAGAAAATCCATGTCTCCAAATAACTTGGTCTGGATTACCCTGTAATACGTTTGTGGCTCACCACTTTTCTATGTCAAGAGGTTTACGCAAACGTGATAGTGTGGGGGATAGGTTTGTGTATGAACTAGTGCTGCAGCAATACCTTATTTCTGTCTCTTGTTGGGCAGCCTGGACTAGCCTGAGACTGAACCTTCAAGACATGCACCAAGACATGCACCAAGCTTTCATACAAAATGTCTGAAAACTAATACCACTAAAAATACTGCTACTTAAATCTCCAGAATGCTGATAGATGACGTTGGACAAAGGGAGACAACCATAGAAGGAATGCATTCCTGAAATACACCCTGGATGCCATTGTACATAGCGATCTTAGCGCTAAGGTGATAGTTACTCCTATACTTTAACATAGACTTACAACAGTCATAACACTAAGGTTGTTTTGTACAACGGCATCCTGGCAATCCTATGCGACTCTTGAAGCTGGAGGACAATTGACTGGATCATGTGCCAGGATATAGCAGGAGAACTAAATCACTGTTTGGCAGGCCATCTCTGATCAAATGATTTCTGTCTCGACAAGCTTCAAGCTGGCGACTTCTCCTTTGGGTGTTGACCTATTCAGTCCAGGGGTGTTTCAGTAATGTTATCTGAGGACTATTGTAGCGTGTGTCTTAAAACTTGACGGAGCCTTCTGGCAAACTGTTGTTGATGAGTCTGTAGTAGCGGATGTCGTTCACAAACCTGTGTGTGCTCTGGGTGAAGGAGGGCAGATCCTGGAAGAACAACATTTGGCTTTAACATGTTTAAAGTTTGTTAGTTTGTTGTTCAATGCCGCACTCAGCAATATTCCAGCTGTATCATGGCTATCCATAAGGAATCAAGTCTGGACGTGGCAGCCAGCTAACGACAAGCTATCGGCAAGGTCACACATTCTGACGATCACACGTTAGTTGGTACTAGGGGCCTGTTGTGAACCCCTACGGTATCCAAACTTACCGAGTCCAAGCTATCGGCCAGGTCACACATTCTGACGATCACACGTTAGTTGGTACTAGGGGCCTGTTGTGAACCCCTACGGTATCCAAACTTACCGAGTCCAAGCTATCGGCCAGGTCACACATTCTGACGATCACACGTTAGTTGGTACTAGGGGCCTGTTGTGAACCCCTACGGTATCCAAACTTACCGAGTCCAAGCTATCGGCCAGGTCACACATTCTGACGATCACATGTTAGTTGGTACTAGGGGACTGTTGTGAACCCCTACGGTATCCCAACTTACCGTGTCAATCTTGAAGTTGTGAGCCAGCACAGTCTTCTGGTTGTCGTCCAGGCCCTCCATGTTGGTGAGGAATTGGGGCAGGTAGGTGGAGTAGAAGCCATCAAAGTCGATGGACGCCATGTTGTACACGGTGATGACGATCTCCTCCTGCAGCAGGTCATGTGACTTCTGCACCAGCACCTGGATCAGCACGTTCAGGAACTGACACAGCATCATCTCCATGAAGATTTTCTGAGAATTGACGAAACAATGTGTAGGTAGTCTTGACAATGACATAAAATTGTAATGACCAATGCAGTGAAGGGTCAAGTGACACCAGGACATTCATGTGGAAGTTCCTTTCCTTTTCCTACCTCCTTTCTCTTGTATACTACTCAAAGGAAGTTAAGGATCACCCGATTATTTCATATTACTGCAGGTAATCTCTCATTTGAGGGCAGATTAACAATAGTAATATGAAAGAATCGATGATCCTTAACTTCTTTTGAGTAGTATACTTGCAATACGGTCACAAAAACACGGTTCAAACAACAGCACGCAAATATTCTTACGATACATGAGCGAGAGTTATTTTTAACAAGAGGACAATGTCAGCAATAAGGAAGAGAATATATACTCCGAAATGTTGTGTTCCTCAATAATAAAGAAGTTGACATCCATAAATTCTCTTCCTTATGTGTATCACTTCTAAATCTTTTCGAAAGACTTAATGTCAGCAACTTCAAAAACACCTTTCTGAGAAGTACATCAGATTTGCAGTCGTCGGAAAATCCGTGTGAAATGTCGGTATTATTGTAGTATTTAAATCAATAGTGATGAGTGGAATGATATCTCTCAATACCCGCTTGTCAAAATGGTCTGGCTTTTCTTTCTTCTTTGGATTGGAATGCCCCCATTTGCTTCGCCATCTGCAGATTTGTAACGCTAATCAGGGGAGATAATTCGGAATAAAGTCCTTTGAGAAATGCCAGTAGCATGCAATGTTCTTTTTGTGAAATAACAAAGAGATATCAGGGTGTTTCTCTTTTTGATTCACATTTTAAAAAATCATGACACCTCACGAATCATATCATGTTGTCCTTTGACAGCATGTCTCCATTGTTTGTTCTAACCCCACACTACAAGGCCATGCCAACGGACGCAAAATAACATGATAACCAACTTCTGTTGTGTGATTGTGTGTTTAATGGAAAATAATTGTGAAATCTGGGTGCAAAAATGATGGTTGACAGACCATAGGTCAAAGTTGTTGCCATGGAAACTTGAAACCATTTGCTTCGAAAATCCCATATCAACTATATCAAAAGGCACCGGGTTCACCACTAGACCTATCAATGTACCAAATGTAGTGAAGAAATATTGTATGGTTTTCAAGATCTGCAGTGGGAACTAGCATTACCACCATTTTCAGCCAAAGCAAAAGTTGCGAAAACTCAAAAAATGTTTTTGGGCAAAATCCCAAATTATCAAAAGGAACCAGTTCACCACTAGACCTACGATTTATGAACCAAGTTTTGCGAAGAAATATTGTACGGTGTTCAAGATCTGCTCCGGAAACAACATCTTTCACAGACTGAAACATGGACGGACAGTGGCCATTTTAAAACACATTGTTGGGGATAATGAAACCTGCTTCAACAATCTTGATGCTATTCGCGGTGAATATGATACATGATTAATATAACAAGAAAACAGCCTTATTACTATGCCCCGCCACGAGGCACATTAGAAGTTTGTTTGTTCACATAGTAGTGAACATAAACAATAAAAAAAATATAGCCTTAAGAAGAGATAGGCACTTGGGCTGCTTTTTTTACTTTAGAAAATGATTAAATGTGAAATTTATACACACAAAAGGCCCTTTCTCTGGAAATAATAACTCAGTCTTGATGAGTATCTCTCTCCATTGTACAAATAACATGGATCGAAGGCCGTAATTCTGTAAACAATTAATTGATGGGACCAATTTGGTCTTGGACTCAGTCTTGACAAGTCTCTTAGATCATGTAGATAAGCATACACACTTTCATTCATGTAGCTTCAGTAGTTTCTGAGAAAACTTGTCCCCATTTCACTTAGCATGCACCAAGTTGAAATTCATGGAGCAAGGGCCATAACTCTGTAAACAGTTAATTGACGGGACGAATTTTCAAACCCAGTCTTGGCAAGTATCTCTTAGATAAGCACGCAAAGTTTCATTCATATAACCTCAGTAGCTTCTGAGAAAACGTGTCCCCATTTCACGTAGTATGTACCAATCTGAAAATCCTGGAGCAAGGGCCATAACTCTGTAGACATTTAATTTACGGCATCAATTTTTGTACTCATTTGAGAACTCCGTTCCAATTTCCCCTGCTCCACCTCGTGCCTGGGATAATAAGTGGTTGATATTGTGATCAGCGTCTGTTTGGGTAAGATGACAAGCAATCAACAGTCACCAAGCTTGACTACACAGTACAATTAGGTCACCTCTGATGACCAGCAGGAGTGTGCTTGGGGCCTCTTCTAACCTTTGTTCCCATGGGGACAGAATGATCTAATCATACTGTTCATTTCGGCCACATGTGCTACGAAGTCAATCCCACATTGAACCGTCACTCACCTTATGATACAGTTTCCATTTGGAGTTGAGGCTTTCTAATGATTCGAGGTTCTGTTTAAATATTGCAATATCAGGCTGAAGGAATGACTGTCCATATGACTGAAAGAGAAACCAGATACACACCTCAACTCATCAAATACATCATCTCTTGAAGACAAGACATTTGGCCCAGAACTCACATATAGCTCATACTGAGTTGTTTAGTCATAGAGTCATACAATGTTGTACAGTCATACAATGTTGTACAGAATCATAGTCATACAATGTTGCACAGAATCATAGTCATACAATGTTGTACAGTCATACAGAGTTGTACAGAATCATACAGTCATACAATGTTGCACAGAATCAGTCACACAAATGTTGTACAGTCATACAAAGTTGTACAGAATGATAGTCATACAATGTTGTACAATCATACAGAGTTGTATAGAATCAGTCATACAAATGTTGTACAATCATACAGAGTTGTACAGACTGATAGTCATACAATGTTGTACAGTCATACAGAGTTGTATAGAATCATAGTCATACAAATGTTGTAGTCATACAAAGTTGTACAGAATCATACAGACATACAATGTTGTACTGAGTCATACAGAGGTGTATACAATCATAGTCATACAATGCTGTACAGTCATACAGCGTTGTATAGAATCATAGTCATACAATGTTGTACAGTCATACAGAGTTGTATAGAATCATACAGTCATACAATGTTGTACAGTCATACAAAGTTGCACAGAATCATAGTCATACAATGTTGTACAGTCATACAGAGTTGTACAGAATCATACAGTCATACAATGTTGCACAGAATCAGTCATACAAATGTTGTACAGTCATACAAAGTTGTACAGAATGATAGTCATACAATGTTGTACAATCATACAGAGTTGTATAGAATCATAGTCATACAAATGTTGTACAGTCATACAAAGTTGTACAGAATCATACAGACATACGATGTTGTACAGTCATACAGCGTTATATAGAATCAGTCATACAATGTTGTACAGTCATACAGAGTTGTATAGAATGATAGTCATACAAAGTTGTACAGAATGATAGTCATACAATGTTGTACAGACATACAATGTTGTACAGAGTCATACAGAGTTGTATAGAATGATAGTCATACAAATGTTGTACAGAATCATACAGACATGCGACAATGGACTTGGCAAGTTACAGATGAATACAAAGGGACTGAGTCTGTTTATAAAGCAACTCCAAAAGAGGCATGAATGAGTTGGATTTAACACAGATGTTGACCTAGTAGACAATGTTTTAGGTATATCACAAAGTGTTAGCTTGATGTGGGAGGAGAGCCCAGCTGAAGAAGGCAGTGGAAGATAAGTGAAGCAGACAAGCATGAGAAAGGTCTCGACAAACCAAGGACTATCATACTCAGGGCAAACCTTGGAGACGAACCCACAACCAGTGGAGTCTGGCAGGACCTTAGACCACTGGGCCATCATTTTCAAATTTAAAACAAAAGGAAAAGCTGAGAGACAATCTTGCTACTCCCGTCCTACCTGCATAATAGTCGTGAACTGAGGACCATTCTCCACATGCTCCGACTGGCTGTTGAGAGTCGACATGACTGACCCCTTGAAGAAGTAGCGCCAGTTGTTCATCAACAGCTCATGTAGCAGCTCGTATAATACTGACTTGATGTCGGGGGCAGGTCTCTGGAAGCACATGCAACATGGAAGACTAGCAACACCTACATTATCATTTTAACATCTAAATTGTTGTACACTGTTGTATGTGTCTGTAGCAAAGGTGTGTTGTACACTGTTGTATGTGTCTGTAGCAAAGGTTTGTTGTACACTGTTGTATGTGTCTGCAGCAAAGATTTGTTGTACACTGTTGTATGTGTCTGTAGCAAAGGTGTGTTCTACACTGTTGTATGTGTCTGCAGCAAAGGTTTGTTGTACACTGTTGTATGTGTCTGCAGCAAAGGTTTGTTGTACACTGTTGTATGTGTCTGCAGCAAAGGTGTGTTGTACACTGTTGTATGTGTCTGCAGCAAAGGTTTGTTGTACACTGTTGTATGTGTCTGCAGCAAAGGTTTGTTGTACACTGTTGTATGTCTGTAGCAAAGGTTTGTTGTACACTGTTGTATGTGTCTGTAGCAAAGGTTTGTTGTACACTGTTGTATGTCTGTAGCAAAGGTTTGTTGTACACTGTTGTATGTGTCTGCAGCAAAGGTTTGTTGTACACTGTTGTATGTCTGTAGCAAAGGTTTGTTGTACACTGTTGTGTCTGTAGCAAAGGTTTGATTAACACTGTTGTATGTGTCTGCAGCAAAGGTTTGTTGTACACTGTTGTATGTGTCTGTAGCAAAGGTTTGTTGTACACTGTTGTATGTGTCTGTAGCAAAGGTTTGTTGTACACTGTTGTATGTGTCTGTAGCAAAGGTTTGTTGTACACTGTTGTATGTCTGTAGCAAAGGTTTGTTGTACACTGTTGTATGTGTCTGTAGCAAAGGTGTGTTGTACACTGTTGTATGTGTCTGCAGCAAAGGTTTGTTGTACACTGTTGTATGTGTCTGCAGCAAAGGTTTGTTGTACACTGTTGTATGTGTCTGCAGCAAAGGTGTGTTGTACACTGTTGTATGTGTCTGCAGCAAAGGTTTGTTGTACACTGTTGTATGTGTCTGCAGCAAAGGTTTGTTGTACACTGTTGTATGTCTGTAGCAAAGGTTTGTTGTACACTGTTGTATGTGTCTGTAGCAAAGGTTTGTTGTACACTGTTGTATGTCTGTAGCAAAGGTTTGTTGTACACTGTTGTATGTGTCTGCAGCAAAGGTTTGTTGTACACTGTTGTATGTCTGTAGCAAAGGTTTGTTGTACACTGTTGTGTCTGTAGCAAAGGTTTGATTAACACTGTTGTATGTGTCTGTAGCAAAGGTTTGTTGTACACTGTTGTATGTGTCTGTAGCAAAGGTGTGTTGTACACTGTTGTATGTGTCTGCAGCAAAGGTTTGTTGTACACTGTTGTATGTGTCTGCAGCAAAGGTTTGTTGTACACTGTTGTATGTGTCTGCAGCAAAGGTGTGTTGTACACTGTTGTATGTGTCTGCAGCAAAGGTTTGTTGTACACTGTTGTATGTGTCTGCAGCAAAGGTTTGTTGTACACTGTTGTATGTCTGTAGCAAAGGTTTGTTGTACACTGTTGTATGTGTCTGTAGCAAAGGTTTGTTGTACACTGTTGTATGTCTGTAGCAAAGGTTTGTTGTACACTGTTGTATGTGTCTGCAGCAAAGGTTTGTTGTACACTGTTGTATGTCTGTAGCAAAGGTTTGTTGTACACTGTTGTGTCTGTAGCAAAGGTTTGATTAACACTGTTGTATGTGTCTGTAGCAAAGGTTTGATTAACACTGTTGTATGTGTCTGCAGCAAAGGTTTGTTGTACACTGTTGTATGTGTCTGCAGCAAAGGTTTGATGTACACTGTTGTACACTTGTCAGAGGGGTACACAAAGTAAGTGATCTAGACTACCAGCTGTCAGACTTTCATTTTGTGGAAGCCCCGGTGGCTGCGTGGGTTAGATGGCTGACTTTGTGTGCTCGCGATTAGGTGCCTCACTCTGGAAGTGTGGGTTCAAATTCTTGATGGGACTCAACCCCCAAAAGTACTAGAATTCCAACTATTACATTTGTTACACTGTTACATGTGTCTGAAGAAACTTTCCCCTTATTGCTGGTTCTGTGAATGGGACTCCCATTTGAACCCGTAAACCTTGACAAAGCGTTAAGATATACTGTAAATCTGGAAAGTTTGGCAAGCACGAAAGTACTGCGAAAACTGCAGTTGAGACGCACTTGCAATAGTTTCATAACACAGTTATTTTTGCAGACCAACAACGAACAAAAAATGTAAGGAGGCATATTTCTCATACTCACTTCTACACATTATGAAACCAGCCATCGCATGTAACAAATGTCATATTTGGGGAAACACTTTCTTAGTAAAGTACAGATTCTCGTACAAATTTGCCTAAATAACACTGAGTAGTCCAGGCAGATACTGTCAACTGAAACAACACATGCATCTAGTTTAGAAATCACTGACTGACACTAGGTTACCGTTTCATCACAACCGCTTCCTACTTTAAACAAGATTTATCAGATGACATATCCCCCAATCTGGTGCAATTCAGATATGGAGTTTGGCAACTCATTCCCCTTTTTTGGTTCATTGCCATTGGATACCTTCAGTTAATGCTGTTCAGTATTTTTCAATATTCCAAATCATCAAAAGGCACCAGTTTGCCCCTACACTGATCTTTAAAGCAAGATTCATCAAGAAATATTCAACGGATTAGGAGTTCTGCTCTGGAAAACTGACAGGACAGATGGATGGACAAGCTGATCGTTACATTGAAAAACTGGGGGATAAAAATAACATGTGCAATAGTAGCTTTGATTTTTTATAATCTTAACAGGGTGTAGCCAATCTTTCCTGATGCAGTTAAGGCTAATGTTAGCCACTTGCAATAATTTTATGGTGAAAACTCTCTAGATTTACAGTACACAAGTATTTGAGGAAGAAACGTATATATAAATATTTGAGGAAGAAACATACCTGTGCTATTATAGGGTAGATCTTCTCCAGACATATACTGAGTATTTGAGGGAGGAATGTACCGCTGCTATTATAGGGTAGATCTTCTCCAGACATATACTGAGTATTTGAGGGAGGAATGTACCGCTGCTATTATAGGGTAGATCTTCTCCAGACATATACTGAGTATTTGAGGGAGGAATGTATCGCTGCTATTAGAGGGTAGATCTGCTCAAGACATATACACAAGCATTTGAGGGAGAAACGTACTGGTGCTATTAGAGGGTAGATCTTCTCCAGACTTATATTGAGTATTTGGGGGAGAAACGTACCGGTGCTATTGTAGGGTAGATCTGCTCCAGACATATACTGAGTATTTGGGGGAGAAACGTACTGGTGCTATTATAGGGTAGATCTGCTCCAGATATACACAAGCATTTGAGGGAGAAACATACCGGTGCTATTATAGGGTAGATCTGCTCCAGACATATACTGAGTATTTGAGGGAGAAAGGACTTGAAGGAAGAACCGGGTTCCTGGACAATGAGCTGAAGGATTTTCAAAAACCTGCAAACAAACAAATGAACATGAGTTAACAGCTGACATAATACTTGTTTAAGAAGGTCCAAGCACTGCAGTCACTTCACATCAAAACACTTCAGATTAGTGAGTGAGTTGGGTTTAACGCCGCTTTTAACATTATTCCAGTTATATCGCGGGCGTGTCAGCTTAATGTGGGAGGAAAGCCCGAAGTGATGCAGGCCTCAGACATTTACCACTTCGGTGAAACCCACGAGCACGGGTATGGTGCTGACAAACCTAGAAACATAATCAGGGCGAACGGGGATTCGAACCCACAATCATAGGTTTTTGGCGTGCCCAGGGGACGCAACTCTGCACAGCGAATCACGGCGCCTTAGACGACTGGGTCACCCGTGCCCCCCACTTCAGATTAACACCAGTGTGTCATGTACTATTCTACGACACAATGCTGTACGGACATTGTTATCCTCCTGCTCTCCTGGAGAGTACAGGAGCAGACGTGTTGCTTATAGTCAAGAATCTCCTCATGCAATTCATTTCAACCACTACTGTGAACAAATGACACTTTCCTGTTTGAATGTGAAATCCCTGCAACCATCTGGTTCAGTGTGAGGTGACATGGGGTTTAATTAAGAAATAAACGACAAGTGGGAGATGTTTATCGTACAATAACACACAGCTGTTTATTGTACGATAAATGAATGGGCTTCACACATTGTACCCATGTCGGGAATTGAACACGGGTCATTAGCGTGATGAGCGAACACTTTAACTACAAGGCTACCTGAGCATGATCCTTTGGCGATACAAAGCCAGGTGATCAGACAACAGACCTTCCGCTCTCCAGGTAGACGTTCTACCCACTACATCACAGAGGCGGTTCCATCTGGCTGGAGGACAATCATATCCCCATTTGTATCACGTGACTCTTACTTTTCTATGACTCTGAATCCTGTTGAGCTTTCTTGGCTTATTGTCTCAGCAAGTTGTTCCCTGCACAAACATACAACTACAACTGAAAACACAGCTAAGTGTAACTTTTATATATTACACACCATTACAAAGAAATATAGACATATCTGCACTGTAGAAATTAAGCGATAAAAAATGAGGACGAAAAACATTTTCTTAAAATGTGAAACTCTCAGAACTACGCAGTTAACATTTGCTTTGCTTTTGTAAGGCTAAAAAAAATAAAAGAATTGGTCCTCAGGCAATGGGTTTTGAAAATATAGTGCAGGCGGGCGGTGTATTTTTGTTTTTTGTTGTTGTTTAAACTAGTATGTAAACAAATAAACAGTTGCGTACAATCAACCTGGGAAATGGCCTCCCTACATAAATGTATTCCTTGATGAGTAAAATACTGGAATACAGTGTTTGACTACTGTTGGACTTGGAATATTTAAGGATTTTTTAGGTTTTTTTAAAAATGGAAATAAAAATGAAACATGTGGCAAACTTAATGATGATGCGGGCGGTGTATGACAACAAACACTATATTTTTTTTAGCCCAATAACTTTAGAAAAGGGCATTTGTCAGCCGATTAGCCAAGTTAACCACTTCATAAAGAGAAGACCCTATAAACATTGACTAAAACCAATAACTATCAACTATTACCATGACTACTGCTCACAACATCTGTGCCAGGGACTAGGGATGTCATCGTACATCACGATATCGATGCATTAGTACATTTTAATGTCAATGCTGTACCGATACAAATTTATGAATCTCGATACTTAAGTAGTAATACCGTAATTGCCACAGAAACATTTACATTTATAGGGAATCAGAGTATTCCCCTTATATACTTATCCTGACACAACACTAGGCAATATTCCTTCTTGCTTCGATCATATAACAGTGTAGAATATTGTGAACAACAACAATCACCGAACACCCCCTCCGACACTGTTTCCTTCATCGCCCGTAGTGAACGGACATGTTTGCTTCCACTCCCCATTTATGGATTGGATTCGATCATTTTGGTTTGAATTGAATATCTCCCTATGTACATTTACCTACGGATCACTAGCACTTTGATATATTGATACTAAAGTTTCTGACCAATACAGCCACACCAGGGCCCCACTGTATTATGTGGTTGGTTGGTTTGTTGTTTAATGCCACACTCAGCATTATTCCAGCTATATGACGGCGGTCTGTAAATAATTGAGTCTGGACCAGACAATCCAGTGATTGACATCATGAGCATCGATCCACGCAATTGGGATACGATGACATGCATTAACCAAGTCAGCGAGCCTGACCACCCGATCCCATTAGTCGCCTTTTATGACAAGCATAGTCACCTTTTATGGCAAGCATGGGTTGCTGAAGACCTATTCTACCCGGAATCTTCACGGGTCCTGTATTATGTGACGTTTATTACCCCAGCTTGTCATGTGTAAGGAGCTAGGTGCCCTATGGTTAATATATCACTATGATAAAGGGAGCTGACTACATGGAGAAAAGGTTCATGAAGGTCCTTATTGCTTGTTCTGTGCAAGGAGCTAGGTGCCCTATGGTTAATATATCATTATGATGAAGGGAGCTGACTACCTGGAGAAAAGATTCATGAAGGCCCTTATTGCTTGTCATGTGCAAGGAGCTAGGTGCCCTATGGTTAATATATCACTGTGATGAAGGGAGCTGACTACATGGAGAAAAGGTTCATGAAGGCTCTCATTGCTTGTCATGTGCAAGGAGCTAGGTGCCCTATGGTTAATATATCACTGTGATAAAGGGAGTTGACTACCTGGAGAAAAGGTTCATGAAGGCCCTTATTGCTTGTCATGTGCAAGGAGCTAGGTGCCCTATGGTTAATATATCACTGTGATGAAGGGAGTTGACTACCTGGAGAAAAGGTTCATGAAGGCCCTTATTGCTTGTTCTGTGCAAGGAGCTAGGTGCCCTATGGTTAATATATCATTATGATGAAGGGAGCTGACTACCTGGAGAAAAGGTTCATGAAGGCCCTTATTGCTTGTCATGTGCAAGGAGCTAGGTGCCCTATGGTTAATATATCACTGTGATGAAGGGAGTTGACTACCTGGAGAAAAGGTTCATGAAGGTCCTTATTGCTTGTTCTGTGAAAGGGACTCCCATTTGAACCCGTAAACCTTGAAAAAGTGCTAGGAAGAAACTCATAATGTCATCGACTACATCTGCAAGAAAAAACAGACAGGGTAAACACATGACCATGGATGATGTTTGTTTGTTTGTTGTTTAACGCTGCACTCAGCAATAGTCCAGGTATATGACGGCGGTCTGTAAATAATTGTGTCTGGACCAGACAATCCAGTGATTGATGTCAAGAGCATCGTTCCACGCTATTGGGATACGATGACATGCATCAACCAAGTCAGGGAGCCTGAACACCCAATCCTGTTAGTCGCCACTTATGACAAGCATTGGTTGCTGAAAACCAATTCTAACCCAGATCTTCACGAATACAATGAAGTACAACAAAATCTTGGTCAAGAGTACAATAGTACAACCACCTGGTGACGCATTGTAACCCCTAGTCAAGTCTCAAAACAAATACATGGGGTACCAGGGACCTTTTCCACGTCAGAATGCCCACAGGGAGAGAAGCTAAAGGTGCTGGGGACGTATTCTGTCCAGGAATCTCCACAGGGAGACCAGCAGGATGTGCTGGGGACCTATTCTGTCCAGGAATCTCCACAGGGAGACTGGCAGGATGTGCTGGGGACCTATTCTGTCCAGGAATCTCCACAGGTAGACCAGCAGGATGTGCTGGGGACCTATTCTGTCCAGGAATCTCCACAGGGAGACCAGCAGGATGTGCTGGGGACCTATTCTGTCCAGGAATCTCCACAGGGAGACTGGCAGGATGTGCTGGGGACCTATTCTGTCCAGGAATCTCCACAGGGAGACCAGCAGGATGTGCTGGGGACCTATTCTGTCCAGGAATCTCTACAGGGAGACCAGCAGGATGTGCTGGGGACGTATTCTGTCCAGGAATCTCCACAGGGAGACCAGCAGGATGTGCTGGGGACCTATTCTGTCCAGGAATCTCCACAGGGAGACCAGCAGGATGTGCTGGGGACCTATTCTGTCCAGGAATCTCTACAGGGAGACCAGCAGGATGTGCTGGGGACCTATTCTGTCCAGGAATCTCCACAGGGAGACCAGCAGGATGTGCTGGGGACCTATTCTGTCCAGTCATCCCCACAGGGAGACTAACATGGGGTGCTGGGGACATAGCCTCCCTAGGTATTCCCACATGAAGAGAAGCAGGGGTTGCTGGGGACCTATTCTGCCTCGGAATACTATGGGGTAACAATGAATAAAGATTATTTCAAAGCCACTGACCTGTCTGTTGTATATATATGGGGAAGATAGTAAGTGTCATCTGTATAGACTCCTGGAGCGACTGGTAGCAGATCTGTTTGGATTTCACCACCTCTCCAGCTAAAGATTCGATCAAGTCCTGCATGATCTGTAACGTTGCCCTGATGACAGGCTTGACTGGAAGGGAGGAAGGTAGTCATGGTTACCCTGCCTAACTAGGCTGGAGTTATGGAGTTATATTTTGGCTTTTGAGTCTATGCATAGTCCAATCAATATCGCATAGTGAAATCGACATTCAGTTCGTCAACTGACGCGCACATTTTGGTCGATTGCAGGATTTGTAAAGCATGTGTACAGTTAAGAGATATTTTCCAAATCTTTTCATGTTTTTAATCATGGTGCTCACGTGATTTGACACACTTTGCAAAGTAAGACCTGTTTTATTACAGTATAGATCTTAATTATCGATCAGATCATCTTCACAGGGCGACACCATTTAATTTGAAGCAAATGCAAGTAATATGAGAGGCGGAATCTGATTGGTCAATAGGAGGGAGGGACATAGAAGGGACATAACTCGCCATAGCCTTGGGTGGCGCTACGATCGAGCCCAAAAATGTCAAAAAAGTGGTAGAAACTGGACTTTACAGTCAGTTAACTCCCTTTGCTTCGGAAAGATGCATATTCACCAATGTATGCAAAGTTGTTATATTTGTAGGAATAATGGCAATAATGGAAACAGTACATGTATAACGCCTGAGAATCATAAGATAAATGCTGCAAACCTATCAGCCAACAAAAACAGTTGTCACCGCTGCACCGGCCCAAATAGGTTTGTTTTGGGAGCCAATTACAGAGCATGTGATTTCAGTACTTTCACTTGGACATTTAAATACTTTCTACGAATATTAGGAAGTGTTCTCTCTCTCAGAAATTGACTTAATGTATTTTGGGAAATTGATATTCACAAAACAATTTGCAATCATTTTTTTTCACTTTACTTGCCCTTTAATAAGTTTAACAATGAGCAGATTCATTCCGCGAGGGTGAATAGACGAGAGGTGGAAGTCAAGGGACTTACGTTCTTGCTGTAGAACTTTATTGTCGGCTAGGTCCGCCATTGTTTTGACCTGAATATAGCGTGCGGTGAGCGACTGTATAAAACTCTGATGATGTGAAGCTCTGTTTGCCCAGTCCTGCTCCAGTTCTGGTAATCCCGGCCAGGGCAGCAACAGATAGTGGGACAACGACCGGCACATCAGCAGCTGGATCTGTCAACACACACAACACCACTGCTGCAAGCCACAGACATGCTTTCCTTCGTTCTTATAATATATATCCAAATACGACCGGGGTGACATTGAAATAGTTTGAATTTCACCAGTGTAACAGCAGACTGTTGGTAGTTTCAAAACCAACAATAGTAAGCATGAGATTTCTCATAAGCGGTGAGGTGAAATCGGGTTTTAATGGTGCGTCAAAGATTATTGCACTTATATCGCCGTGTGTGTGTGTGTGTGTGCGTGTGCGTGTGCGTGTCTGTCTGTCTGCATGTACTAGTCCGGACTGATGCCGATTTATAGTGCAATTTAACTTGAATACCCAACTCAGACACAGTATACTGACTCCGAGCCGACCAGTCCTTGTTCAAGCCCCTTAATACCGAGCACCAGGCAGGGTAACAACAAGTAACATCTTTTAACGTTTTTTGGTTGAACCCCGGACCTTCCGCTCTCCGGGCAGACACTCTACCACTAGGACATGGAGACGGTCTTCTCATAAGCAGTAATATTTGACGCTACTTTATTGTTTGAACAAAATAGATATGGAGTTCCCTAAAAGAAACACATCTGCAAGAGCCAGTGCTAGATGATGAAGTATTCGATGATGTGGTATGTTTTCAATAACATAGAGAAAATATTTAGTAGCAGCATTCATTCCTAAACATGAACACATTTTCTGGAGGCAGTAGTTTTACATGCAGTTTTAAGTTTTTATATGTACAGGATGCAGGATTTCGCGCCTGGTGCATCCCTGATCCATAATATCGATCATATCAAGTAGCAAAGATATTAGTAATTAACATGACATGAGTGACGTGAAGGCTCCTTGACCGGCCATGTTGTACATGTGACAGGGTAAGGGCAACGTACCTCCTGCTTGAGTGACGTGAAGACTCCTCGACTGGCCATGTTGTACAGGGTCTGCATGCTGGGGAGCTGGATGAGGAAAGAGGGTCTCACTGTGGTGGCCATGGACAGAAACAGGTGGGCTGCAGAGTGAGCCACTCTCTCTGGAACCTAAACCAGGATCCGAGTCAATCATAAATACAAAACTTCAATCAAATTTGGAATTTCAGCATCTATTCATATTGAATAAGTAACTAGAGGTCTTTTCAAGGAAGAGGCTCCTTGACTGCCATTTCTTCAGTGGCCAAACATACCACAATGCACTTCCAGGAACATGGCTTTCAGTGGCCATACATACCACTATGCGCTTACAGGAACATGGCCTTCAGTGGCCATACATTCCACTGTAAACTTTCAGGAACATGGCCTTCAGTGGCCATACATACCTCTGTGCACTTCCAGGAACATGGCCTTCAGTGGCCATACATACCACTGTGCACTTCCAGGAACATGGCCTTCAGTGGCCATACATACCACTGTACACTTCCAGGAACATGGCCTTTAGTGGCCATACATACCACTGTGCACTTCCAGGAACATGGCCTTCAGTGGCCATACATACCACTGTACACTTCCAGGAACATGGCCTTTAGTGGCCATACATACCACTGTGCACTTCCAGGAACATGGCCTTCAGTGGCCATACATTCCACTGTGAACTTTCAGGAACATGGCCTTCAGTGGCCATACATATCACTGTGCACTTTCAGGAACATGGCCTTCAGTGGCCATACATACCACTGTGCACTTCCAGGAACATGGCCTTCAGTGGCCATAGATACCACTGTGCACTTTCAGGAACATGGCCTTCAGTGGCCATACATACCACTGTGCACTTTCAGGAACATGGCCTTCAGTGGCCATGCATACCACTGTGCACTTCCAGGAACATGGCCTTCAGTGGCCATACATACCCCTATGCACTTCCAGGAACATGGCCTTCAGTGGCCTTCAGTGGCCATACATACCACTGTGCACTTTCAGGAACATGGCCTTCAGTGGCCATACATACCACTGTGCACTTCCAGGAACATGGCCTTCAGTGGCCATACATACCACTGTACACTTCCAGGAACATGGCCTTCAGTGGCCATACATACCACTGTGCACTTCCAGGAACATGGCCTTCAGTGGCCATACATACCACTGTACACTTCCAGGAACATGGCCTTCAGTGGCCTTCAGTGGCCATACATACCACTGTGCACTTTCAGGAACATGACCTTCAGTGGCCATACATACCACTGTGCACTTCCAGGAACATGACCTTCAGTGGCCATACATACCACTGTACACTTCCAGGAACATGGCCTTCAGTGGCCATACATACCACTATGCACTTCCAGGGACAGGACCATGATGACTTCAAGACCTTGACCAAACTTAAGCCAATTTCTTAAAATGCAAGATGACCGTCTTATGATTGTACAATGAGTGAGTGAGTATGGTTTTACGCCACCTTTAGCAATATTCCAGCTAACCATCACATCACATCAGGGGACACCAGAAATAGCTTCACACATAGTGCCCATTTTGGAAATCCGGGTCTTCAGCGTGATGAGCGAAGGCTTAACCACTAGGCTACCCCACCGCCCCCATTCATGTACAAGAACAGATGCAAAAGTAACTGGCACCAAAAGATACAACTGGGATATGCAGCTGAATTTGAAACATTAAATGGCCTGACCAGTGCTAACATACAAGGAAGTCCCCTTGAAAGTTTGAAATTCTACCTCCAGGATGGATTTAACAACTGATTCAGGCTAGCTGTGATACAACTAACTTTCATAGACATAACCTCATAGACAGCCTTGACCTTGATACAGATGCCACAACCATCCAACCACTTGTTGAAGTAGGATTTCAAAATATCATGCAAACAAAGTTTGTCTGTGGAGGTAACCATGCCTATGAAACTACTGACAATAATTAACCATGTTTGACAAAACCCTAAATACTGACTTAACTTGACGTAACCTTTTGAAAGTAGGGCCCCATCCTAGAGAAGGCATATACTATATTTAGTGATAACATTTAAAAAACCTTTTGTGAAAGTGTAACCACAAATTTATTCATAAAGAATTTTCCATCTCACTACCTTAACCTTTGACCTTTCATCACATGTGATAAACAGATTCCCAAGGGCTACTTAGTAGTAGATCCTGAAAGGATATCTCCTAATGTCAATAGGCTTTACATAATAAAATTCACTAGTGGCCACAGTCAAACTGACACAAAAGCTTCAAACAATGACCCTTTATTATTTAGTAACATGGGCACCAGTCATGTGATCGATGCTCATGATACTAATCACTGGATTGTCTGGTCCAGACTTGATTATTTACAGACCGTCGTCATATAGCTGGAATATGGCTGAGTGTGGCGTTAAACAACAAACCAACCAACAACCAACATCTGACACCAGGCAGGAAAAGGGCCACTTGAGCTATAAGTATTTCAAATCTATCTGAAAATTTGATATTTAGAAATTTTGCAAACCTCCTTATTTATTAGTGGTGCAACTGCATCAATAAGCTTGACGATGAGGTTGTAGAGCTTCTCTTTCTCCTGATTGGTTCGTTGAGACACTCCGTACAGTTGAGCTAACCAATGAGCATAGGCCTTGGTGGCTGCCATAGCCTGAGCATGACTGAAAGGAGGGAAAACAAATGTATTTCTCAGAATAAAAATATCAGTTATACTTATCCTGACCCGTACTATTGCTTATCTCAGCACACTTCCAAACTGTGTTCCCCCCCCCCAAAAAAAGCAGCTCACCCGAATGCACCCCAGGTCTGTGCATGCATACCAGAAACACGTGATCAAGCCAGTATATTGTCACTCTCTCTTTTCCCTTACCTAACGTCCGAAACACAGAAAGAGGGGACGGCTGGGTGGGAACTATAGCCTTTGAGTCAGGATAAGTATAAATGATATTTTTACTTTAAAATATACATATTTTACCTTACCCTGACTTATACTATTGCTTGAATCCAACGGAAAGTGGTGGGTTCCACCTGTGTGCATGGTTCAGGTCGAGATCTATTCTAATAACCCCCTCTAAAACGAAAGTCATGAACTCAACTCAATCATTTTCACTCAAGCTCTGAACTATGCAGTAAAACGGGAACATGGACTCTCGGTCATTGGTTAAGGGACAATAACCTTACGTCAGTAGGTCTGAATGATAACAGGGAAGTATTCTGTAGGGAGGTCTATCTTCTAGTAGGTACTGTAAGTTGTTGCGTGACCACTTATTGTCCAAATTAGTGAATTCCAGCAACATTTTGTGTGGAGAAGTCTCTGAGAGTAGGGAAGAGGTTGTCTGATCTCCAGAAACAACCTGCCATGATCGTCAGAATGGAGCAGTTGCTGCATGAACCTCTGAGGCTGCATGAAGGCCGAAGCCTCCATGAAGGTCTGCAGCTGCGGGAGGACAAGTCCAACATGTGCAGCTGCGGCTGCGGCTGCGGCTGCGGCTGCGGAGATAGTGGTGTAACCACTGTTGGAGACTGCGCGGAGGTGGTCGTCTATGTGCCGACTTCCCAGACCCTTCCACGAACCCCTTCATGGATGAGGCAGCAATCGGCTTCGTGGTGGTGATCACATTAGCATAGATGTGTTCCCTCTTACTCGATGAGACAGAAGAAGAAGTCTTCTTCGCCAGGGATTGAAGCTTCTTCTTGGGATCAGAAGAAACAGCAGAAGATTTCTTCTTCAATCTAGTGGAACACTTCTGATGCCAGGGGAAGAAACTGTCGGGCTGACTGGTTGGATCAGTGGAGAGGGAGGCTCAAAAAGAACTTCCTCTCTGAAGTAGGCTCCCTATCTTGCTCTCATGAAAGTGTAGTTAGTGTCTCTGAGGTGAGGTGAAATGGGGTTAACGCTGCGTCCAAGATTATTGCACTTATATAGCGACGTGCATGTATGTGTGTGTGTTTGTGTGGCTGCTTGTACTAGTCTGGACTGATGCCGATTTATAGTGCTAGCTCACTGAGATACCATGCCGCAGTTTTACATGAATACCCCACTCAGACACAGTATACTGACTCTGAGCCGACCAGTCCTTGTTTTAGCCCCTTAATGCCGAGCGCCGGACAGGGTAACAACAAGTACCATCTTTTAACGTCTTTTGGTATGACGCGGCCGGGGATCGAACCCCGGACCTTCCGCTCTCCGGGCGGACGCTCTACCACTAGACTACGGAGGCGGTTACAGTGTCTCTGATGAGGATGATGCAGAACGAGATGACTCCCTCTCCTTACAGTCCATCTTCTTTCTCTGTACTATGAACAGGTACTGTGCAAATTCTTCTTCGCAGAAACTACTCCTCTTGTCTGTTGTGCAGTGTTGAGGGATGCAGGATGAACAGATGGGGATCTCGATCTTAATTCTGAGATATCATGAATAAAGAATGATAGAAGAATAAATAATTTTATGAAAAAAAGTTAATTTTTGATAGGATGGCATGGATTACAAAGCTCAGGAAATTTTTCCCCAACCAATGCAAAAATAAGAGAGTGACAAGTATACTGGCTTGTCGCATGTTTCCAGTGTGATAGCGCAGACTAAAGGTGGATTCGGTGAGTTGTTTTTTCTGTTCTCCGGAAACAGAGTTCAGGAAGTTTCCACTACCTTTCAGAAATGAGTTGAGATCAGCAATAGCGTGAGTCAGGATAAGGTAAAACACAGTAAATTTGATATCAACCTTACACAATACAGTCTGAACAAACACCACATCATAAATATCATGTTCTTGATACCCACACTGTTACATGTCATGATACATACGCTTTCATCAGTTTTCAATAACAAGGTATGACCTCTATATCAGCTATTCGTGAGCAAGTTTTTCCGTGTAATACTGACACTTGAATGAAGTCCGGCTGAAGCACAGACTGAGCTACCGACGTCACTTCAAAGAGCTTGTGTTTACTTCCATACGTCACTGTCTCCACCAGTCTGAAAACAGGAAAAAGGTCTGTGCAGATTAGATTTGCTGAACCAACAACTTGATCTAAAAGTACCTAGAGTGAGTGAGTATGGTTTTACGCCACTTTTAACAATATTCCAGCAATATCATGGCGGGGGACACCAGAAATGGGCTTCACACATTGTACCCATGTTTGGAATGAAACCCTAGTCTTCGCCCTACGAGCGAACGCTTTAACCACTAGGCTTCCCAACCGCCCTTAAAGTATCTAGAGAGCAATGTAAGTATTATCATTTCACATTGTCATAAATAGGTGTTGATTTCCAGTGTAATCTGTAACGACATCCAAAATAACAATAACTAGCCTTTGCCCCAAAATACCACGATACCATATATTTATATGTATAGTATGACCCAAGTAATGTGCAACCTCCATTCTTGGGTACAAGTTTCAAGAAAAATTGCTATGGAATAGTGGGCCGTCAAAAACTACATCGTATCACTTCAGGTGAATGAACAGGAGACAACCTAAGTCAACAAAATGTGAAGATAAAACATCAGTGAATTGTTTTTACTGTATGCTAGGCATTGCATGCAGAGATTTAGATTACCGTGTGTGATATCAATTGGCGTGAAAAATAAGCCGGAAAAAAGCATAACCGTGATAACTCATTGACTGCCTGTATTATGTACATCCTCCTCTACACGGCTGCATTTTTTTAAAACAAAGATAGATTTGGTTTGTTGTTTAACCCCACACTCAGCAATATTCCAGCTGTATGACGGCAGTCTGTAAATAATTGAGTCTGGACCAGACAATCCAGTGATTAATATCATAAGCATCGATCCACGCAATTGGGATCGATGGCATAGATCAACCTGTCAGCGAGTCTGACCACCTGATCCTGTTAGTCACGTCTTACGACAAGCAGAGTTGCCTTTTACGGCAAGCATGGGTTGCTGAAGACCTTTTCTACCCCGTATCTTCACGGGTTCTTTAAAACAAGGAGTGTACATGACAAGAAAATATGTATCAATAATTATCAATGAACTTGAGCAATCACAGAAACTACATACCACTGCTTCAGTACCACATGATCAAGTGAGTGAGTGAGTGGGTTTTACGCCGCTTTTAGCAATATTCCAGCGATATCACAGCGGGGGTCACAAGAAATGGGCTTCACACATTGTACCCATGTCGGGGATCGAACCCGGGTCTTCGGCGTGACGAGCGAACACTTTAACCACTAGGCTACCCGACCGCCCTCCACATGATCAAGAGTTTGTAAAGGTGAAAACCAAGAAGGAAATGTTTACTTGTCAACCAGAACTTGTGCAATGGTGTATCTCTCGGCAAACTTCTCCCCAATAAAATGATCTGCCAATCTCCCAAGTGCCTGCAGAAGGGATGACAGATCTCTCAGTGTGCAGTGAAGTCTCCGACACTCGTTCTCGCCGGTGATGTTGAGCCGACGCCCCTGCATGCCGTTAATCACACATGTCTCCAGCCCCATGTACACATTCATATAATCCTTGAAAGGCTCCCACTGAAAGTTGTAAATGAACACCCACACGTATACGTCTCTTCAAAGTATGCAACAGAATCACAATCTGTTAACTGAATGACTGAACTATTTCTTAGCATTGAGAGACTTACATACACTCTAATTAAAAAGACTAAACATACATATACAGTAAACTACGTTCATAACGAGCACGCTTATAATGAACTGACGGATAAAACGAACATATTTTTTTGTCCCGGCCATTTGCTGTATATTTGCTGTACATACGCTGTATATATGCTTATAACAAACTACAGTTATAACAAACCAATATCAATGGTCCGTGCATGGTATAAACCCCTGAGAGTGTAAATGAGAATTTCCGTCAATATTGCAGCTACTTCATATAAACATGATAAAGGCCATCTTGATCTCACAGTTTCTCTTGAAACAATAATATGTCCAAATCAAATAAAGACAAGAACATAAGACTACAAAGTGTTATCTATGTTATCTGAGCATGTATGGACATAAGTTGCTATATTTCTGTTATTTAATATTGAATCAGAGAAACATGAACTCACTATAAGCTGGAACGTCTCCGCTGTGAGGAGTTCAGCAACTTTGGCTATTACTTCCAGACACTGACGAAGGAAGTGCTGCCACTCTGTCTCCGACTGAAATGACGAGGACACACAAGACTTGTCATTCTCATGTTTCATGGTTATCCTTCATCAATGCATTTAACAACTTCCTACTGCCTAAAGTATTTGCAAGGATATGTTTATTTGTCAAGGGAGGGACTGTTACTTAACAACACTGTCACCATTACTTCAATAATATCACCATTTGTAAGTTTTTTTTGTCTGTTTGTTGTTAAAGCCGCACTCAGCAATATTCCAGCTATATGACAGCGGTCTGTAAAATAATCGAGTCTGGACCAGACAATCCAGTGATTGACATCAAGAGCATCGATCTACGCAATTGGGATATGATGATGTTTCAACCAAGTCAGCGAGTCTGACCCCTCAATCCCGTTAGTTGCCTCTTAAGACAAGCTTTGTCGCCTGTTACTGCAAGCATGGGTTGCTGAAGACCTATTCTACCCCAAATCTCCATGGGAATTCAAGTCTGGACCAGACAAACCATTGTTGGAAGGTATGAGGAACAATCCACAACATCAGGGCATTATGAATGGACACATATTCCCTCCAACCTCTAGCAGATGAGGCTATCATCATGTAATCATTCCATGTCACCACCATTACACCAACATTTGACATGACCCACATGTTGGCCACGTGGGTCTATGGCACCAGAATTCGCTGTGCAGAGTTGCATCCCAGAATCCAAAGATCACGAGTTTGATAATTCGACCTGATCATGAGTCGTGGTTTGTGAGAACTCTACATGTAGGACCTATCGCTTTCATTCCACGCGAAGCTGCTATGCCGTGACCAGTGCTGCTTGAACAGTATATCTGTTCTCTATCCATGATCATGTCAGTGGGATGGTAGCCTGAAGTGATGTACTTCCTGGATGGAGAGCACAGTATTTACTCACATCATCATCCAGCGTGTCGTCATCCAGCTCCTCCAGCTGAGACTGGTTGAAGCGGAACTGGAACTTCTGCAGGATGTGGGACACGAGTGACAGCAGCGCCTCCTGGTATCTGTCAGACAAAAGGGAGATAATGAGGAACACCGCTGGAGGCACTCTCGCAATGTTACAACACTTCTTGTTCAACTAGGGGCGGTTGGGTAGCCTAGTGGTTAAAGCGTTCGCTCGTCACGCTGAAGACCCGGGTTCGATTCCCGACATGGGTACAATGTGTGAAGCCCATTTCTGGTGTCCCCCGCACTGATATCGCTGGAATATTGCTAAAAGCGGCGTAAAACCATACTCACTCACTCACTCTTGTTCAACTACAGGTGTTATTGTAAACTTGGTTATTGGTAACAATAAAAAGAAAGAATTAATATATACCCCAGTAGTTATCAAGATTAGTGCAAATGAGATCTAACATCAGCTTAAGTAGATTTTAAGATTACTCATGGTAATATATGGACTATTATCATGATTAGTAGCTGAGAATACTAGAACCCATAGTTCAGGGAACATTACATTACATGCTAAACACAGTGCCGTACATCTCCTAATTACTGTACACGTGTCTGGGGAGACTCCTAAGCATACCTGCTGACTGTGTTGAGGCCATCTGCCGTCCTCTCCTGTAGTTTTGTCAGCAGGTAGTCCAGGAAGGTGTTCCAGATGTCCAGACAGTTGAAGAAGCCATCATTGCCAGGCTGAAACAAACATGTCACACTCAGCCGACTTCGGGAAAGTAAACACATACTGTAAAACGTGAAATTAATGCGTCTCCAAAAGAATGTGACCGCTGGACCCTAGCCAAAACTGCGACACCCCCTCCTCTCAAGCATCAGTGGATTTATATCTAAACAAAATGTCCTCTGTCAGGTTTACAGGAGAATCCTCACTCTAATCCAACCTTACATTAATCCAATCACACACCAAATAGCACATTTATTAGCGCTGAGTAGAGTACTTCAGCTAAAACAATATGTGCGCGCTGGCTCGTGTCGGCCTTTGATGCAGTCGCAAAGAGCAAAGACATCGTGTTGGGTGGTGTCTGTCTGGACTTGCAGGTGTGATCAGTGATGACATGAGTGAGTAGAACGCTTGTCTTGACCCCAGCAGTGACAATTCACAGGATGTAATTAGTTGTTTGTTTTAATTTCACGTTTTACAGTATTACAGTAAACAGCGTTTATAATGAACACGCTTAAAACAGATATATAACGCACTATTTCTTCGGTCCCGGCATTGGCTGTATATTTTAACATATAAAATAATGGATATAACGAACATGCTTATAACGAAATAACTTATATAGCGAACTCACTTTGTGATCCCACGTGGACTCTGTCAACGACAATGCTTTTGTTTATAATGAACTGTTAATCTCTGAGCTAATCACGTATCACCTATCAGCCTATAAAAACATCCGCGGCCACACGCAGCTCTTCAAAATGGGCAATAAACAATTGAAGGCAAGTGATTAACTGGAAAAGTACTGACACCATGACCCCAAATTACATCCTCAATTAACAATAATATAAGTTATAACAGTGATTAGGTTATAGGCTTTGAAGTGGATAACTGTCTTTAAATGCAATGACTACAGAGGAAATTCAGTCGAAATGCTTATAACGAACAACAGTTATAATGACCTTAAATTCTTTGAGTTCGTTATAACCTCACGCCAAAGACCCGGGTTCGATTCCCGACATGGGTACAATGTGTGAAGCCCATTTCTGGTGTCCCCCGCCCTGATATTGCTGGAATATTGCTAAACTCACTACTCACTCACACGTTATAACCATAGTTTACTGTACTCTACCAGGAACATTCTATTTGGTCAAAAAGGTTTCAAATCAATAACTGCCAAAGATTCAAACTGCTGATTTGAAACTGCTGCATCAAAGCGAAAGCTAATCATGCTATTATTATAGAAAAGAACTTCATTCTCAGTCATGGTCAGGAGTCATTTTGAAATAATGATCTGTACTATTGTAGGTTAAAATGCAGATTTTTGTTTTCTACAATCTTCACATTAAGGCAATACATTTCGCTAAAAAACATGATAGAAATCAACTAAGAGTGTATATCAAATCTTCTGACATCTGGGAGTTTGAAATTTGGCCCTTTTCTCTCCCCAACTGTGATATTGCAAGAAATGGGCACAAATACGACTCTATGGCATATTAACTATACTTAAATTTGCCTTATCAAAAACAACTGCGTGAACAAAAAACTATGGTTTTTTTGTTTGTTGTTTAACGCTGCACTCAGTAATATTCCAGCTATATGACGGCGGTCTCTTAATAATCGAGTCTGGACCAGACAATCCAATGATTGACATCATGAGCATCGATCCACACAATTGGGATACGAAGACATGCATCAACCTAGTCAGCGAGCCTGACCACCTAATTCCGTACATCGCCTCTTACGATAAGCACAGTCACCATTTACGGCAAGCATGGGTTGCAGAAGACATATTCTACCCCGGATCTTCACGGGTCAACAACAAACTAGGAGTAAGCCTTAGAACACTGTGCATATTTACCTGTCTGAAGGTATACTTGAAGAGAAGCGCGAGGAATTCTAACACAGGGAACTGGGCACTGCCCTCAAACCGACGCAAGTGTATGCTGACAAAGAGGCGTAGGAAATCAGTGAATTTCTCCACATAGCTGAAAGAAAAACATCAACAGCAGGTTATCAAGTATAATGTTGTAGGATGACTTATTCACAGACAGATAATAGCCTGATAAACTTGCAATGATAAACTACTGCATTCAACATAGACACCCTGTATCACCCATAAAAGCATCTGCCATATTAGCATGACGCAAGTTTTAAAAAACCAGCAAATCAAACTTAGTAAATTTAATATATGGGAGAAAAGAACCCCCTGATGCAGGTCCTCAAAACCCATGACCACAAGTATGGTGCAGACAAACCAAGGATCAGAGAGAAACTCGGATTAGAACCCACAATCATAAGATCCTTCCACATGCCCCACCAAGGAACCTTCGTGTTATTACAACAGAAAATCCCTCTACATGGGGTACAAAATGACAAAGTCACCCACCTATCTTCAAGTTCTGCTAATCTGTTTCCTGTGGGGTTAGTCGAGCTCTCCTTCGTCATCTTTTGTAACAAGTAAAATGTCTGCTGAAACATCTGCAGCAGAAAGTCTTCAAACTCCTGTGGGACACAATTCTTGGATAACAGCTCATTGACACAGTTCATGGCAAGCACCCCCAGACACTGAGTGCTGTTAGAGAAGGACATATTGGGGCTGGACGCCCGGTTGTTGCGCACCTCGCAGCCGAAGCCTGCGTAGTGGAAGATGGTGCTGAGCAGTGTGGGGGTGATGGTGGTGGACAGCGGGATCCAGCTGAAGTAGTGAGCCAGGCAGGATAGGGCTGCGGAACACAGCTGCTGGGATTCATCGTCCAGGGGAGGAAGCGCTTCCATCCGTGTGCCTCGGATGGGAGACTTGAACATACTGCTTAGAAGAGTGTCTTGAAAAAAATAAGACAGGCCATGAGAGTAATGAAGTTGTACAGCTTGTGCAAATTTCTTTATAATGCTACTATATATTTTGAATTCTACATTAAAATATCAACATGACTTGTGGAAAAAGTTCTCAGAAGATTATGATAGAAAAGATGACATTTTAAACATTAAAATTAACTGTAAACAATGAAATTAATTATTAATGATTTGGTTGGTTTGTTGTTTAAGGCCGCACTCTGCAATATTCCAGCTATATGACGGCGGTCTGTAAATAATCGAGTCTGGACCAGACAATCCAGTGATTAATTTCATGAGCATCGATCCACGCAATTGGGATCGATGACATGCATGAACCAAGTCAGAGAGCCTGACCACCCGATCCTGTTAGTCACCTTTTACGACAAGCATAGTCGCCTTTTACGGCAAGCATGGGTTGCTGAAGATCTATTCTACCCCGGATCTTCACGGGTCAATTATTAATGAAAAAAAGTATCAGTACCATATTCAACACAATTAGCACCCCGCTCTAATAAGCGCCCACGACGGTATTTGTTAAGCATGCACATAGTATTATTTGTAAGAGACATATATATCTAAAGGGGTAAAATACGGACACAGATAGTTTTTTTACGTTCGCCAAGGCATAAAGTTTACAATCTTTCAATTCTGTTAAAAAACAAAACTGCATACTGATAAGCGGCCCCCTTTTCTAAATTTGAGAGCGCCTTACATCGAATACGAATGTAAAAAGGTTGAGTGCCTCAAGGTCACATGACGGCCAAACTGAATATTGTTTTGTTTTGTTTGTTTGTTTATTTGTTGTTTAACGCCAAAATAAGCAATATTCCAGCTATATTCTGGCAGTCTGTAAATAATCGAGTCTGGACCAGACAATCCAGTGATTGACATCATGAACATTGCTCCACACAATTGCATTACAATGACATGCATCAACCAATCAGCGAGCCTGACTGACCGATCCTGTTAGTCACCTCTTACGACAATTGTTTTGTAGACACTGCAGTTATCAATAGATCGGGTTTATCATAAAAGTCTGGTCATAATTGGGCCTGGACAAGAAAACCACAGGTTGATAGCATGAACAATAAGTATTTGTCACAGAGTGACGAAATATCCCCCGCCTGTACACCATAGTACCAAATATGAAGACAATCCAGCGATTAGTTCTTGAGATATTGTGGCAACACCGTTTTCCAACTCCAAAAACAGATTTGCCTGCTGTGACCTTGAAAATGGGGTCAAGGTCACCAAATCTGACAGGTGTATGCGGTGTCTGTATATACACTATAGTTCCAAATATGAAGACAATCCAGCGATTAGTTCTTGAGATATCGCGGCAACACCGTTTTCTAACTCCAAAAGCAGATTTGCCTGCTGTGACCTTGACAATGGGGTCAAGGTCACCAAAACCGACTGGTGTCTGCGGTGTCTGTATATACACCATAGTTCCAAATATGAAGACAATCCAGTGTTTAGTTCTTGAGATATCGCGGCAACACCGTTTTCCAACTCCAAAAGCAGATTTGCCTGCTGTGACCTTGAAAATGGGATCAAGGTCACCAAAACCGACTGGTGTCTGCGGAGTCTGTATATACACCATAATTCCAAATATGAAGACAATCCAGTGTTTAGTTCTTGAGATATCGCGGCAACACCGTTTTCCAACTCTAAAAGCAGATTTGTCTGCTGTGACCTTGGAAATGGGATCAAGGTCACCAAAACCGACTGGTGTCTGCGGAGTCTGTATATACACCATAGTTCCAAATATGAAGACAATCCAGTGTTTAGTTCTTGAGATATCGCGGCAACACCGTTTTCCAACTCTAGAAGCAGATTTGCCTGCTGTGACCTTGAAAATGGGATCAAGGTCACCAAAACCGACTGGTGTCTGCGGAGTCTGTATATACACTATAGTTCCAAATATGAAGACAATCCAGTGTTTAGTTCTTGAGATATCGCGGCAACACCGTTTTCCAACTCCAAAAGCAGATATGCCTGCTGTGACCTTGAAAATGGGATCAAGGTCACCAAAACCGACTGGTGTCTGCGGAGTCTGTATATACACCATAGTTCCAAATATGAAGACAATCCAGTGTTTAGTTCTTGAGATATCGCGGCAACAAACAGGTGGGACGTACGGACGGACGTACGGACGTACGGACGTACGTACGGACGGTCGTGAATACTATATCCCCCGCTTCGCGCTTTCGCGCGGCGGGGGATAACAATCCAATTTTTATGGCTGAGAGAGAGTCACTCAGTCACTCAGTCACTAAGCCAATCCCAATGTTAGATGGTTATAACCACAAGCAAAGGGTACAGTCAGCTGGAGTCACCCCAAAATTTCTCAATGTTGCATATATGACATGAAAATATGACATTGGAAACATCGGAAAACATTTGAATTACTCTGGTGATCAATCCTTTAAAAAATCCTATATATATATTTGTTTAGATATGAAAATTACTCTAGTGATCAATCCTTTAGACATCATAGTTGAAGATTGTCGACGTCATTCGACAAATTGTGGTTCCGCTGCTGTTGCGACTTGCTGTCCTTATCGCTAAACACTAAAATTTGTCTCCGAATGTAGACATCTTCTTTGGTAATAAATAGAACATTAAATACATGTTCATGTCATACTGTGTTTACAACAATCATGCTTAAATTACAGTATTTCCGTCAATAGTGGAATTTAGACATTCGTGTTGTAAACATAGTATGACATGAACACTCATATAATATCCTCTGTATACTGTAAATCGTGAAATTAGTCTCCAAAAGAATGCGACCGCTGGCCCTTAGTCAATAATGTGACTCAATATGAATGCGACACCCCCCTCCTCTCAAGCATCAGTGGATTTATATCTAAAGAAAATGTCCGCTGGCTCATGTCCGCCTTTGACGCAGTCGCAAAGAACAAAGACACCGTGCTGCGTGGGTGGCGTCTGTCTGGACTTGCAGGTGTGATCAGTGATGACCCAAGTGTGTAGAATTCTTGTCTTGACCCCAGCAGTCACAATTCACAGGATGTAATTAGTGTTTGAATGGCATTGTTTATATACTTGTTACAAGTGCTGCTCAATAAACAGTGATGTGGAATACATAGTTGTTTGTTTTCAGCGTATGTCTAAGTTGGTATTTCTGCTATCCAAAATGGCTTATTGTTGATATAAATGCGGTTAAATAATGCGAGCAAAGACCACTCGCATTTTTCGCATTTAATTCATGATCGCGTTAATTTCAAGATTTACAGTATTTGTCAAGACATGTTTGACCCTCGTTATTTATTTACCTGATCTGATAGGTGAAGAAGAGAAGAGCATGAGAGAAGATCGGCGACTAATGCCGCTGTCGCCCTGAGTCGGCGACGGTGGAGGAGTGGCTGCCACTAGGTGGCGGTGCTTCTCAAGCACTGTTTCTAAAAGATCTGAAAACAACAACGGGGAGAAAAAAATCATCTCAACATCCTAATACAATATCTGAATAATGTTGAATGTAAATTACAGAGAAATAAGAACGAAATACAATCAACCAAGTCTATCCAGTCCACATAGTCGCCACTCACAGTTGAGTGTACTGAGAGTGTGGAAGTGGTACTCACTGTTGAGTGTACTGAGGACATGGAAGTGGTACTCACTGTTGATTACTGAGAGTGTGGAAGTGGTACTCACTGTTGAGTGTGTACTGAGAGTATGGAAGTGGTACTCACTGTTGAGTGTGTACTGAGAGTGTGGAAGTGGTACTCACTGTTGAGTGTACTGAGAGTATGGAAGTGTTACTCACTGTTGAGTGTGTACTGAGAGTGTGGAAGTGGTACTCACTGTTGAGTGTACTGAGTGTATGGAAGTGTTACTCACTGTTGAGTGTACTGAGAGTGTGGAAGTGGTACTCACTGTTGAGTGTACTGAGGACATGGAAGTGGTACTCACTGTTGATTACTGAGAGTGTGGAAGTGGTACTCACTGTTGAGTGTGTACTGAGAGTATGGAAGTGGTACTCACTGTTGAGTGTGTACTGAGAGTGTGGAAGTGGTACTCACTGTTGAGTGTACTGAGGGTATGGAAGTGGTACTCACTGTTGAGTGTACTGAGAGTGTGGAAGTGGTACTCACTGTTGAGTGTACAGAGAGTGTGGAAGTGGTACTCACTGTTGAGTGTACTGAGAGTGTGGAAGTGGTACTCACTGTTGAGTGTACTGAGAGTATGGAAGTGGTACTCACTGTTGAGTGTACTGAGAGTGTGGAAGTGGTACTCACTGTTGAGTGTACTGAGAGTGTGGAAGTGGTACTCACTGTTGAGTGTACTGAGAGTATGGAAGTGGTACTCACTGTTGAGTGTACTGAGAGTGTGGAAGTGGTACTCTCTGTTGAGGGTACTGAGAGTATGGAAGTGGTACTCACTGTTGAGTGTACTGAGAGTGTGGAAGTGGTACTCACTGTTGAGTGTACTGAGAGTGTGGAAGTGGTACTCACTGTTGAGTGTGTACTGAGAGTGTGGAAGTTGTACTCACTGTTGAGTGTACTGAGAGTGTGGAAGTTGTACTCACTGTTGAGTGTACTGAGAGTATGGAAGTGGTACTCACTGTTGAGTGTACTGAGAGTGTGGAAGTTGTACTCACTGTTGTGTGTGTACTGAGAGTGTGGAAGTTGTACTCACTGTTGAGTGTACTGAGAGTGTGGAAGTTGTACTCACTGTTGTGTGTGTACTGAGAGTGTGGAAGTTGTACTCACTGTTGTGTGTGTACTGAGAGTATGGAAGTGGTACTCACTGTTGAATGTACTGAGGACATTGAAGTGGTACTCACTGTTGAGTGTACTGAGAGTGTGGAAGTTGTACTCACTGTTGAGTGTACTGAGAGTATGGAAGTGGTACTCACTGTTGAGTGTACTGAGAGTGTGGAAGTGGTACTCACTGTTGAGTGTGTACTGAGAGTGTGGAAGTGGTACTCACTATTGAGTGTACTGAGAGTGTGGAAGTGGTACTCACTGCTGAGTGTACTGAGTACATGGAAGTGGTACTCACTGATGGGTGTACTAAGAGTATGGAAGTGGTACTCACTGATGGGTGTACTAAGAGTATGGAAGTGGTACTCACTGTTGAGTGTGTACTGAGAGTGTGGAAGTGGTACTCACTGTTGAGTGTGTACTGAGAGTATGGAAGTGGTACTCACTGATGGGTGTACTGAGAGTATGGAAGTGGTACTCACTGTTGAGTGTGTACTGAGAGTGTGGAAGTGGTACTCACTGTTGAGTGTACTGAGAGTGTGAAAGTAATACTCACTGTTGAGTGTGCTGAGAGTAGGGAAGTGGAACTCACTGTTGAGTGTGTACTGAGAGTATGGAAGTGGTACTCACTGTTGAGTGTGTACTGAGAGTGTGGAAGAGGTACTTACTGTTGAGTGTACTGAGGACATGGAAGTGGTACTCACTGCTGAGTGTACTGAGATGTGGAAGTTGCACTCACTGTTGAGTGTACTGAGAGTGTGGAAGTGGTACTCACTGTTGAGTGTACTGAGGACATGGAAGTGGTACTCACTGATGAGTTTACTGAGAGTGTGGAAGTGGTACTCACTGTTGAGTGTAGTGAGAGTGTGGAAGTTGTACTCAGTGTTGAGTGTGTACTGAGAGTGTGGAAGTGGTACTCACTGTTGAGTGTACTGAGAGTGTGGAAGTGGTACTCACTGCTGAGTGTACTGAGAGTGTGGAAGTGGTACTCACTGTTCGGTGTGTACTGAGAGTGTGGAAGAGGTACTTACTGTTGAGTGTGTACTGAGAGTGTGGAAGTGGTACTCACTATTGAGTGTGTACTGAGAGTATGGAAGTGGTACTCACTGATGGGTGTACTAAGAGTATGGAAGTGGTACTCACTGTTGAGTGTGTACTGAGAGTGTGGAAGTGGTACTCACTGTTGAGTGTACTGAGAGTGTGGAAGTGGTACTCACTGTTGAGTGTGTACTGAGAGTATGGAAGTGGTACTCACTGATGGGTGTACTAAGAGTATGGAAGTGGTACTTACTGTTGAGTGTGTACTGAGAGTGTGGAAGTGGTACTCACTATTGAGTGTGTACTGAGAGTATGGAAGTGGTACTCACTGATGGGTGTACTGAGAGTGTGGAAGTGGTACTCACTGTTGAGTGTGTACTGAGAGTGTGGAAGTGGTACTCACTGTTGAGTGTGTACTGAGAGTATGGAAGTGGTACTCACTGATGGGTGTACTAAGAGTATGGAAGTGGTACTCACTGTTGAGTGTGTACTGAGAGTGTGGAAGTGGTACTCACTGTTGAGTGTGTACTGAGAGTGTGGAAGTGCTACTCACTGTTGAGTGTACTGAGAGTGTGAAAGTAATACTCACTGTTGAGTGTACTGAGAGTGTGGAAGTGGTACTCACTGTTCGGTGTGTACTAAGAGTATGGAAGTGGTACTCACTGTTGAGTGTGTACTGAGAGTGTGGAAGTGGTACTCACTGTTGAGTGTGTACTGAGAGTATGGAAGTGGTACTCACTGTTGAGTGTACTGAGAGTGTGGAAGTTGCACTCAGTGTTGAGTGTACTGAGAGTGTGGAAGTGGTACTCACTGTTGAGTGTACTGAGAGTGTGGAAGTGGTACTCACTGCTGAGTGTACTGAGAGTGTGGAAGTGGTACTCACTGTTGGGTGTGTACTGAGAGTGTGGAAGTGGTACTCACCGTTGAGTGTACTGAGAACATGGGAGTGGTACTCACTATTGAGTGTACTGAGGACATGGAAGTGGTAATCACTGTTGAGTGTACTGAGAGTGTGAAAGTGGTACTCACTGTTGAGTGTGTACTGAGGACATGGAAGTGGTACTCACTGTTGAGTGTACTGAGGACATGGAAGTGGTACTCACTGTTGAGTGTACTGAGAGTGTGAAAGTGGTACTCACTGTTGGGTGTACTGAGGACATGGAAGTGGTACTCACTGTTGAGTGTACTGAGGACATGGAAGTGGTACTCACTGTTGGGTGTACTGAGGACATGGAAGTGGTAATCACTGTTGAGTGTACTGAGAGTGTGGAAGTGGTACTCACTGTTGAGTGTACTGAGGAAATGGAAGTGGTAATCACTGTTGAGTGTACTGAGAGTGTGAAAGTGGTACTCACTGTTGGGTGTACTGAGGACATGGAAATGGTACTCATTTTTGCGTGTACTGAGGACATGGAAGTGGTACTCACTGTTGAGTATACTGAGGACGTTGGGCACCTGTACCAGCAGGAGTCTATGGAGCTCATCTTTCCTCGCCATGCTCAGGTCCTCCCGGGGGGCGGCCAGTTCCTCAGACGCTGTCCGCAGTAGTATAACACCCAGCATGGTTGTGTCTTGACCCTGGGCAAGCTTGCCATTGAAAAATATTACCTCATTATCATAATGATTTGTTTTCATTTTCCTTTGTGTCTTAATACTGCACTCAGCAATATTCCAGCTATATGACATCAGTCTAAATCATTGAGTCTGGACAGGACAATCCAGTGATTGATAGTGTGAACTGCGATTCACATCATCACAATGACATGCAATCAACCAAGTCACCGAGCCAGACAACCAATTAACAATCAGATCTTAGATTTGAATATTTTCAGCGTTATGAACAGAACAACAATTTGCACTGTTGTTTCATCTCTAGCACAGTGCTTATTCGCCATGAGACACAGTTGAAAAAAACATGCAAAACTCGAACAAATAACTGCCGTTGCAGACAAAACGTCAGTAGTCTTACACAAATAACTATAGAGTGGGAAAAAGTAAATCTCTCTGACCAAGCTAATCAGATTTCTTTTGTCTGATGCCAAAATATTTACTTCTGATACTAAAATATTTACTTATGATAGTATAATCATGATAATAGTAACTGCTGATATTATAATAGTTACTTCTGATACTATAATAGTTACTGCTGATATTATAATAGTTACAGCTGATATTAAAATAGTTACTTCTGATACTATAATGGTTACTGCTGATACTAAAATAGTTACTGCTGATATTATAATAGTTACTGCTGATATTATAATAGTTATTTCTGATATTACAACAGTTACTGCTGATATTATAATAGTAACTTCGATATTATAATAGTTACTGCTGATACTATAATAGTTATTTGATATTATAATAGTTATTGCTGATATTATAATAGTAACTTCTGATATTATAATAGTTACTGCTGATATTATAATAGTTACTGCTGATATTATAATAGTTATTTCTGATATTATAATATTTACTGCTGATATTATAATAGTTATTTCTGATATTATAATAGTTACTGCTGATATTATAATAGTTATTATCAAGTCTGACCACCCGATCCCGTTAGTCGCCTTTTATGGGAAGCATGGCTTGCTGAAGATGTATTCTACACCGGATCTTCACGGGCCAGAAAAGAGAGGTAACATTACACTAATCTCACAAAATTCACAGTTGGAAAGAGACAAAAAGGACAATATATATAGTGAGTGAGTGAGTATGATTTAACGCCGCTTTTAGCAATATTCCAGCAATATCATGGCAGGGGTCACCAGAAATGGGCTTCACATATTGTACCCATGTCGGGAATCAAACCCGGGTCTTTGGCGTGACGAGCGAACACTTTAACCACCGCCCCCATATATAGTCCCGTGGCACTGAGGAGTGGGTGAAACATGTGAAAGGAGAGAGACCATATATGAGTTAAGAAGAAATGTTGAATTGAATATTTATTTCTTTTCAAGGCAACAAAAGCCTGCATAGCTTTAGGATATAAAACATTTGTTTCAGTATCTGCACCCTTTACAAACAGTTCATCACGTTCCATTCAGACATTACAACTTTTGAGAATATAGCTTGATTTTCAGGAATAATATTCAATCATTTTGTTCCAGCTGGGCCAATTGAAATATGACATAACACTGGTGTTACTTCTTACTGGACAATGCTGCGTAAAGAAACTCACAACAATTAACATGTAAATTGTTTGATAGGCATTACATAGAAGTTGACAAATGACAGTAGAGATAATTTACTGATAACATCTTCTTTATTTACTGAAAAGGGTTTACAGTAAATAAAGCATTTTTATCCATAATTTATCTCTAATTTACTGGCTTCCAATCATCCCAATCAGCTTCCGTGGTTGTTTACCCTGTCCCATTAGTCATCCACTGACTTCCAATTATCATGATTATCTTAATCAGCTCTCTGTGTCCATCAATCAATTTACTGTATAAACATTGATGCTAATAAGTATATATAACTAGGTTGTTTAGCACTATGCATCACTTGCTTGATAAAGATGTTAGGATCTACACTGAAACGTTGCACTAATTGTGATAAAGAAGTTGTTCATCCATAGAACTTGTCTTACTTCAAATTATCTCTACTTTGTCATCCGTCAACTTCTAAGTAACGCCTATCAAACAATTCATCTGTCATCTACATGGAGACGTGGCAATCAACACCATAAACAACCTGTACAGTAAATATAGACGTTGTTATCCATAAATTATCTCAAATTTATTTATTAACATATATAATACCTGTAAGATACTTGGAAAAAAGTCTGGATAGAAATGTGGCCAGTCGATCCTGCCGATGTGCACAACAAGCTTGACAATCTTATTGCGGATGTACGAGGGGACAACAGTGTGGTGTATCAGCAGGAACTGGTTCAGCGTGTTGCGGATCTTGATCTTGTCCTGGCCATCAAACCCCAACCATTGCTTGTTGATAAGGTTCTGAAATATGGTTTAGATTACAAAAGTTGCTTTGTTTGTTGTTTATGCCACAGCCAAAAAATGCTGCAACCAGTTTGTTTTAAACATATTTTATTGACACATATGGTCAACAGGATTGGGCTGCGACCAGTTAACCAGTGATTGACATAATGAGCAGCAACCCATACATTACGTTGACAAGAACCTGGACCACAGATACATTTTACTTGGGACTCAAATCTACTGTGGAAATGCCATGGGCATTATGGGATGTTTCATGTGTAATATGTGCATATACTTAATGCTTATTTAAGAATTGACATTCACTTACCTTCATAGAGTCAGGGCCGAACTGTATGAGCGTTGGTGCTTGCGACAACATTCATACAATGTTTGGCCCTCACTCTATGAAGGTTCATACTCCAGTGAACTCACACAAAGTGAAAGTCATTCATGTTTACACTGACAGCCATACAACAACCAGCTGTAGCGCTGAATAAAATAGTTCCCCAAAACAAGATGTGACATGAGCAAATGTATGTGCAACTTGCTGTTGTAGTTTGTTTACAAGACATGCATTCAAGTGATATCGCCATTGGGTGAGAAAGGTCTGTTAAGAACAGCCTCAGTAAGTCAGTCACAATGACAGTGCGTCTAAATACATTTACATCAAGTACAAAATGTCAAAATGGCCGACACGATAAACGTGACGGGAGAGATTTCCAAAGTTGTTAATGAACCTTGTATGCATTAGTCATCATAGATCAGTTGGCTGATCATCAAAAGGTGATACTAAAGATGTGTCAAATAGATACTAAGGTAAATTCCTAGACTGCTGTAGACTGTAACTGTAAGTCTAGGCATGGATCGAGTGTGTGATAGTTAGGATGTTTGGGGTGACTTTTGGTCTGGAAATCACTATTGAGATAACTACTGATATGAAAGAAACTAATGCGCAAGTGTTGATACATGTATTGCAAGCAACTATTGCGATAAATATTGATAGTTTTCAGTGTATCATTTCAGATGGATTTTAGAGTTGAATTAAACCTTGGAACTCAAGTATCCTTTGAATGTGATAACCATAACAATAAATAAAAAGTAAAGTTTGAGATAAGACTGATTTGTTTTTTCTTTACCCTTATAATTTAAGAAAAAGAAACTTCCACATTACCATGTGTAAATTACTACCACTCATGATCAAAAGAAAAACAAATTTGAACAGCATTGCATGTATTTCATTGATATGGTAAATCATATGATATTCCTAACTGAAATCGATACTATTGATCGGAAACTGATTTAACAATCGATTTATTGACTTTAAGTGCTTACCAATAGCAATATATTGATAGTTCGATTTATCATGACACACCTAGTGGATGTACATTTAAATGTTTTGTTCACTACGATTGGTCGTAGCGAGGATTTTTGTGAACGACCATGCAGTCAAACTCTCTGATGTTTCTTAATGTATGTTATAATGCTGAGTTCAAGAATAAAGGGTCCAACTGATCACAAACGAATGTTTTTGTATGGATTCGTGCAAGGGAATTCCCACGTGTGTCCCCAGGAATGTGGAACTAGTCCATCAGTGTTTACATCATTTGACGAATACTGCCTTGTGAAAAGCGTTTGAATGTAAAATCGTGTCGTTCATACACTTATGAACGTCAGTTTCACAGTCACATGACTGGCAAGGACATCAATACAAGGTCGACCACGCAGCTATGAAGAGAGATCTATTCGGCTTGTGACTAATAACCGATCAGGAAGGGGTCAGCAGCCAATCAGTTCGACAAGACAGACCACACCTCTATCTCCAACAGACAAGAGGTGAGCCAGCTTGGCATCTCTTTTATCTCTTCGTCAAAGCTATCAATCTCGACCGCGGGATTGAAGCATGCTAAGACAAGAAGAGGAACAATTAACAACATCCACCAGAGCATCTTCAAAACAGTACCGAAGCATGTGCCTAAAGCAGAGGTGGGCAGGTCAATGTATTGAACACTCTCGAAATGGTCGTGCCTTTCGGTGACTTTATGCTGGAGACCTGAGTCTCAACAGACGAGGTAGCTCACCCTCCACTGGGTACTGGGAATCGAATAATCATGACAATAAACACAGGAGTGATGATTTCAATATTTATTATGCACATACAGAGTACTGGCTAACAGACGTGGGTACAGTTTTGTCTATCTGCGTTGATTGGCAGTCGACAACTGTTGCGCCAGGAACAAGGGACCAAACTGGTAGAAGAACGTCAGTGACTGGGATGTCACGTAGATAGTGGGAAGCAAAGACCGTATCTGACTTCAAAAAGAAACCCTCCGTGAAGGAGAACAGTGTGCAATTGCTGTGCAAGGCCATGGTAGAGGCAATGGCTCTCGTCTCATGTGGACTGGATGTCACAGGAGGAGGCAAGGCATAAGCTGTAGTAAGGTGTATAGTCAAACAGAGCCAAAAGGAGACTGTGGTACGGGAGACTTCCATTGTGGATGCTGTAGAAAGTGGGATGAAGAGTCTCATACGTGCATGCCGAAGTGGCTGCACAGCCTCGAAGTTGTGCAGAGAGCTCCAAAGCTACAGGTCAGCAGCGTATTTGCATAAAATACCCCAAAAAATTATTCAAAACCCAATTACTCTCAATTAACTTGCATACAGAAACGCATGAATTAAATGAAAAACTCAAATTATAAAAACGGCACGCATAAATACCCAATGAAGATTTTTAAGCATGCGTACAAAGGAGCTAATTTCCGAGACACAGTTACGAGCTAATTTACTTTCCGAGACAAGCCTATATATTTAGAACAGTAACATACATGCAAAACATCATTTCTTTTATTTTTTAATCTTAAAATGGTGAATAGACAAGTGAAAAAATATTGGTTTCCCAATGAAAATTGTAATAACCCAATTAAAATGGAAACCATAGAGTAAAAAACTCAAAACGTTATCTCGAGCTCTTGAGATAGAACTGAGCATAAGGAGATTTTATCTTCATGGTCATCTGGGTTGAGGACCATTTATCTGCAAACAAACTGAATTCAACGCGAGCATGAATTAAATGCGAAATTGCCAGTGGTCTTTGCTCGCATGAATTAACTTCACATTTATGTCTCCAAATGACTATCAACAATAAGACAGCCTCACTGCCTACTTTCGATGGCGGAAATACCAACTTCAATATAAATACAAACATGGTTTATTGAGCAGCAGTTGTAGCAAGATAATTACAATGTCATTCAAAGAATAAGAGTTACACAATGGGCATCCATTGTTCTACTCACTCGCTTGTTGACACCTTCTCCACATACCAATCAGTGAACTGTTGTTGGTTCAATTATTTTATTGCCTTTGAACTTCCTTAATACCAGTAAACAGAGTAAACATATAAACTGTGTGTTATTTTTAGGAAAACACTGTTTATTGTTTTTATGGAAGCAATACTATTTGCTGTTTGATTGGATTGAATTAAGGTAAGGAAATGTATCACTGGGGATGGGGTGGGGGAGTCGCATTTTTGGACCTTACATTGGTGGACTTACAACCATGATATCTTGGGCGACCACATCCTATGCCACAAAAAGAACTTGCACTAGCTCCAATAAGCTCAAAGAGATCAGGCTGTGAAGGGACAAACTGCAGTCGACGGCGTTCTTTCTTCAGTAGGTCTTCCAAGTTAAGGAGATCTACAGACACCCATGAATCCATGTTCTTGAATCAGTGTGACGATAAGTGCTTCTTCAGAGGACTGTGTGTGATACCGATTCACCAATGGCTTGAGTTGCCAACAGCATGGTTGTCAAAGTGGAGTAGATCACGATCATCTACAGTAGATGCACTGTATTCGACATAATAAGCGCCCAGGGTGCTCTCAAAATTAGAAATAGGGGGCTCTTATCAGAATATTATTTTGGTGAAAAATGGAGTTGAAACATCGTAAATTTTGTGGTTTATGCTGACAGCTTGCAATGTTTATATACGACAGATATATTTTTCCAGAATCTAATTTCCCATAATTAAGGATGCATATAACACACATATTATACATGAATAAAAAAGCCTTGTGTACATTGAACAATCGGAAGGGGTGTTAATTGGGATTGTTCACTAGCCAATATATTAGCAAATATCGCCGTAGGCGCTTATTACTTCGAATACGGTAATAATAGAACGCTTGGGGCAGAGAGTCGAAATATCTCCATCCTATTCAGGTGCCATGGTGGTAGTCGACAATCCATGAATGCCAGTATGTTCAGTGTTCCCGCTGGCCATTGAAACTGCCAGTCATTGTGGACTGGCAACTCTAAAAATTACCACTCTCCCCCTAATTTTTGCCAGTACATACTTTCAACAAATAAAAATATTATTAAAAACTATTATATACCACCGATGTTTTGTTCAACAACAAAGATTTATAAGGTACTTTATTTGCCGGTCATATGAATTACCGGTCCAAGCCTAATTGTATCGGTAAAAAACTGGTAATTACCGGTAAACGGGAACGCTGATGTTTTAAGTAGAACCATGAGATTGAGTTGATCTTGTCATACAGAAAAGAGCAAAGGCCTGGGAGGTAGCGTTATGGTAGAGGAGCCGGCACTGGATACAACAAAACATGCTGACTGGTCATCTGCAGAAGGGCTATGTTGAAAATGAAGTCGATCTGCGATCCATGGAAGGACCATAGCCCGATCGACAAAGTCGTAGACGTGTCAGGGGAAGACCAATGATCCAAGACGACATGAGGCATGAACATATCAGGATGAACAGAAGCTGTGGATCCGGGATGATTGACCTATACAGGAGTCATCATGGGAGTCGAAGTGTCCCGAGGAGGTACCAAGGGCGGACCGATACGATGCTGTAGAGGAGTTACTGCCTGTAGGAGCAACTCTTAAGTCAGGCGTCGAAGCACTGGTCTAGTCAAGTCAGTGGAGCCGACACAGATGTAGTCTTAGCTGGCGCAGGAGCCGGAGAGTGTGACGTGGATCGACTAGTTGAGTGTCTATCTGTGAATGTCCACCAGGGAAGAGGGTTGTTGTCGGTCTCTGTGTCTATAATGGTCTACAGAGCAGCCCTGGGGTGGGGTGGAGCGGTAGAAGTCTTCACGAGAACAGAAGTTAGGATAAGGCAGGTAACGGCCAGGCGATGCTGCATAAGGGTAGCCATGCATAAGATGATAACTGTCCATAGGATATCGATCACAGTTGGGCTGACGAGGTGATGTCAACCCTGTTGATGTCAACTTAAGCATGACTGTGTCCTGAGACAACATGGTTGGGTTGACGGTAACTTGTACATCAAATTGAGGAGCAGGGGACGATAAGCGACTTTCTGCTGACAGTCACAGATCACAAGGATCAGTAGCGGAGAATATATGTTTGCAATCTTTGAAAGCTGGGCGTATAGTGTGTGACCCATTTCTTTGGGTAGTGACCATGGTGATGTTGGGATGTGTTCAGGTGAATTGATTTTTAGAAGATGGAAACTTTTGTTGAAGCACGATGCATAATGTTTGAGATAGGATAAGTTTAAACATTTGTTATTTTATCACTGTTTATGAAGATTGTTTTTGCAAACGTGAAAAACAAATAAACTAGTCTTACCTCAAGGACATTGAGACAGTACATGATGACATACTCGTTGCCAGTGTGACCGATAAAGAACAAGCTGTGTCGCCATGCATCTTTAGTCTGAGTAAAATTATTCAGCACGGACTCTGAAACAATGGTAGCACAATATCAACACAAAAAGCATGATGACATAGCATATATTTTTTTGTAGACAATATATAAATAGTTTACGACTTTCAAATCATGGTGAATGAAAAAACATCAAGGAATATATTTACTGCTAGATGGAATTACATGCTGTTTCAAAATGTAGGATCTGAAAGTTTGCATTTCATCATGTTCAAGGAAATAATTACCAATTTCTCTTTTCCGTTCATTTGTAGTTCTGATGTCAAAAAACTCGGTCATCAATGTTTCCAAGGACCTCAGAGAATGTTCTGTAGATGCCTGCAAGTCAAACACACAGATAATTTTAGGAATAGTTAGGTTGTGAAGTAGGGCTGCAACGAATATACTATGAGGCGAATGCGATTCGTATCACAAATATAGAGTAACGAATACGAATATTAATTCACGAAATACAATAACAAGTCAGCAGTTGATGTATTATTTGTTATATTCAGTGAAACAAAAGCAACACAAATTATTTGACATGGTTTGTTAATTATTAACATATTATACATTTATATGCTGCACTTATCCAGGTACTAGTATCTGCTCAAATGCAACAATGACCAGTGACCACATTACTCTCAAATTAAATGTTATAAGAGTGTTGTCTTTCAAGAAATCTATGCATATAATATGTTCTTATGGATATTTTTAGATACCATGGATACAGGGTACGTAAATGATCATGACTGCATGTTCATGAATATTCAATTCTATTGGTCCCGAATAACAAATTCAATTCATGAATGGATACGGTTCGATTCACCGAATACACAATGAATCGTAACAGCCCTATTGTGAAGTGTAGTCATCAGGAGGTGATATATCCCTCCATCTGCTGCAATTCTGTACTGGATGTCTGGCTATTTATACCCCATGCTTGACTCATTGTCATTGGATACCTTCAGCAGTGAAGAAAAAAATAATGCAGTCCAGAATTTTTCAAGATTCCAAATCATCAAAAGGCACCAGTTCACAGAAATTCAGTAGTAATGCAATAGTAGTGGCATTCTGAGCATCTTTGCTGTTCAACAATGCAGAACACATGTCAGGCCAAACACATTTAATTATTAATGCCATACTCAGCAATATTCCAGTATTATGATTGCAGTCTGAAAATAATCAAGTCTGGACCAGACATCCATTCCAGCTACGTTTTGAAAAATATATTGACAAAGCTCTCAATTCAAAATTTGAAAACTGTCAATGACTTGAACCCAGAAAATGTAATAAATCAATGGAAAAAGTCAATATTGTGGGGCATGTAACAACTGTGACATCTTATAAAATATAAAAATGCTGCAAAATGTATTCGTTCAAACAGCATGTTTAAAAATGAAGGCAACTTCTGTGCATCTGTCAGTGTGGGTTACTGCAGAAAATATTCAAATTTAAAAAGAGCATTTTTTAAAAATCGGGCATAGCTTCCTCCCACTCAGCTACCTGCCGGTTCTGGGAGCAATACTGCCATAAACTTCACACCCCCCCCCCCCCCCCATCCCCCAGATACAAGGACAACTGTCACAAAAGTGCAATGTCTGACCCTTTCCCCATGTTGAAGCATATTGGAAAAAAAAACTTACTCAGAGCTCCAGATAACTTTTTTAGTTTTTTACTCTAGGATTTCTATTTTAATTGGGTTATTACATTTTTCATTGGGTAACCAAAATTTTTTCACTCATCTATTCATCACTCTATTGTTTTTTCCCCAAAATGTGTGAACATTTTAAAATTTCAAAAATGTTTTAGACTTTTCTAATTATATAGGCTTGACCATGATGACCCGGGAAGTAAATTAGCTTGTAATTGTGTTTCGGAAATTAGCTCCTTTGTATGCTGAAAAAGCTTCATATGGGTATTTACGTGTGCTGTTTTCATATATTTGAGTTTTTCATTTAATACAAGAATTTCTGTATGCAAGTTACTTGAATATGTTGAAAGTAATTGGGTTTGAATATTTTTATTTTTTATTATTGTAGCTCTTCTTACTGTGTACTTACTTACCTTTTGTTGAAAAATTAAGACAACAATGCCAACAGAAGACATTAATACATCATATAATATCATTGTGTCATGAACAATAATAAAGGCATGACGCTGAAAACTCTGATTGAAAACAGGACAATTTTTTTACTGTACATTCTCAGAATGACACAAAACGTTGAAAGCATTTTATCATGTTCGTTGGTCATTAAAATCGATATTGTACTTACTATTTACTTTTTAATCATGCAATTATGAAATCTTGAGACGATTTGCTCAGCATTTCTATCTGTCAAAAGTCCAACTACTTAAACGTGTTAAGCAAACCATCTGAAATTGAAATTTTATCAGTCTATGGTGATCGACAGCCATCTGAAACCCTACAAGTTCCCTATCAATCTACTGAACCCTGGTGCTTGTCATAAGAGGCAACTAACGGGACTGGGGGTCAGTCTCGTCATGCAAAATGGAAGAAGCTTCGGCATTTTCACCTGAAAGTCCCTGAGCCAAGGACAAAGCACATCACCTCAAAGTTAAAACTATAATATTTGGCTATTTATACTGCGCATATTTCCACACCACTCAGAGGCATGCTCAAAGCACTATTATTACCCCAGTCACTGGATCAATGTGCACTCAAGAATAATTCTCAGTTCCCTGGGGAGTATACAACCCAAGCTGCCTGTTAGGTGCCAGAAGGTTAACAACCACATTGCCATCCTCATCCTACCAGGTTCGATTCCCGACATGGGTACAATGTGTGAAGCCCATTTCTGGTGTCCCCCGCCGTGATATTGCTGGAATATTGCTAAAAGCGGCGTAAAACCATACTCAGTCAGTCAGTCAGTCATCCTACCAGGTACTTATTCACTGCTGAGTGAACAGAGGCACATTTTGAAGAAAGTCACTTGCCCAAGGAGACGCCACATATGTTACATGTGCTTCAGTGTGGGGCAGGACCGAAGCTTTAGAAACTCTCAGGAACCAAGCTGCCTAAATGCTGTCACCCGTCCAAGAACTCTCTGCGACCAACGCTGCTTAACTTGTGACCTGCGCGCTGTGCACAGGACCACGTGCCACCATAATAAACATTTGTATCCACTTCCAGTCTGATGATTCAGAACATAAGATAATACTGGTATGACAACTGGATTTTCAGTTGTTATCAATGAAATACTTCAGATAGATCCAATTCACACACACAAGTTTTTAGGTGCAATAATTATGAAAACTTGAGATTTACAACTGCAAGCACATGACAGGTAAACAAACATATGTAAGTGGCAATGAATGAGTGATACAACCACTTTTGATCTTGAACAAAACCTTTCAAAGCAGGCCTCATCCTACATACCAAATTTCAGGATAAAAATGGGAATTCCTTTTTAGATAATGTTACCATGGTCACCACAAATATTATAGGGAAAATATATTTATCTCACAATCTTGACCTTATCATCATGCCCATGACACATGCCAACAGAATTGTCCTGTGGAAGACTGAGTGAGTGTGGTTTTACGCCGCTTTTAGCAATATTCCAGCAATATCACGGCGGGGGACACCAGAAATGGGCTTCACACATTGTACCCATGTCGGGAATCGAACCCGGGTCTTCGGCGTGACGAGCGAACGCTTTAACCACTAGGCTACCCGACCGCCCCTCCTGTGGAAGAAGTTCATGGTACAAACATACCAGTAATAATGATGACTCAACTGTCCTCTTATGCCATTGTCAATCATCTTTATCAGAGAGAAATCTCACTGGCAATTGCAGTGGTAGTAAACTTTTGACACAGGACTATCTCGGTCTCAAAGAAGTGAAGGAGTTTACAAAAAAATAGGAGACTGACATTTTATAAACAACCTTTAGCTGGGTCATTGAGTGGGTATGATTTTATGCAGCTTTTGGCAATATTCCATCAATATCATGGCGGGGGAAACCAGAAACTGGTTTCACGCCATGATCAGCCATCACTTAACCACCAGACTACCCCACCAGTTCTGTGTCCTGCCTGTCACTGTGTCAGTGAGTGGAACAAGATGTATACATGATTACTTGAAAGTGTTCACAGAAAGTGTCAAACAGATTAGGTTGGCCCGGATGTAGGATATATATTACAAATAATACACAATAAAACATATGACATTAACACTGCTGGTTTGGTCCAGGGTATTGAACGATAGATCCTTGCAGCATGGCTGAAGATGTTAGGCTGAAGATGACGCCAATGGAAGTTCAAGAATGTTCATGTTGATCCGAAAACAACGATAAAACAAAAATATTCACCTTCTGAAAGTAACTTTGCAGATTACGTCTGCTGACGAATCGCATGTTCATTTATGTAAAAATGTTAAGTCTGCAAAACACGACAAATCACATGTGACAGTTCGCACGGTTCAGCCCACGCACATGTTCTATTGCCTTTCCCTTACTGATCTGAAGTTAAATATTTGCAAACAATTCCATAGAATAGTTACCATTATTGTTTCAAGTTGCAGTTGTTAATCAAGCCTAGAACACCAATGATCAGTATTTAAATGTCTTTTTTCATCTTGTCAAATTCACGACACTCTCAGAACTCTGCCATTTTTGCTGAAGCATTCTGGGATATACGCGTACTGTTTCCATTACCTCCCTTGTATGTTGATATATGGTTATCTCCCTTGCAATAGCATTTTCCTTGAATACCTGCAGACGTATTTGTTTGTTGGGAAAAGAGTTACGGTGAATGAAACGAAATATGTCGGAAATCTTATGTTATCAAACATTTTGCAATATATTTTTCACATTCTACGCTACATTCTTAAATAAACACTACCTATGAAAGGGTGTATTTGTTCCCTCTTCTCTAGTGTCTTTCGAATAAATATAAAAAACCTTTGGCAACATTAATATTTCTAAAGGCAGTGATTCAAATTATACCTTTATCGTTAAGTATGACTATAACACATTGCAATGACGTTTCTCTCATACATCCCCTGCCGCGTCATACCAAAAGACGTTAAAAAGATGGTACTTGTTGTTACCCTGCCTGCCGCTCGGCATTAAGGGTCTAAAACAAGGACTGGTCGGCTCGGAGTCAGTATACTGTTTCTGAGTGGGGTATTCATGGTAAACTGCGGAATGATGTCTCAGTGGGCACGCTAAAATCGGCATTACTCTGAACTAGCACAAGCAGCCACACACAACCACACAGCCACACACATTCTTGGATGCGACGTTAAACCCCATTTTACCTCACCTCACCTTCTCTCATACAGACTGGGTAATTGTTGTACTTACGTTGCAACGCTTTATAATGTGTAGTCCAGTATTGGATGCCAAAATGTACTTTCATCGCTATTTAGTAACATTGGGAAATAAATTAGCAAAGTATTACTTAATAGTGATCAAAGTCCACTTCCGCCCGGCATAGCTGACAGCCCATAACTGGCTATTCATGTATTTGTACATTTGCAGATCACATACTATACTCATTGTGTTGATTTTCACTAAACTAATAACCACGTATTTGATAAAATATAGATACGCACTCAATTAGTATGATGAGAACCAAATGTGGCACTGAAAGTTTCAACGAAATATTTGGCACGGGGCCGTTAGGCAAATATCCTACGTGATTTTCTTTCTTTTTTTACCACATGAAACTTATTTATATGCTAAAGGCCCATACTGACGAAAATCGCAGAAACACGACAGGGTTCTATTTCTAAAGAGGGGATACGGGTCGCCGAGTGGTTTAAGGCGACGCATTTTGTTGTGCAGAGTAGTGTTCCCTGGGCAAACCAGAAACCTGTGATTTTGGGTTCGAATCCCAGTTCGCCTTGATTATGTTTCTAAGTGCTCGTGGGTTTCACCAAAGTGGTAAAGGTCTGCGACTAGCATCACTTCAGGCTTTCCTCCCACATTTAGCTGACACGCTGTGATATAACTGGAATACTGTTCAAAGCGACGTAAAAACGGGTAAAAAAATATGGACTCGAGTACCCGACATTGATAGATTACTAGGCTTGTAAATTGATAGTTGACTTCTATAAGACGTTTTCCCGACATTTGAAGAGATAATTCGAATGAGATACAGTAACACAATGTTAATATTCAGTAAAGTGATGTCCAGTTATAAATATCTTATGAAAATATTGAATTAATTATGATTAACGTTACGACGCTAATTTAGAAAGAATAGGTCTACTGCTTGCGACAGTTAAATAGTTTCGTATAACATCCCTTTTAAACAAGAAATAAAATACTTTTTTAAAACAGGAAATACCCTTATGAAATGGTTGTAAATAAGTGTATTGTTTCGAAAAATAACTAAAAGAAAAGCTATTGCCACTTTTATTTGATTTAATTGCTTACTCCTGAAAAAGAAAGTTACCTAAAGACACTATTAAAGTTTCTATTAACTTATTGAAAGTCGACCAAATTAGAGTTATCTCCCTTGGTCGAGTACTCGAGTCCTTCAAACTGTACTCGAGTCCTTCAAACTGGACTCGAGTACCGCTAAACTCGGCCCGTGCCCGAGCACTCGACCACTCTTTAAAGCCCTAACGTTAAACCCAACTCACTTACCCATTCATGACTTCTATAGATAACATGTGTTAGATATTGTGACGTGTTCAATGACACTCCGGTACACATACCGCGCCAAGCATCGTTATGTAATCCCCGCACGTGCGTGAATGTAAGTATGTCACCTGCTTCACGCGTCTTTCTGACAGCTTGTGACGTGAACGAGCATAACTCAACGCGCCGCCAGGAATGTCCAACACGTGATATATATAGCACGTGATGATACACTGCTGGCTTCCTGTAAGTGGTTGGGATTATCACAGACTTATAACAACATGGGGTATCTGTCGGGGATCTGGTGACTCGACATGAGGCATTTCCTGTGTACTTGAGTTGCAGTTTATAAGCCTTGATCAGTGCGTTAGCAGAACCAACACTGTCAGGATTAACAGAAGGGAATTGCATACACATGTTTATAACCTCAACATTCCAAATACGTTAATGTAAAACAATATTTGGAATCACATGTAAGTTTTGTAACTAATTTTCTTATATGAATAAATAAATTGCATGTTATGCCATGGCTTTTGATTGGTTAACCAAGATTTTGTTTTTCATTTGTGTTCCCATAGAACCGAAGAATAAAAAAGAAATATTAGCCCACGCCTACCAGCGGTCAATGTGTTCCCGATTGGCTGATAATAAGGTGGGCGGGGCTTTGGTTGAATTATTGCACAGAACGATGTCACTGATTCCGTATTGGCGTCTGCAGTTTTTTGTGTTACTGATTAGATAAGCAGTCTGTGTAGTGATTATTTATAAAAATTAAATTAAATATGTTTTTGCCTTTGTAGAAGCATAAACGCGAAAACCGGTGTGCACACTTTGCATAATCCCGCTACGCTACGCGGATGTAAAATTTTGTTTGTTTATTGCTCTCAGCAATATTCTAGCTATATGATGGTGGTCTGTAAATACTCGAGTCTGGACCACACAATGCAGTGATTAACATCACGAACATCGATCCACGCAATTGGGATACGATGACATGCATCAACCAAGTCAGCGAAACTGACCACCCGATCCGTTATTCGCCTCTTACGACAGACCCGTGAAGATCCAAGTTAGAACAGGCCTTCATCAACCCATACTTGTCGTAAGGGGCGACTAACGGATCGGGTGGTCAGGCTCGGTGACTTGGTTGATGCACGATGCGACGTTGAACAACAAACAGCAACACCTCTTACGAGAAGCATCATCACCTTTTGCGGCAAGCTTGGGTTCTAACATATTCTCACCCGGATCTTCACGTGTTCTTTTGATTTAACCCTATAGAACATACAAAATACATTAATCCTGCCCGTCTTGAAATGTTTGCATATACCTGGAATGCATGCTGCTCTATTTGAAAAATACCGGCAGATGTTGATAATACACAGAGAGAGCCAGTAATAAGCAGACCTTGTTATACATTCCTGCCCAGCTGCCGTGAAACGCCATACTCTTCATGTTCCGAAGCAGGAAATGGTTAAAACAACCTCTTGAGTTGCATAGTTACAAACTAAGGCGATAACCTAGCAATGACCTAGGTCACTGTGCCCTTCTCAAACTTTTTGAACATGGGTTTGGGTTTGTCTTTAGGTTGTGGTTGATGGTGTCTTCATGATATTCCGACCCGTGAAGATCCGGGTTAGAATAGGTCTTCAGCGATCCATGCTTGCTGTAAAAGGCGACTATGCTTGTTGTAAAAAGCGACTAACGGGATCGGGTGGTCAGGCTCGATGACTTGGTTGATGCATGTCATCGTATCCCAATTGCGTGGATCGATGCTCCTGATGTCGATCACTGGATTGTCTGGTCCAGACTCGATTATTTTCAGACTGTGGTCATATAACTGGAATATTGCTGAGTGCGGCGTTAAACAACAAACAAACAAACAAACAAATCATGATAGTTCCCTCACCCACTCCACCTTTCTGCAGGGATGGCTGGTTCTTTAGTATCATAGAGAAAAGGCGAAAAGCGTCTATTTATCAGGGTCTAGTCTTCAGTGTGTCTTCAATACATTGTCAAGCGGATATAGCTATGCATCACTCAACAACCTTATCCTCAATGGCACTCCGACAACAACACCTACAGCTCTCTACCCACCTTTACACACAACACACAACACACTTACATCCCTCTACCCACCTACACCCCAACACACAACACACTTACATCTCTCTACCCACCTACACCCCAACACACAACACACTTACATCTCTCTACCCACCTACACCCCAACACACAACACACTTACATCTCTCTACCCACCTTCACCCCCAACACACAACACACTTAAAGCTCTCTACCCACCTTCACCCCAACACACAACACACTTACATCTCTCTATCCACCTTCACCCCAACACACAACACACTTACATCTCTCTATCCACCTACACCCCAACACACAACACACTTACATCTCTCTACCCACCTTCACCCCCAACACACAACACACTTAAAGCTCTCTACCCACCTTCACCCCAACACACAACACACTTACATCTCTCTATCCACCTACACCCCAACACACAACACACTTACATCTCTCTACCCACCTACACCCTAACACACAACACACTTACATCTCTCTACCCACCTACACCCTAACACACAACACACTTACATCTCTCTATCCACCTACACCCCAACACACAACACACTTACATCTCTCTACCCACCTACACCCTAACACACAACACACTTAAAGCTCTCTACCCACCTTCACCCCAACACACAACACACTTACATCTCTCTACCCACCTTCACCCCAACACACAACACACTTACATCTCTCTATCCACCTACACCCCAACACACAACACACTTACATCTCTCTACCCACCTTCACCCCCAACACACAACACACTTAAAGCTCTCTACCCACCTTCACCCCAACACACAACACACTTACATCTCTCTATCCACCTTCACCCCAACACACAACACACTTACATCTCTCTATCCACCTACACCCCAACACACAACACACTTACATCTCTCTACCCACCTTCACCCCCAACACACAACACAC